CCCTAAGCCCTAAGCCCTAAGCCCTAAGCCCTGACTGACTCCATTAGGATCTCGAAGCCGCGTGGGCAGAGACGGGCGTCGCCGATCCAGTTCATGAATTTGTCTCATCTTTCATGGATCGATTTTTCCAGAGTCAGGTTTCCTATCCTCTCGGCGATATCCTTTCCCTTCGGAACTACGCCTTTGGTGTCATTCGACAGTCTAGCTCTGATGGTCCTCCCGTCACTAAACATGGGCTCCATGACCTCAGCTACGCAGGGATCAGACTGAGCTCTGCCGGCCTAGGCGACTTCCTCAGGGGCCTAACCATGGAGACGAGCAAAGCGCTGATCGAGCTCGTCTTCGGCTTTGCGAATTGGGAACGCCTAACTCGTGATCTCAACATTGCCGAAGTTGGAAGCCGTGAGGATTGGTCCCGTCCTGCAGCGGATTTTGGCATGTCAGACCCGTCAAGCCCCTTCTCTGACTTCCTAGCCATTCATGCCTTTGGCCCTGCCGCCAACGAGTGGCTACTCGAGTCTTACTCGGCTGCAACCGCTGACGCTACAAGCCCGGAGATCAACCGAGGGACCGCTGTGACCTACCTGAAGAAGGTAGAGAGCTTCCTGACAGATCTACTAGTTTTATGCCATATTACTAGTGGAGCCCCGGCACGAGGCACCGAGATCATCCAGGTTCTAAGGGCTTCATCGCCGGTCACTGGCCGAAACCTCTTCTTGGACCCCCAGCGCGGTCTCTTCCTCATCCGACTCACGTACTCGAAGACCTTCTCGACGACCAATATCGAGCAGAGGGCGGTACGGGTCCTACCACCCGCCCTGAGCTACCTACTACTGGTTTACCTGGTAGTCGTGTTCCCATTCAGAGTGTTTCTGTGTGAAATGCTAGACATTGAACTCAGGGCGGAGCTCCTCTTTAGCATCTCGGGCGGGACTGTGATTAACTCTCGAGCACTCAAAGGTCGGCTAGCCCTACGCACGCAGACCTATCTGAATCAGCGTGTTGGCCTCAAGGCCTGGCGCCATCTTGCGCAGGGTTTCATCCGCTATGGGATGCAGGAGATCATCGAGGATGATAACGCTGAAGAGGATGACCTGGACACCGATGAGGCCATTGGGGCCAGTCAGATGCACCATTCGGTACGGACGGGCCAGTTGGTCTATGGCCGTACGGAGGGTCAGTTGACCCATATCACCAAGGACCGGCAGGAAATCTACATTGCTTTCTGCCAGCGGTGGCATCAATATATTGGGGTGGGCAGTCAGTTTGACCCATTCTGGCACTTGTACCCCTCGATCGCCCCGCCGTCGTTTCTCCCCATCCTGCCTAGTGCGGGATCCGGACCTGATGCGGCTGTGCAAACTGGTAAGTTATTCCTCTTTACCAATACAAAACCTTTACTAATAGTCTACGCCAGCTCCTTCCCTACGGCCCAGTTTCCGGCTCAGTGACCCTGCCCTCTGTGCTCGGAAGACGCCAGCTGGGTCCCAGCCCCCGGTAGTCTCTATCGGTCTACTGGAAGAGTTCAAGACGTTACAGGACCGGCGAACCTCTCCTGACTTCCTGGACTTTGCCGAAGACCAGCCTGACCCCCTACAGCTCTTTAAGAGCTACAGCCAGGTCACTCAGGCCCAGTCTTTAGACCCTGGAACTGATGTTCTACGCGCTCTACTGCGGGACTTCCTGGGGCTTCCGGATGCTACCTTTACGTCAGATAGGCAACGGGAAGCTCTCCTAGCGATGGTTCTAAACCGAGACCCTTGCCTATTTCTTGTCTTGCCGACCGGCGGGGGTAAATCTACCCTGTTTCTACTATGTGCCAGCCTACGCACTAGTAGAATCACTATCGTTATAGTGCCGCTGGTCAGTTTACGAGAGGACCTGAGGAGCAAGGCTCAAGCAATAGGCCTCAGAGTGACTGACTTTGAGAAGGACCCAGGCCATGGCTTTGCCCAGTACGAAGGCCCCCAGCTCGTGCTAGTCTCGGCTGAAACCGCGGTCACGGCGGCTTTCACGGGAACTGTGCGAGACTTGGGATCCCGGGTGACTCGAATCATCTTCGACGAGGCGCACCTGATCCATACCGCCAAACACTACAGGGGCATACTCCACCATGTCAGAGAGATCACGCGTTTGGAAAGACCTCTCGTTTTCACTACGGCCACGCTCAGCGCACGAATCCTTAGTGGAATCCGGGAAGAGCTTTCACTGGCCGAAGAACCTAGGGTCATTCGGCAGCCTATCAATAGGCCCAACCTGAGTTATCGGGTCAAAACGCTCAACCCCGCCGAGTCGGAGGATGCCAACCTAAAAATCCTTGTGGGGCACGGCCTCAAGTTTTGGAGGGACCAGGGGCGCCAGCAGGTGATATGTTTCTTTCCTTACAAGAATCAGATCGACCGCATTTCGGAGCTATATGGTGACTACGTTACTCCCTATCATGCTGGTCTGGCTGAGGAAACCCGAGCGCGGAATCTGGAGCTGTTTACGAGAGGTGGAAGGCAAATCCTCGCTGCTACTAGTGCTATAGGCGCTGGGTTTGATTTCCCGAACGTGGGGTATATCATCTACTTCCTCGGCGCATGGTCTCTTACCGACTTCGTCCAAGGCTGTGGTCGGGCGGCTAGAACGGCGGGTTCTAAGGGCGATGTGGACGTCTGGGTGAAGGCCAGTGGCTTTCTCCTTAGGGATGGGCCCTCGGGAGACGTCTCCAAGGACTCCATGGAGCTCGACTGTTACGAACCCCACTAGCGTGGACTTGCCAGAAGACAGGAAGTCCAATCAACTTGGATACGTCATGCGGGAAAGATAACGTGACTGGCGAGGCACGCTCCAACAGCAGCTAAGGCAACCACCAGTCACATGACGCATCATAGCCCTGGCTATGATACAACAGAGCTCAGGATATGATCGGATCATACCCTCAGATATGACCCGATCAGAGCTCAGGATATGAAGAACTTGATATATAAGGACGCTCATTCACCGACATGTATTTAGTTCTTCGCGATCAATCATACATTGTTACTTGGTTACTACCTATTGGACTTTGCACTCTACGGTTCACCCTTAAGACAACCCAACCTACAAGTAGGGGAGCTCATCTTGTGGTAACACTTGGTGACTGACTTACTTGGCGCGCACTACTGGCACATCCTGCAAGATACTCAACAGGACCCGAGTCCGTGTAAGGCTTAGCACAGCAACGGTACGGTTGCGAGATACTCTTGGGATTCGAAGTGGAACTAGGCGAGTACAACCCGGAAGCAGCTCTACTCACAGTGACCAGCAGGCACCGCGTAACACAATGGCGAACAAGATGCTTATTTTGACCTTGATTATGATAATCTCCTCTTCGTCGATATGGAAGGCAACCCTGTCGACGGTCGGACATGCAATATCATCTACGAGGATGACGACCCGCACTCCGAATTGCGTCTCATCCTTGACGAGGAGGGCAATGTCGTGGACATGTATATGGGCGACCCAGAGGCTGGCTTGTGGACAAGAGAGGCGGTCAAAAGCTCCAGTTCTGATGCTGTGACTGTTGATCCCATCACCGTCACTGTCACGACGGGTGTTGCCGCGAGCAGCGAGTCTCGGCCCACTGTGATATTCCCTGCCAGTACCGTTGGCCAGCAGACGGAATCGGGAAGCGTGGTGACACCGGCGCCGTATGTTTACGGTCTTTGACAGCATCAACCTGGAAATATGCCCAGGCGACAATGATAATGGAAGGCCGCAAATCCTTAGGTTGGAAGCTATGGGGGTTTACGAATACATTATCTGATCTGGCGCGTTTTTGGCTAGGTTGGAAAGACACGGGCATGTATGGATGAAATGGAAGTATCCCGCGACACTAAACTTGTGAATAAATCGCAATCGAATGAATTACGGTTAGGAAAATGGCCATCCTCGTGACTGGCCTCTTATGGAATTGTATATCCCTCTTCGGCCCCGGTACCTCCATTTCCGTAGGATCCAATAACCCAAGTGCTCGGAAATCGTCTCCGGATTAGAGGCGGGATGGCACTGGTATACCTACCACGTGGCTGGGATATAATAATCCTCCCAGCGGTCGGACTCAGCATCTTTGAAAGTATCGATAGTACCTTGTACCCCATCCGCCCCAACAGACCAGACGCCTTTTTCGACCAGTTTGCGCCAACAACCCAGCAAACGCTCCAGCCGCTGGGAGCGGTAGTAGTCACCGCCAAAAGGCTTATATCCATGCTGAAAGAGCTCTGAAAAGCGTCCTCTGTCAACAAGGGAGCCATCACTTTTTCGTGCGCCCACGCTCTTGCCCCTATCACCATTAAAAGTGAACGGGAGCAATAGACGAAATCCCTCCTCGGCCACGTCACGGCCGTTTCTTTCCACTGCCTCAGTATACAGGCCTGCAGAGACGCGAGATGGTGTACAAGTTTCGGTGGACCTTGAATAAAAGTCCGGCAATAAAAATGGAGTTGTTGTTCTCGTGAGCTGGATAGGACGATGGTCTCCGGTATCAGCGGGGAAGAGACACACTGGCGGTGCGGTGTACTCAGAGCGGGGTAATAGGCTAAATGGCTGCGCTGCCGTAAATCCAGCCGAGTCAGCCGGTGGCAAGAGAAGGCCCGGAGCGATGTAACGGAACTGGGGCCGTCTCGCGCGCGTCAGAAACGCACGTGCAAAGGAATGGTTGGGCACTGAAGCAGCGTCCAGGACAGTTGATGCGACCAATGGCTCTGGATCGTCTGCGTTAGACCCGGAGCTGGGGCTGATCGGTGATAGTGGGTTTGGCAGCTGCGAGGTGCGCGCCTCAATAGCCTGGCACAGTCGATCCCACTCGGCGACACACGTAGTAACTTGGGAATCGCTATAGGGCCGCCACTCCCAGGGTCCGATCTTTTCGAAGTCAAATAAGGCTGGCTCTTTGTGAGGCGAAGCCACAACTTTTCCAATATGAATAAGGTCGATCCAATTGGTGAGGAGTGTCTCTAGTGGGTTCCAAACGTGTGAATTAGCTTCAACTGGAAAGCCATAGCCATAGTCATCAAGATGCATGAAGGTCGCAACGCGGTGGAGGCCTTGGTGGTAGATGACCCCGCCACCACCTTCCTCAGCCGATAAGCTCGTTTCCACCGAGTACAAGCGCACCAGGCTGTCAACGGGCTGATCGTGAATATCAGCTGTAAATTCCTCAAAAAGACTTTCTGGCCCATCGATACCCCATGCAAAAACAAAAAATGGGAGGTACTCGTGAGGGTTATCATAAGGAAAAGGAGACACCATAGCGGTGTCAAGGAACGCCGCCAGTGACGGATCAAGCCTTGGGCGACAAGCCTCAGCTTCAGCCTCATCACCGAAGGCCGTGAAAAAGTTGCTGTTGGCATTTAGAGTTGCTAGTGGGCGACCTTCAGCGAGCCAAGCATATTGGATCAGGTAGTTGTGTAGAGCTGCACATCGTGCGTAGTCCATTCCTTCGAGGTCATCTCGTGGAGGGTTATCTGGCCTAACAAGCAGACTGGTGATGTCCAGAAGTTGAGAAAGATCCATTGAGATGCAAATGGGGTGTGTGGCTGTCAAAGGGGACAATATCACAGCCGCTATTCAAAAAACTCAGGACCAGACTAGAAAGCTCGCTCGTCAATAAAAGACAACGTGGTATGATGAAGTGTTGGAGGGGCGCTCGGGGTTGGGGTTGGACGAGCCGCAAGGCCCCCTGACCCCGCAAGGTGCGACGGCGTAGCTTGGACAAGGATAACACTTCTCGACTCTTGGAACTTCAATTGCTCGTACACCATGGGAGGAACTTTGCAGCACATGGAACCACTTTGGAAAGGCAGTATTCAGCATCTGGCAACGTCAACTCTTTCCTTAGCCCGATGTAAGCCAGGTGCTCACACATTGCATGATTACACACATTAAGACGGGCAGGTATGAAGTATTACTTAAAAGGCTAGGTTAGCACTTCAGAAAGGGACTACACTACCAACCCCTCACTAATTATTATTATTACTCTTACAACTGTCTAGGCGGATAACCGCCTCGCCCCCGTGGGCAAGCAGTCCCTCCTCAGCTCGGATCCAACTATTAGGTACATCGTGCGGGGCGCAGGCGCCTCCGCCCGCAACTCCAAAACGTTAACCACGATCCAATCGTGCTAGACCTCGTCTACGCAGGTGTATAGCGCTCAGGGGTCGGATGCGGTTTTGTAAGGGTATTGGTGCCTGAGGATACCTGAAGCTGCCTGACTTTTTACCGCCTTCTTACACCGCTCTATACAATGTATTGTAATGAAGTTCCAGCTCCCTCGTGATAGTGAAGCTATTCCCACCATACAAATTCTCGTTTTCGTCAAGTCCCAGGCGTTGGAGTCTTCCACCATCCACATTATCCAGCGTTGAGGCTATTCCCACCTTGAGAATCCTCGTTTCTGTCAAGTCCCAGGCGTTGGAGTCTTCCACCATCCACATTATCCAGCGTTGAGGCTAAATCCCACCATACAAACCTCCGAAATCACCCATTTCTGGGCGTTCAAGGCCTACCCAGACTGAGTATATCGCGTAATCTAACGATAGTAAGCTATTCATACTCGAATTTGACATTATTCTCGGTGTTGGAGCCCCCTGGTCATCCAGATGACTCATTTTTCAACAATGCTGAGATTTGTATGGGTACGAATACCGTCATATGTATTTGATGCCCATTTTTCAAGGTGTTGGTTTTGTCGACCTTAAGCATATTATGTAAGTCTATGTTATGGTAGTTAATTCAGGTATTTTTATTTTCTGCCAGCTTTAATTCAGGCATTGACGAAATATTTCAGGCACCAATACCCTTACAAACCGCATCCGACCCCTGAGCGCTATACACCTGCGTACCTCGTCCGTCCAGCTTGGTGACAGGCCGGTGCACTTTTTTTTTTTTTTTTTTTTTTTTTAAATGGTAGGGGCAGGGCCCTACTAAACAGCTGGCTTCCTACAGAGCCATGTTTCGGCGACTCCTTCTCGAGGGTTCCCCCGCGTCGTCTTCATCCAGCCATACGTAGCTGCCCTCCAGCTCTCTTGCGAGCCTGTTCTCGCTTAGTCTTCCCAAACTGAAGAACCAGGTTGCCAGCCGCTGCGCGGGGCCGTCTCGAGATAGCGCTGCCCTCAGGGAGTGCCGGTCAACTAACTCCAGGCGGGCCAGGGTTCTCCTTTCCTCCGCGTACCGTGGGCAGCGGAGCGTGAGGTGTGCAAACGTTTCTGGAGTGCAACCTTCTCGGCAGAACGGGGATTCAATATCCGGGACTCTCCTGCGGTAGAGGAACGCGTTCAGGCCGATTGCCCCTGTACGGGCCTGGGTGAGGAGCGAGCTTTTCGCCTTGGTGAGCCCCCGGTGCAGATTGAGGGGGTTTGACGACGGGTCAAGGTCGTAGTCGTCTGTTGCTTCCCCGCTGCCCCTCACTAATTAATCCGTACTTTACCCTGTATTCCCCGGATTTGACTAAGCATAAACCTGTGTAACTAGTCAATGGAGATTAATTTGGATGTTGAAAAAGGCAGGAGTGAGTAGGACTCAGTTTGTTGATCAACAATGTCGAAACGTTAGATAAAGACTTTGACAGGCTGCTTCCGTTCACTATCGCGTAAACCTCCGACGATGGATGGGTTTATGAGTAAACATTTTGCTTCCATAGCCGGGCGGAGATACATTGTCTTAGCTAATTCCCACGCTGTAAGCAGAAGGTTCTTAAAGCCCCCTTTTGCAGCGACAGTGCGCTCGTACGCTTCTTGGAGTCTATTGAACAACATCCACTCGGTTCCTGAAGCCTCATGTATGTGGCCAAATATATGGAGTCTTGGTCGAACTCTCCATAACGTCTGTAGTAGATAAGGACAACCGAATCTGAGTAGGTCAAGATGAGCAAGGGGCGGACCATGAGTGATCAGCACGTCGATTCCATCCGGTACCAAGGTAGCCCATAAATCTTGATGTGGAGGGTATTGGAAAGCCCAGTTACCATGACGAGGAGAATAAGGGCTTCCATAGACCCTCAGCTGGCGCCCATTTGGGCAGGAAACTGTCACTTCCTCATTTTCCAGGTAGATAATATCGCCCCAGTCGAGTTCAGCTCGCTTAAAGGCTGCTCGAACTAGCGAATCATCCCACGCTGAATCAAGTAATAGCTCATGATTACCAGCAATCACTATTTTAATAGGATGAGGCAGGGAGCGTAGCCAGGCGAGCGCGTCCCGGAGTTCCTGAAAAGACCCAGACTGTGTGAGATCACCGGCATGGATAAGGATGTCACCATCTGGAACGTTAGGTTGGGTGTTATGAGTATCGGAGATACAGACAATCCCAACCGGGGGATTCGTGAGAGGCAAGGCTGGAATAGGTCTATGCCAACTGTAAAGCATTTGTGCGAGGAAGACGCAAGGCTGGGCCCGAAATTTTTGCCATGGTCCTGGTCGCTGTCGATGAAGGAGTCCGTGAAGGCTGGGCATTATTGGCACTGCCGCACTCTGGAGAGGCGAGGTTCAGGAACTTATCAGTCGTCAAAGGGGAACATGGGAGTGATGGGAGGCGATAATATGTTTAGAAATAACGATGTCAGGATCTTGCCTCAATCTACCAGATCTGAGACATGTAATGACCGTTAGTTTCACTCTGATGATGAGCCTCTGGGCGGTCAGCGAGCAGCTGGCTGGGCTGGTGTGGCTAGAGTCACATGCGCGAGGCTGGCAATTCAAATCAAGGGCTACCTTGAACAAAAGATTGCTGTTCTCGACGTGAATCATCAGTCATTTGATAAATACAAAGGGAAAATGGCGGTTACATGATTACATCCCACGCGGCGGGCACACAACAGCGTCGCGGACTCGCGGGAGACTGTCTCGGGCGGCGCGGATAAGGCGAAAAGTGACACGAGCATGCGACGCCTGCAAGACACGCAAAAAGGCATGCGCCAGAGACATCCCATGCGAGTCTTGTGTACGACTGGGGCTATCATGCACGTACAATGTCCCCAATAACCGGATATCTGCTGCTTTCCCGCAACCCTCCTCGCGACCTGTGGAAACAAGAGGCGGAAATGGAGCGGACAGACTGAGCACGTTAAAGAGATCGCTGATGTTGTACTCGACAATAATGGAACGAAAGAAAGCCTGGAAGATGCATTACGGGCTCTACTGCAAGGAAGAGAACGATGTCTAGATTGCTGGTCTTGTAGCGTTACTGGCTTCAATTATTTGCGCTCCAGTCTATGCGATACATGAAGTCTTCCTAAGCCTCGAGCGATGATGCTGCTTCGTAGAGTGCGCCGCCACCGTCTGACTTCTTGCAATGATCTCAAATTCTCTCGGTAGAAGTGACCTCTTCGTGTCGTGTCTCGCTGCTGATTCGGACTACGAAGTTCGATGACTGCGTTCGGGGCTTCTTCTACGTCTTGAAGTTGCATGATTCTCTGTATTGAGCTGCAAATGAGTATTTTATCCGGACTACCGAATGTCATAAGTCGTTGAGTTCCTAGAATGATCGAAGCGTATCTCCCACTCTTGCTAGGAAGCTATCACGGCCATACCGGCCGCCTAAGCGCTTCCACCTGGAATCCGTTTCGACACGCTTGCTCCAATTGGCGTGTTTCTTCGCTTCTTCGCTCGGACTCTGAGTGACGATGCGATTAAGCTATCGCCTGAGAGCTCCCTTCGCAGAACGCCGGGGATGGTCAGCACTTCTGTAATCGAGAGTCAGTATGAATTGGTCATTAGGGGACCTTTGTAGAATAGTCGGAAGTGGAAGAGAGATTACCCCAGATGGTGCGAGTTATTACACGCCATAGTGCCAATGGCAGTGGCGTATCAATCCCTGAACAACAAGGATACCAAATCAGCAGATGAGCAGTCGCGCATACGATGAATCCCATCTTACAAAGGATGTCTGTCGCTATATTGTAGGATACGTCCTTCAACTGAACCCAGTGACTGTGCCTTAATTGAGCACTAATCCCTCACGCGGATCGAAAAAACGTACTTGCCGTCAAGAATCCACTCGTCGTTCGACTCGACCAGAGCCTGGACGCTACGTCGGGCGTCGTCTTCTGATAGGGCGCCACCGGCTCTGGACTTGTGGAAGAGAGGGTCCAGTTCGCATACCGGTATGGAAAGCTGTTTGCCTAGTCGCCGTGCGAAAGTACTCTAGCAATTCAGGGAAGCGGCATTATATTAGTACGTACAGTGACGTGACATTGCTGTAGGAGTATAATTGAACGTACCTTTCCTGCTCCCGTAACCCCAATGACTTGAATCCTTCGTCCAGAAAGCTGCGGCTCCGAAGTCATCCTGGGCTGACTTTAGGGGAAAAGGAGAGGATGTAATGCGATGTAGCTGTTGCAGTAGAGGCCGAACCGAGTGTCCGTTTTGCCTGGAGAAACACTAGGACCGAATTGAAAACGTCCTCATGGGAACTGACTGAGTTCGCAGGATTATGGTATTAACACGATCAATACCTACGGTGGATTGATGGAGTTGAACGATGCGATAGATTGAATATAAAGTGAGGCGGGCACATGCTTCGATACCTATGATGAATGGATCGGATAGAGAGAATACGCGAGTCATAGGTCTTTCCCACGATATCAAAGACCGAGAAAGAAGAAAAGAAGAAAATGAAAAGCAAAGCGAAGGCAACAGCTCCGACAGGTCACACGAGGATGCGTCCCGTCTCCAATCACGTGTTCTGCATGTGTTCTGCATCACAGCTCGGTTTGGCTTGCCGAAGCTTGCCCAAGAAGGCGTACGCAGTACACAGACCATTCATGACCCGTGATCATCCCCCACGTGGTGAGGCCATTCAGTTGGCGCTGACTCCGTTAAACAGAAGCTTTCTAGTTGTGCCGGACGGAGCCCTGGAGATAGACGAGATAGCAAGCTCGACAATACGGGCGCAAGCTTTATCAGCGGTTACACCCTCGAAAGCCATCAGGTACGCGGCAACACCAGCAACATGTGGAGCAGCCATAGAGGTTCCAGACAAGGTCTTGGTGCTACCACCAGGGAAGGCGGCCGTGATGCGATCCCCAGGAGCATAGACGTCGACTACAGTCATACCATCAGTACATTTTCCCTACTAGCAAGCGCCCTGCTCACTAAGGGAGGGGTGAAGGGGAAAGGGGAAAGGGGAGGGGGTCTCACCACCAGAACCGAAGTTGGTGAAGGAAGCACTGCCGTCTGAGCTGGTGGAAGCGGCGACAGTGCATACACTCGGAGCAGAGGCAGGGGAGCTGTTTTTCGCGTCCTGGGCTTCATTGCCGGCAGCAACAGCGAGGAAGACACCAGACTTAACGACACTGGCAGCGGCGTCATTCATAGCCCGAGAATAGCCGCCACCCAGTGACATGTTCATAACAGACTTTCCAGTGACGCCGCGGGACTTTGCATCTTTAACAGCCCACTCCATTCCAGAGATGACCTGCGAATTAGTCCCAGAACCATCGGCACCAAGGACCTTGACAGCAACGACAGAGGCCTTCTTTGCAACACCGTACTTGGCGCCCACCGCAGTAGATGCAGTGTGGGTGCCATGGCCATTGCCGTCAGTGTCATCATTATCGACAGTGTTGGTGCCCCACTTAGCGCGGCCCTCAAAGTCGGGATGGCGAATGTCAATCCCGGTGTCGACGCCATAAACCACGATTCCCTCACCAGCAGTGGAGTCATACACATAGTCGGTAGCACCGGGCTTCTTGCTAGAGATCCGAGCAAGGCCCCATGAGGGAGCATTAGCCTGAACCACGTTCGCGGTCGCGTTCACAATCATATCTGGCTCAACGTATTTGACCTATCTCTCCGTTGCGAGTCAGATTTCAACACGCTCTTGAGGAATCAACATGGGTAATAGAATGTCATACCGCCGGGTCACTGGCAACGTTTTTGACGGTACGATCATCGAAGCTAGCGGTGTAGCCTTTCATGCCATTGATGTCAAAATGCTTCCCCGGTCCAGACACACCACTATTCCGCCTCGCGAGGCGAGAATGAACAGCTGCAGCCCAGTTACGGTGGACTTGGAAGTCCGAGGTGCTAACATCATCATTCATGACAACAATGTAGGAGCTTGGGACGACCGCATCGGCATCATTGACGGCAAGCAACTGACCGGCATTGACGACTGCGAGAGTCGCAAGGGACGTAGAGAGAAGCTTCAGGAAACCCATGATTGTAGGTAGAAATTGTATGAAGATGGAGAAGATGAGAATCCTCAACTTGGGAGCAAGATGGCCCTTTTATAACATACTGAGAGATGGAGAAGAGGCCCATCGCCGCCGGTCTTCCGAGCTTCACTCCATCTCCATCTTCACGCCCTCGTGATGCGAGCATCGATATGCCGGCCTTGACGGGGGGAAAAGAGTAGATTAGACGGAGCAAACCATCGCATTGGGTATCGATTTTCTTCAATCAATCAACCGGACACAATGCCAAGATACCCTGCATGATAAGACTGTAACATTCTTCTCACGAGCAGTAGACGGATGACGAAACAAACCTTAAGTTCACCAACAGCAGGGACAGGTATAGCGATTACCTATAGCAAGCTTAACCTTAGGTGATGAATATCTGGGGTAAACACCCAGGAGGTTGCATTGATGCGGGCTTATCTGGCTGCTTAAAGAGTCTTGGAAAAGGTATGAGCGTAGAACTTGAGTGGCTTCTAGTTTAACGGCGACTCTTGCCCGTCGGAAGTCCGATTCCATGTCCTCATTGATGTTTACCTATTTCGTGAGTAGCTTTGTCTCGCTCTAGTCCAGACCATATCTCTAGCACGGCTCTCTGAATACTCCGATCCGTTTTGATTACGTACAAGGGTGCTTGCAACCTATTCGGGATCGATCGGAGCGTATACAAGGACTACGAGACACTTCAAAAAGGTGCGTTACATGAATGGAAAGGATATCTATAAGACAAGGTTGGGAACTTGATACATATGCTATATTTCGCAAGGTTGAATACCTCGAGTACATCTCGGAAGGTTATAACTTATACTACTCCGTAGCAATGACCCCTATGAGTCACTACCCGATACCCGACGGGCCGACTTGCACGTGCAAATAATTTACCTTCTCCTCCTCAGCGCCATGGGCCTATCAGGTAATTGCTAATAAATCAGATCATTATAATGATTATTGCAAAGAATGCAGTATGCTTCAGATGAAGGAGAGTGTCATTATTAACGAGAATATCAAAGGTGGAGAGGAAGAGGGAAAGAAGAAGTGGGCAACTGAGAGGTGAGGATTATAACGAGCTATTTATTCACGAAGTTCAGTCATATTGCTTCTCATTTTGAGCGTTTGAAAATGAAATCAATAGAGGAGTAAGGTCTGGGGGCCTATCGAAGGTTTTGTCAAAGGGCCACATAGGACGGTGAATTCGATGGTGTCCAAGACGTTGCAGATCTTGATCAACACCACCAGGAGTCAAAGCAAGCATCCAATCTGCGGCCATATCAGATAGCTCCGGCTCTAGGTAGCCAATCTTGACAATGACGATGTCTGCTAATCGAGGGTTCATGCCAAGACCGGCGAAATCACTCTCATGGTGATAAGGCTTGCGTAGCTTGGTTAAGATGGCAAAAACATTCCCAACTTGCAAGACCGCTTCAACTTCGGCGTCACGATCCCCATACCTGATAGAATGAACGCGTCCAGTCATGGTGATGGGACCAGCATGTACACTGTCTACCTGTGCTCCAGCAGTCACTGTCACGACAGCTCCCACCCCTGCCTTGGTCATAACAGCCAGTGCCTGGGGTCCTGGAAGGCTGGCATATATCACAGATGGACCATCCGTATCGCGGAACTCCGGTCGATTCAATAGTTGATGTAAGGTAAATGTTACATCGCCTGATCCGCCAGCAGTAGGATTGTCTCCTGAATCAGAGATGAAAAATGGTCTCCTTCGGGATGCCAGCGCGCTTTCGATGCAGTCAGAGAAAGAGCCAGTTGGTGCGACAAAATGAAAGTTTCTATGAATTTTCCAGAACGAAGACGCAAGTCGGCCTGCTTCCTTTAGGGCTTCAGCCTCATTCCATCCGGTGACCATGACAACTGCATGGTTTCGCGGTTCATCTGCCCAAGGATAACCCACCCAAATGGCTGCGTCCAGGATGCTTTCCTTTGATTCAACAGCAGGAACAAGCTCATATAGGCTTTTTCCGGGTTCAACGCGTGTCGAGGTCTGTTCTCCAGGCAGCAAGATGGGGATTGGAACCCACGCTTTGAAAGGTCTGCTCACTCCCCCAGTTTCCGGTCGCATTGCCAATATTCCGACAAGATTCCGACACGCACGCTCTTTCGTTTCCAATTCATCTTCATGTGGTGCCGTACGGAAACAGGTGATCAAATCGGTCTGATGTGCTAGCTTCTTGGACACGTTTCCGTGCAAATCCATCGAGGCCGAGACCAGAACATTGGAACCGACCACGTCTCTAATCCGCCGGAGAAGTTCGGCTTCAGCATCTTCCATTCCCTCAACACACATTGCTCCGTGAATATCATACCACAGTCCGTCGAGAGGTGTGGCGGCGACGATTACCGCCAAACGGTCTAGAATTTCACTCGATAGCTCTTCGAAATCAGCGCGCACCACGACTCCGCCTGGAAGTGCATGCCCTGTTAGTGCGCCTTTCCAGTCGGCGGAATTTGCTAGAGAACCACCGTGATGTAGGAACGCGTACTGCTCGACGACCTCTGGGCCACGGCGCGGGTGGAATGCCCCGCCCGGTGTCCGAGCGGGGGAGAAAGAGGAGGTCTCACAGGAGAGTCCTGCGATAGCAATGACTGGTCGTTGCAACATGGTCCCAATTTCTGAAGGATGCAGGATGAGACTGAAGTGAGCTGGTTGTTTGATGCGTTGGGACTGCTCTGGCCCACCGGGTACACCGTACACTGGATGGACTCCACATTTATGCAACGTCGCATCAACTTCCCCGCGCCAGTCTCTGTTAAGTCGCGTAGTCTGCCAACTCGAGAGCATTCAAAATTATACGCAGCAAAGAACATCCTGAAATAACATCAACACTTGTCCTCGACTCGCACGGGCGGCACGGATTCAACTGCACAAGGTGCACCACTCCAACTTTTCACTTAAGCAACTGAGACTTCCCTCCCGCGCATGTTTCCGGCATCAAATTTCAGTCTCAACATGATTCCAGCTGGGTCTCAACCAATTCTCGAGATTGCCTGTTTCAACCCGAAATCAGCCTTAATTGCTGCAGAGGCCGGAGCAGATCGCATCGAGTGAGTGTCAGGTCTCTACTCTCTCGGCTTCGAGTGCATCTGCATCTCGCCCCAGCTTACAATCTTGGATGCAATTCTCACGTTCTTTGCGCTGGAACGTATATCTGCATCAAAAGGCTGACTACAATCAAGGTTATGCCAGGACTATCGCCTCGGTGGCCTATCGGCTGACCCTGCAACCCTTGAAGCATTGAAGGCACAGTTGGCAATTCCGATTTATGCGATGGTACGACCACATGCCGAGCACTTTTGTTACGAAACTGCCGATTTCGAGGTGATGAAGGAAACACTTAATTCTCTCAAGGCCGCTGGGGCTGATGGTTTCGTGTTTGGAATCCTGAATCAATCTCCACAAGAGTCATATAGTTCGGCTATGCCATGGGTTGATGTTTCTCGCAACAAGGAACTCATTCGACTAGCTGAGGGGCGCCCTTGTACATTTCATCGTGCCTTCGATCTCATCCCCGAGACAGATTGGGAGACCGCTTTAGCAGATATCATGGATTGTGGTTTCGCATCAATCTTGACGAATGGTGGCCCTTCCGGGACCGAGGCAGTACAGTGTGTTGGTAAGCTGCAAACTCTCCTGCGCTGGAAACAAACCCAGCTATCAGGGCACCCGACAATGCAATGCCTCAAAGTGCCAGAAATTATTATAGGAGGTGGTGTAAGGGCATCAAACATAGGCTTGCTCCATGGCATGACTGGCGCCACAGCCTTCCATTCTGCTGCCCTTCGAGGCCCAAGAGAGTTGGTCTGTGAGGATGAGGTTCTCGGCATGAAATGTCAAATAGCAACGCCACAGTGAACATGATCAACTACCTATCGGACGATGACCTAGGTAAGTGTCAAGTCTGCTACCCAGACTGATAGTGATGTCCTTGTATGATCCTGTATATAGCATGTCCTGCACCTGATGTAGTCAGTAGCCGAAAACCTAGGCAACCGGTGAATTGTAAGACGGTCAGGGCTCCTCAATATGCGGGTGTCCATGTATATTGATGGAGGTGATTCCCCTTATATGGACATATCGTCTCTGGGAACTGTGAATAATCTGACCCTAGTCGTGCATCTGATGACCCAATCGCTGAGGAGGAAGTCTGGAAATGGGACGGCAAATGCCGAAGGATGGCAGTGAAATGAACAATATACTCCAGTAAGCTCTACCATTTAGATGAATCGGATGCCAAGACAGACGCGTCTCCTAGCTTAGTGCAAGCTTAGTGCAAGGTCGCGAATCTGGGGCTAGATCGGAAAAGAACCTCACTATGCTCCCCATTTGGTATAAAACCCCCGTCTAGTAGGGCTGTAGGTGATATGTTCAAAGAAATGTTCCACTTTATGTCGTTGGGTACTCCGTAGTGAATGCGAGGGACAATTGTCAAGGCTTGGCAGTAAATCGATGGCTCCACATTGCCGAGAATCCCACCTCAGGTCAACGACACGATGCTTACAGATACGAAGCTTGACAACACCACGTGAAGCCCGCATGTGGTTATGAACCGGTCAAGGAAAAGAAGTTGCTGAGAAACATGGTCCTGTACACCTAGACTTAGGGAGGCCTAAGGCAGCGGGGTCACCCGGCTGCGGCCGGACGTTAATGAATGCCATACCATACCATACGACTCGAAGCTCCGCTCCACCAAATCAGGGGCTCCCAGACAAAGGTTACTAGACTGCAATGAAGCAACCGATAACGACTTTCAACTGAAGATATAAAAAGTTCGAGATCTCAGAAAAAGGGAAGGGCATGTACAATGGTAATTTCTCTCAAATCCCTTTTCGAATAAGTAATGGATAACGTAGATAAGATGTTGAAATGATGTGCCTGAAATGTACATTGGTACAAATGTACAATACGGTGCGAACAATCAGCCAATAAAAGCTTCGGGGGAAGCTGAGAGTCCTTTCCGAGTGGGGAACGGGAACGAGTTGAAGGTTTGACTAAATTGACAAACGTATGAGGATCCAATGGGTGTAGTTTCCGCAGCCAATGATATCAGCTTCTGAGAGAAGACTGGAAAACTCGAACTTTTGAAAAGTCGAAGGATGCGGGGCCTTCAAAATCCCTGACCCTGGGTTCATGTCATTATTAACCGTGGAACCCTCCCATGGTGGGACCTAGGAAGCTCTTGGGATCCTTCTTCTCCCTTTAGAAAGATATTCCTTGCACTTTCTACAACGTCTTATTTTGTCTACATAAATATGGACACCATCGCTGTGGACCCAGACCTGTACGCAGCTCAAAGCGCCTACGCCCCCGATGACTGGCAGTCGTGAGTTCCAATGCATCCATCAGATGGCCTGTATTTCTATACTCACACGTTGTTAGCGAGACCACGTCAATTAGATCGTCCATTTATCGTGGTTTGATGGACAACGGGAGGCGGTAAGTGCCGATGAGACTTCAATGCCGGGTATTGACATGACATGAATCTGACATCTACTGGTGTATTGATTGCCATAGATATCAATCACTTTCACAAAAGGAGTATTGGTGGGTAGCCTACACCCAACTATTCCAACAGTGAGAGCGAAGAGGCTCATTCGTTCACAGTATTCCATCAGACGAACAACAATTCGAGACATATGAAGCAGGGTACATATCATTCTCGCCTGGATGACCTATGTGAACATGACTTAACTCTTTTCCAGCCATCTCGTGGATCTTATCTTAGACTCGGATCGAGACAATCCTCTCTTCCGGTCACCTATTGGTGCCGACCGAGAACGCCCGTTACAGGTTCTCGATATTGGGACTGGAAAGGGCACTTGGGCCATGTACGGCAGACCACCTCAACCAGTGCAAAATATCGAGTGCTAACCGTTGGTAGCGATGTCGCTGATATGTTCCCGAATGCGACCGTCCGGGGAGTGGACCTTTTCCCGCCTCCAGTCACCTGGATGCCCCCCAATTGCGTCATTGAGGTTGATGATGTTCTCCAAGACTGGACCTGGCGCGAACGATTCGATCTCATCCATATGCGAAATATGATTGGATCGTTCGATAATGCTGAGTGGGATCGTGTTTACGAACAGTGCTTTGAGTAAGTTTATTGGGGGAATAAGTCTGGACCAAATTGACCCTTTATCAGAAAGATGGCCCCTGGCGGATGGATCGAGCAGCTCGAGGTTGGCCCTTTTATCACTAGCGACGACAATAGCCTGCCAGAGGACAGTGCCTTGGCTTCATGGGGTCCTATTCTGCAGAAGTGCGGTGATCGGGCTGGTCGTCCTTGCGATATCGTCCTCACTATGCCCCAGAGCATCAAAAATGCGGGTTTCGTGGACGTACATGAGAAGGTGTACAAGTGGCCCATTGGACCATGGCCTCGAGATCAAAAATTCAAGGAGGCAGGCATGGTCAATAGTCAACACTGGATGTCTGGTATGGAGGGATGGTGCATGTGGCTGCTCACAAAGTATGGTGATCCCGAGCCATGGACTAAGGATGAAGTTCATGTTTTCTGTGCAAAACTTCGCAATGAACTCAAGAACCCTCACTATCATGCCTATCATAAAGCGTAAGTGCTTATCCATTGTCGGCTCTGGACCGCGACGTTGACTCGCATCGCAGGCGAAGAGTGTGGGCCCGCAAGCCGATGCCCGGTGAAACCCCGCCCAGGTCATCAAAGTCCAGCTCAACCTCAGCAAGCAAAAAAACTGCTGCGTCTCAATATCATATAAAGCATCAACCTCGAGCGTCTACACCTTGAGACGTCTTCCTAACTTTGCTGTACCCGCACTCTAGGCTCGGTTGGCTAATCCGTCGTTTGTGTATATATCATGTTCATCTCGGCTTACCCTATCTCGCAATATCATGTCATTAATAGGGACCCTTCCAGACTGATGCTCACTTTCAGTGACTTCAACCATGGTCATCGATATCCATCCAGATCTAACAGAGAGTGTGCCGGAGAAAGACTGTTGCGAGTGGAGGGAACATAGGTTGGCACATGGGTCCGACCTAGGAGGTTAGGTATAAGGTGAGGAAATCCTATTCTTAGGTATGGGATGGTACTCTATGAGCAGTTAGGTTGCAGACTAAAGGAATAAACGAAAGAACAGGACATTTCAACGAGTGGAGATATACTAGTTTGAGTATTCACTGCACGAGGTCCCCTGACACCTTGCCTTGTCTTTCCTTGATCATCTCGAAGGCCCGGAGGATATTGCGTCCTTGATGTCCCATGTGACCTAAGGGCAATTTGTATCGACCATTGGTCGATTGCACAGAAAGCTGGGCGTGCTCCTCCGTCGCCCATTCGAATTGCTGGTGTTCCAACGGGTCGAGCTTAACAGGGATTTGGAGTGTTGGAACATATTCCCAGTTTCCGGCCGACTTTTGATGGGACTCGCGAACCTCAACAAGGAAGGAGTATTTCGAGAGACGGATCGTAGCACCATTACGGCGATGATGCGCCCAGCAATCTACCGCAACAAGATCGACAATGTGTGATACATGCAGTCCACTCTCTTCCAAAATTTCGCGAACAACGGAATCAAGTAGTGTTCCGTCAGCTTCTAGCTCAGATGCACCTCCAGGGCACTCCCAGCAGCCGGGCATTGAATCCGTCAGTGCTCGCTGAAGAAGAAGAACACGCGGGGTAGGATCGGCATGCGAGAAGATGTACCCGCCGACTGCAAAGCCATCGAATTCAGGTCGGGCGGCTGCGAAATCAGCAAGGGGGACCTTGAAGTAGTCGAGGTGAGAAGCAACTGTATAAGTCATATTTTTTTGTCTCAGGAGAGATGGGGCAAAACCAAGTCTTAGGTTAAGGGAGAGTGAAAAAGGGTAGAGAAATTCTCCTCCAGGCAGCAGCGATCAAATACGAGCTCGAAGAGTTTATCAAACCTTTGCGCTCGCTACATTTTATAAGCCCTCTTGAAGGGCATTTTCTTTTTTGTTTAATTCGGTGTTTTCAAAAGATGGGCTTAACCAAGGACTGTGACTCATGCGAATCATCCAGTTGTAAGATCGGTGTCGCAACCGGGAAACAGGATCTTGACCAAAGTTGATATATACTACATCCAAGCTCGAAATCTATACTGCTCTCTGTATTCTTTTGCTTTTTAACAGTTCTATGGTGGAGTATCGTCACCAAGGAGGTATCACAAAAGGGTCGCTGAAGGGAAGTATGGGATGGAATAACGGCCAAATATACAAAGGGGATCGCGTGTGAGGTAGAAGTGAGACACCAGAGACTTAATTAAATACAACGGTTTTGTGGCCGTTCAAGATCACACGGCGCTCGGTGACATACTTGACTGCGGCGGCGAGGACGTTGCTCTCCACGTTGCTGCCAGCATGGGTCAGCTCCTTGGGGCTCATGCCGTGATTGACCCGCACAACGTTCTGTTCGATGATCGGGCCTTCATCCAGGTCGCTGGTAACGAAATGGGCGGTGGCACCAATGATCTTGACACCGCGGTCGTACGCCTGGTGATAAGGCTTGGCACCTTTGAAGGAGGGCAAAAAGCTGTGGTGGATGTTGATGATGCGCCCGGACATGGCGGAGCACAGCATAGGGGACAACACCTGCATATAACGTGCCAGTACAATCAAATCAATGTTGTGTTCGCGCACCAACTCCAAAATTTGCTCTTCTTGCTGTGCCTTCGTCGCCGCGTTGACGGGGAGGTGATAGAATGGGATATTATAGGTAGCCGCGAGCGTCGCAAAGTCCGGGTGGTTGGAAACGATTAGCGGCACCTCGATGTTCAATTGGCCGGTGGATTGGCGGAAGAGCAAGTCGTTGAGACAGTGACCAATCTTCGAGACCATGATCAGGACGCGGGGCTTCTTCACAGTCGGGTTGATTTCGAAGTCAAGAGCGAATGATTCGGCGGTGGCCACAAACTGCGTGCGCAATTTCTCGAGCTCGAGGATCACATCGCTTCCAGTTGCAGGTGCAAACTGAGTGCGCATGAAGAAGCGTTCCGAGGTGGGGTCGCCAAATTGTGACGAGTCGATGATATTGAGGTTGTTCTGCACCAGGAATGCAGTGACTGCATGGACAATTCCCGGACGATCGGGGCCAGAAAGGGTCAGGATGAAGCTCGAAGACATGTTGAATGAGAAGACGGGTGTTGAATCCGTGAAGGTCTTTGAAAAGGAGACGGTCGAGAGAGATCTTTTTTCCCTTGTTGAATCGGTTTCAGTGCTGACTCATCAATCCCGGGCCGATCTGACATCCGCAAGCATCTCGAGGATCGACGCTTTTGTTGATCTTATCTACGAAGTAGATCTCCATCTAGATCTCTGTCTAGATATCATATTCACTTTCATCTCTCTTGTTCTCTTGTTCTCTTTACATGCGCCGATGCGGAGCTACTATGAACCAAGCATTGTGTTCGGCACATTAAGGGTGCTCTACATACCCGGACAGACAGCACACGCAACAGTCAACCCCACCCAACCTTGCGTCAAATAGGTCAAATCTATCTTGGTCTTGTTCTTGGCTCTCTTGCACCTGGAACCTATAGTCCTATATTCACGACTGGAGTTAGTGCGCTCATTTTGAACTTATCACGAGACGGGGAATGCTAACGCGACCGCCGACAGGCCTGTGCTCCACATTGGTCCTTCACCCCTGTCGTCAAACTAGATTGTCTCGACTGCGCTAATGCAAGTTATGCAACTTTTCAGTCTTCTGAGCCAGAGCGCGTAGTCGCCCAGTTTACCCGTGGAGACTACCCCGCGGGCAGATGTTCCATGCTGCATGCATGATCCGGGTGGTGACTTCCTGGTCACGGATATGGGATGAATGCCGAATTTGGGCTATGCCAAAGTCTTCTACTACCTTGCAGGTGTCTTGGGTAACATGGCGTTCTTCGCTGCCTCATCTCGAGGCTAATAATCAGTCGCCAATAGGTATTAGCTCGGCCTAGTTACGCTGTTTGGGTCTATTTTGGCGACGAGGTAACGCTTGGCCTCTTGTCGGCGGCACATTGTTGTGTTGATGAACCGATGGGTGGCACCCAGACCAATGACACCTCTTGCAGATAATAGCTTCGTTTGCCTTGGCCTTGCTTACTTCAATTTTCTTCACGGGGTTCTAGGAGCGCCCTCCGTGTCCTCGGAGTGCTTTTCGCCCTTCTCCTTTAGGACAATTGACAGTATCTCCCATTGCGGTCACACGGATCATGAAGCCGTGTCATGGAGTTTGACTTCAATGCTTTCATAACCGTCTCTAGCTTTCTTTTGTCATATAAAAGTCTCTATCTCCAGTCGGTCCTCAGATTCTTCTACGATCACTCGTACATTCAAGACTACAACCTCAATACTCAACGTCATGGCCTCCACCATCTCCTTCAACCTCTACAAGAGCGCTCTGTTGTTGGCTGCCTTCCTTGGAGCTGCACAGGCACAACAAGTCGGCACCAGCACTCCTGAAGTTCATCCGTCGTTGACTTGGCAGAAGTGCGCCAGCGGAGGCAGCTGCACTACCCAGAACGGCAAGGTTGTCATCGACGCTAACTGGCGTTGGCTTCATGAGACCGGTGGCTATACCAATTGCTATACCGGCAACGAGTGGGACGCATCCATTTGCCCGGACGACGAAACCTGCGCGGCAAACTGCGCTCTGGAAGGTGCCGACTACACCGGCACCTATGGTGCCACCGCCAGCGGTAGCTCTCTGCGGCTGAACTTCGTCACCCAGGCATCCCAGAAGAACATCGGTTCTCGTCTCTACCTGATGGCAGATGACACCAAATATGAAATGTTCCAACTGCTCAATCAAGAGTTCACCTTTGATGTCGATGTCTCGAACGCTCCCTGCGGCCTGAACGGTGCACTATACTTCGTGTCCATGGATGAGGACGGTGGTATGGCCAAGTATCCCACCAACAAAGCCGGTGCAAAGTATGGCACCGGCTACTGTGACTCGCAATGCCCCCGTGATCTCAAGTTTATCAATGGCCAGGCCAACGTGGATGGGTGGGAGCCCTCCGCCAATGACGCCAACGCTGGCACTGGCCAGTATGGCTCCTGCTGCGCAGAGATGGATATTTGGGAGGCCAACTCGATCTCCAATGCAGTCACACCTCATCCCTGTGATACCCCGTCCCAGGTCAGGTGCACTGGAGATGACTGTGGTGGTACCTACAGCAATGATCGCTATGCTGGCACTTGCGACCCCGATGGTTGTGATTTCAACCCGTACCGCCAGGGTAACCAGTCTTTCTATGGCCCCGGCAAAATCGTTGATACCACGACCCCCTTCACTGTGGTGACTCAATTTATCACCGACGATGGCACATCCACCGGTACCCTCTCCGAGATCAAGCGTTTCTACGTTCAGAATGGCAAGGTGATCCCGCAGTCCGCCTCCACGATCAGCACTGCGGGCGGCAACTCCATCACCGACTCCTTCTGCACTGCTCAGAAGTCTGCATTCGGTGATACTGACGTCTTCGCGCAACACGGTGGCATGGCCGGCATGGGTGCTGCTCTTGCAGATGGAATGGTTCTGGTGATGAGTCTCTGGGATGACCATGCCTCCAGCATGCTGTGGCTCGACAGTACCTTCCCGACCACTGCCTCCTCGACCACTCCCGGTGCTGCTCGTGGTAGCTGCGACATTTCCTCTGGCCAGCCCACCGATGTTGAGACCAACAATGCGGACGCCCACGTGATCTTCTCCAACATCAAGGTCGGTCCTCACGGTTCGACCTTCAATTCTGGTAGCGGAGGTTCTGGCAACCCAGGCTCTGGCACTACGACCAGCACCACCAAGGGTACAACCACAACTACCACTAAGACCACTGGACCAGCTCCCACCGGCGCCGGTCACTATGACCAGTGTGGCGGCCAGAACTGGACCGGTGCCACTACCTGTGTCAGCCCGTATACCTGCCAGAAGCTTAACGATTTCTACTCTCAGTGCCTGTAGACAACAGGCAGTCAGCGCAGAGAGTACAGTTCAGACATCACGGATGAATAGTCTATGCTCTCTGGCGTAGTGGTTATCTTGAATATGTTTTGGATTTGGAATAGTCTATCTTCGATTTAGTGAATTGAACCGCCATTTATTTTCGTATCTCACGCGTTCTCTCACGTAGTTTCTAAGTTGCCTCCTTAATGGAACGGACCTCAAGCTTAACTGCTATTGTCGCTCTGATCTATATGTAATCTCTCTTTCGTCAACCCAAAGGTAAGCGCCTGTTTCATCAGGTAGGTATCACTACTAACATTTCTTCCGACCTTGTCCTCCAATTACCCTGCATTTGCTACACTGAAACAACACTTTCGGAAGACTGAGAGCTGAGTCCTCTGCCTCCTTACATAAAATGTGCTTGGTGCATGAACTCCAGATAGAGATAGTTGAGATCAGCATGTCGGCTATGTAAGCCTTCACCTCCTGTACGGTATTCCCACCGTCTTCAGGCCCCAAACTGTGGCGCTACCCTATTGCTCCGGATTACTCCTGAAGAAATCATGAAGGGCCGTGCGGAGGATGCTCCGACTAGTCAAGCCCCCGTTGCTTTGGCTAGACCTTTGGCGTTTCTTCTCGCTTTGTGGCTACCTCCTCAATCTGACCGGCGCATATGGCGCACTAGTGTGCAAAATATAGTGGGTTCCGGTGATTCAGCGGGGAAGATGCGTCTTCAGGGGTCATCCTCCATCTCGAAGACTTTTGAAGCCAAAATGAAGATAAAAAAACATGACTATAGTTCAAGTACAAACATAACAATTAACAATTAGCCAAGCTTCCTAGTAGCCAGGGAGTTCATGCGAACTCCTACTAATGCTGTTGATCTTCGCCTTTTTAGTGAAGCGACTGGGGGTTTGTCAATTAGGTCAGTGCGCACATGACAGGGATTAAGATGACAATATCCTTGTCAAATACTAAACTTGTCAACCTATTCTCTCTCCGTTGTGACCTTGTGTCCGGTTCATTTGCCGGATAAATCCATGAAAGGAGCTTAGGCAGACTGCATCCTAGCTACCGTCTGCTAAGCGACAGCCCTCACCACCGCTGTAGCGATGAAAATGCAGCTAACAAAGAGTTGGTTGGTTGAATATCGTTCTCGTGTCGGAACTCGGGGCAACATGCACCGTGAAGACTACATTAATGTGGCGCTTTCTCACAGCTCCGTCGTCTCCGCGTTTTCAGTCACCAAGGAATTCTCATGCCGTGCCTGATATGGCCGTCGTTGCATCTTGCTATGGCTTGGTGATCCATTTCATGCTTGGATCCCTGTCCGGGTGGCGGTCCGAAAAAGGTCCAGTTTGGGAGCCTGAAGATGACTTCCCTCGACGTTTACGGGTGACATAGCTTTCTAGACCAGAGGGTATGATGAGGAAACTCTGGAGACATTGTCCTAGTGCATGAGCTATTTTTGATCAGGATGTTTGAGCCTTGTCCCGAAAGATCACCTGAAAGTTGATATAAACCACTTTCTCCCCATCAAGGAATCTTAACCCACGAGATTTCCAATTGTCTGTTCACGATGCGGTTTACTCCTTTGCTTGCCGTAGTTGGCGTCACGGGCCTGGCTCTTGCAGCCCCAGGTCAAACCGTAGCCAAACGGGCTTCTTCCTTTATCTGTGTGTATGGAATCGGACATTTTGATGAGATATCTGACGAAATTGCTTAGGGTTCGGTGCAAGTGAGTCCGGCGCAGAGTTTGGGAATGGTATCTTCCCAGGAGTTCTGGGCAAAGATTATATCTGGCCATCCACCTCAGCAATTCAAACCCTCCGGAGTGCAGGAATGAACATGTTTCGTATCCCCTTCGCAATGGAGCGTTTGGTTCCTGGAGCGTTGACCTCGGATTTCGATGCCACATACTTGGCTGCTCTGAAAAGCGTATGTATTCGGACCTCTAGCCTCTTCAGTCTCTGTATTGATGCCAGTTCGATAGACTGTCAACTATGTCACGTCCAGCGGTGGATATGCCGTGATCGATCCCCATAATTACGGACGATAGTGAGCTTCCAAAACAAACTCAGCGGTGGCATGTTCCTCTGACCATCCTTCCCTAGTTACGGCAACATCATCACATCTACTACTGACTTTGCCGCATTTTGGACGAAGCTGGCATCGGAATTTGCCACGAATGACAAGGTCGTCTTCGACACAAGTGAGATAGATGATCCCGGCCTGTAGACCACTTGCTGACCGAAATACACAGACAACGAGTTCAACTCGGAAGATCAAACCTTGGTATTGAACTTGAATCAAGCTGCCATCAACGCGATCCGCGCCGCAGGAGCCACATCGCAATATATCTTCGCTGAAGGCAACTCCTGGAGTGGGGCGTGGACATGGACCACTGTCAACGACAACATGAAAGCCCTGACTGATCCGCAGGACTTGCTCGTCTATGAGATGCATCAGTATCTCGACTCAGATGGCTCCGGTACATCAGAATCCTGCGTTAGCTCCACCATCGGCCAGGAGCGAGTCGCGGCTGCCACCAAATGGCTCAAAGACAATGGCAAGAGAGGCTTCCTGGGCGAGTTTGCCGGTGGGGCCAATTCTGTCTGCCAAAGCGCAGTGGTGGGTATGCTGGATTACATGGAAGCGAATAGCGATGTTTGGCTGGGTGCAACTTGGTGGGCTGCTGGGCCCTGGTGGGCAGACTACATCTACAGTTTCGAGCCCCCCTCCGGCACCGGGTATAATTACTATATGAATACTCTGAAAAAGTACTTCCCGGGCCCGAGTGGTTCTGGTGGGACAACCACTACCACCACCAAGACCACTTCCACTACTACTGCAACCACCCAGACCACTACCGCCTCTGGACCAAGCACCACTGGCGCTGGTCACTACGACCAGTGTGGTGGTCAAAACTGGACCGGTGCTACCAGTTGTGTCAGCCCGTACACCTGCCAAAAGCTGAATGAATTTTACTCCCAATGCCTATAGGGGAGCCACACGGTTTTGACCAGAGAGGGGAAGAATGGAGGGTCAGGATAGCTGGAAACCAAGTGTCTTCAGTGAGAGAGCATATGGAATATCGTCATGGCCCATGGATCAATTCAAGGAATTTAAGAATACCTGTCATCTCCCATGCTACTGTAAAGCTGCGACAAGCTCATCCACGCTCTTCATCTCGCGCGCATTGTTCTCGCCGACGTCCAGCGCAACCAAGAACCGACTCACGCAGTTATAACCGGCAATGCCGGTAGTGAGTTCCACAATCTCACGATCGTCATACCCGACCGATTTCAATTCCGCAAAAACCGCATCTTGGACCGTGATTGTGCGAGTCATCTGGTCGGTGTAACGTAGAACTGCGCGTTGCCGTGGGGTGAGCGCACTACTCTCAAGCTCGGCGATATCCCCCTCGGCGGTAGAAGGTAGAGAGCGAACGGCCTTTAATTGATCGGGCGAGATGCCACCCTTCAGAGCCAAAGGGGCATGTGCGTTCCACTCATAGATAGCATTGTTGAGTACAGCAACGCGGCAGACGGCCAGCTCCATGACGCCCGAGTCGACCAGAGTGCGCGACCGGATAGCTCCGATGAAACTATTCCAACCATCTGCGACAGGTGGGCTATGAAGTAGAGACAGGTCAAGAGGAATCAATGGGCGAGGATGTCTGCGTTCCGCGATGCGCGCATAAATGTCGGTGGTCTCGGTGGGCGCATCGGCCGGTGGAGTGGATGGGGCGTATGGAAGACGCATCGTGCGTTTGTGGTGGACTGCGATTGATTTGAAGTGCTTGAAGAGGGTTGTTCTACGTTGCAACGGGTACATGAGTCCCAGCTTCCATGTATATGTTTCTTGACAATTCACAACCGGGCTAATGCCGAGGGGAAAGGGACCGCGGGAAATGCCTTATCCGCCAGGCGTACGAGGGGAAACTGTTTTTCCGAATACAATCGGTTCGAGAACGCACGTGATGTGCATCCATGTTTCGAGATCGATGAAGAATTGACAAGCCTACACTTACCTTCCTCCTTATGCTAAGTACGTATGTACTGTGTACTCCATACATGTACACTATTGCGATTGTAAGATTGGAAGTTCAGACCATGGAAGTTGCAGGTCAACGTTAGTGTTCGGGGCAACTCAATGGCGGAAGTATAGTCCGACAAACATAATGCAATGCGCCATACCTGGCAGCACCAATGGAATTTGTGACAACGCAAAAACTACACCATAGTATTAGTGGGCAAGGGAATTTCTAAAAGCAATCCATAGTCCAAACCCAGACACTTGAAAGCGCGTAGACGACCTCATCGACTGACAGAGAAGTAGACCTACTAAGACAAGAACTCGGAGCTGCTCCGAGTATAGTTATGAAGGGAATTGGAGCTCGTGAGTACGCAGTACACAGTACTACAGTACTACCTACTCATGGTATGAAGTGTAGAACTGAACACTAAGTAACTACTCCGTAACTTTAACTAGTTATCTAAAGAAAATAAAAAAGAGATAAATAAATAGAACTGACGTGATTCCGACGTCGGCATTGAGGAAAAAACACTCCCGCGGGGTGCCGCCCCTCGATGCCGATATTCTTTCCCCGCATGAGAATTTCTGGAATATTCAAACGTCTATACATGTGGAAGACATCTTTCTCACGGGCATCTGCTGGCTTATCTCGGTCATTCTCAACATCCTCAATCGCCAATATGAAGCATCATTTGATGGTCGGCACATGGACCGCCCCCGGGCGCATCTATACCGTGCAATTCGATGACGAGGCCCTCACACTGGACTTGGTTAAAAAGACCGACATTCCTGAAGCGGAGCCCATCTCATGGATGACATTCTCTCACGACAAGAAGGCCATCTATGGTGCCGCCATGAAGAAATGGAATAGCTTCGCCGTCAATAGCCCGACTGAAATCGTGCACCAAGTCTCACACCCAGTTGCTGGTCACCGTATGTCCTAGCAACTCAATGGAATGCAATGAACTCTCTCGCTGACGAACTTCTTGCCTGACACCAGCTCTTGCCCCCAGCAGTGAGACCAACACCCGCGCCATCTTCGTGCTCGCCGCCCACAAGCCTCCGTACAATGTTTACGGCAACCCTTTCTATAACTACGCCGGCTATGGCAATGTCTTTTCAGTGAAGTCAGACGGCGCTCTGGATACCAATATTCAAAACTACGAATATGTTCCTAACACTGGAATCCATGGCATGGTGTTCGACCCGACAGAGACCTATTTGTACTCCGCCGATCTCACCGCCAACAAGATTTGGACGCATACCAAGGACCCCAAGTCGGGCGAATTGACCCTGGTGGATTGCCTCGAGGCTCCCGATGCTGGGGACCACCCCCGCTGGGTGGAGATGCACCCAAGCGGCAAATACTTGTATGCGCTGATGGAGGCCGGCAATCGACTCGCAGTATACGTGATCGACGAGCGCACTCATAAACCCGTTTTCACCCACATCACGTACCCATTATTACCCTCTGGTTAGTGATGCGAATGTCAAGGAATCTGAATCCTGCCGCAACTAACCACCTTTGTTTAGGACTTCCTCCACGCAACAAGTACCGTGGTGATGTCACTTTCTGCACTAAGGGAGGGAAATACCTTTTCGCGACTACTCGATCCAACCACTTCGATGTGACCGGCTATATCACTGCGTTCAAGCTTGGCCCGCATGGCGAGATTGAGCGCCAGCTCTTCATTAACCCCACGTCGACCAGCGGCGGCCACTCCAATGCCGTCAGCCCATGTGACTTCAGTGACGAATGGCTGGCACTATGTGATGATCAGCTCGGATTTGTCGAGATGTACCGATGGCGCGATGAGAAGCTGGCACGCGTTGCGCGCGTGGACATCCCCGAGCAAGGATTTGGTATGAATGCCATTTGGTATGATTGAACGAGATATGATGAAAACTAGAAGAATTGTAGTTGTGTAAATAAATAGAACATATATTAGAATAGAAGGCAAAATACTGTCTGTATACCTACAATGCTGTCTTAATCGTCATAGCAGTAAACATCGATGTACTATGTAAAAGGGAGAAACATCGGCAGTCAGTTTCGGTTGCTTTCACCCGGATGAGGGGCAAATGCCGGCGAAACCATCTGGAGGGAAAATATTGGAATGAACATATATCTCTTCTCTCTGGCTCCGACTCTTTCTCTTCCTCTTCATTCGAAATCTTGAATCCTTCTCTCTCCCTATTCTATTGTATCCCCTTAGGGCGTCCTCACCATGCCTACTCCCGGTCTTCTCTACGTCACCATGCAGCCCAAGAGCTCGCTGCCAGACAGTCAATTCCATGACTGGTATAACACAGAACATGGACCTTTGCGTTTACGATTGCCCTTCGTCACCAATGGCTTTCGCTTCCGTGCGACCGATGGCGAGCAGCCCGAGTATGTGGCTTTGTACGATATTACCGATATGGACGAGTTAACCCGCAAGACCTACTTGGACCTGAGAACCGACCTGATCAAGACCGACCGGGAGAAAAAGACCATGGCCCAAATTGACGTGGGCCGTTTTTTGTATGATCTGGTGGATGAGCGCAGCAGTCCCGACTTTCGCCCGTTGGAAGATCGAGCCGACACAGATGCCGAGACCCGGGGCAGCGTTCTCATCGCCGTCCGGGTGGCCACCCACCCGGATCCCGCCAAACAAGCCGATTTGGACAAATGGTACCGCGAAGAACATTTCGAGATGCTCTCCCGCGTACCTGGATGGCGTCGGAGTCGCCGTTTTGTCACTGCGGCAATTGATTCCGCCCCACGGGAATCGCTAACCCTCTACGAGTATGCTCCCGTCAATGGGTTGGGAGGCGATGCCCACAAGGCCGCCATGAATACACCATGGGGATCGCGTCTCATGAGCGAGGTAGTCACCTCGAAGAAACGTCGTGTTTATGAGTGGTACTACACCTTTGGTCCGGCTCCCCGTGAGCTCACTGCGTTGGCTGCCCCAGATGTTGTAGGACCTTGGAACTCCAACGATGGTCGCACCCGTACATTCCCCTCACCTTCCCGTCCGGCAGTCGAGTCCTTCGTCACTACATCTGATGGTGTTGAACTCCCTTACCGGTTGGAAGGTAGCACCGACCCCTATGCGCCTGTCGTCGTGCTCAGCAACTCCATCCTAGTCAACTGGAACATCTGGGATCGTTTCGTTGACGCCTTCTTCGCTCAAAAGCAGAACCAGCGCTACCGTGTCCTGCGGTATCTGACCCGAGGCCGCCGCTCGGAGAGCGGCGAGCAGCCTGTCAATATTGACGTGCTAGCTTCTGATCTGGCTACGCTGCTGGAAGCTCTGCGCGTGCCCCCCAAGGCCGCACGTGTCATCGGCGTCAGTCTGGGTGGTGTAACCGCCCTGAATACTTCTCTCCTCTACCCCGAGCGCGTTGGAGCGTTCATCGCATGCGACACAAACTCCTCCGCCCCGGAGTCCAACCGCAAGGCATGGGGTGACCGTGTGGCCATTTGCGAGAAAGAAGGGTCGGTCGATCCGGAAACCAAGGAGCCCATCGTCGGAGAGGAGCTGGCGGAGGTCACTACTCGTCGATGGTTCGTGCCCGAGTCATACGAGACCCAGCCCGAGGTCCTCGCGCGCGTCAAGGAAGCTGTGCGCATCAACAGCTTGAAGGGATTTGCCCATAGCGTGCAAGCCCTTTGTGCATACGATATCCGCGAACGCATGGCCTCGGCCACTGTGCCGGGTTTGTTCGTAGCTGGAGCTCACGATGGTGTCTTGCCGCAGACAATGCAGAAGATGGCGGATGATCTGCGTGGTGGCGCCGAGCTCAAGATCATCGAGCGTGCAGGCCATCTTCCCATGGTGGAGCAGCCTGTGGCATTTGCAAAAGTTGTGACTGAGTTCTTGAGCAAGATAGATGGTTGATTGCATTTCTATCGGTGATGTATAAATAGATTTTGGTCCCTAGGGTATGCAGGGAAACGACTGATGAATCTGATGGTGATCTATGACCGAAATTGTCCATCGTAAGGTCTCTTCATGGGGACAGATGGCCGTAACTATCCATGTGTTTCACGCTTTGCTAGGGATGGCACAAGATGGCTTATTGTGATATATGCAACCGAACGCGTCATATGCTCTCGTTTGCTCCCTTCAATGCCGAATCTGAATTGCGAGCCCAGAACTATGGTGCTTAAGGGCGCGTGGGTGTCACTGGATGTAGAGGTTGACCGGAAGCTGATAAGGGGGTGTCTTCGTATCCTGCACGCCATAAGACAAATGTTAGCAACCAGATTGATTTCAAGATGTGCATAAAATACAGTATAAGTCATATGATCTGTATTGACAGCCAACTCCTTCTCTTTGTCAGATTGACGTTACTTAAAGAGACAGTCGAGAAGCAAGTGCAGTTCGGCGGGCGAAGGCGGCCAAGGGCGAAGTTCGACTTGCGGGGAAACACCAACCTGTGATTTTTCATCCAACTCAAGTCCTTCACTCGGCCTCTCAGTCTCTCGGTATTTCTCTCATTTCTCTTCTTGATTACTTTTTTTCATCATGCCTGAGAGCAAGATCCCTCAACCAGGTCCTGCCAAACTCAGGCGCGATGCGGGGCCCGACGAGTGGCTGGAGGCTGCGAAGGATTGCAAGTACCTATCGGAGTCGCAAATGAAGCAGCTCTGTGATATTGTGAAAGAATACATGATGGAAGGTAAGTGCTGACCGAGTTCACCTCTGCTCGCCCATACTGACTCTTCACAGAGTCCAACATCCAACCAGTATCGACACCCGTTACAGTCTGCGGTGATATTCACGGGCAATTTTACGACCTCTTGGAACTCTTTCGAGTCTCTGGGGGAATGCCCGACGGCACAGAACTGGATCCTCCGAAAACCTCCACCTCCGTTATTACCTCGACCGATATCGAACCCCCATCAAACATCTCAGACCTCCAAAACCGCAAGCTTCGCGGTCCCACCGCGAACCCCAATGATGAACAGGAAGATACCAATTCGCGGAGTCGATCGGGCAGCAATACATCCACCGACATTCAAGTAAACCGCAACTTCGTATTTCTAGGAGACTATGTGGATCGTGGATATTTCAGTTTGGAAACATTAACGCTTTTGCTCTGCCTCAAAGCAAAGTGAGTGTGGCCGTTGGTGTGATTGCCATACCGTGCACATTGCTGACTTGGTTGTACTATAGGTATCCCGACCGAGTCACATTGGTCCGTGGCAATCACGAATCGCGCCAAATCACGCAAGTCTACGGTTTTTATGATGAATGTTTCCAAAAATATGGCAGTGCTTCGGTGTGGAAGGCTTGTTGTCAGGTTTTTGATTTCATGACATTGGGCGCTATCATCGACGGTAAGGTGCTATGCGTTCACGGCGGCTTAAGCCCTGAAATTCGCACATTGGACCAAGTCCGCGTGGTAGCCCGTGCACAGGAGATTCCCCACGAGGGTGCCTTCTGTGATCTCGTTTGGTCTGATCCAGATGATGTGGAGACGTGGGCTGTCAGTCCGCGAGGAGCAGGTAAGCATCGTCCAAGTTATGTTCGCAACGCACATAACTGATAAAACTTCTTCAGGATGGTTGTTCGGTGATCGAGTTGCCGACGAGTTCTGCCATGTCAATGATCTCTCGTTAATTGCACGCGCTCATCAGTTGGTCAACGAGGGCTACAAATATCACTTCGACAACCAAAACGTCGTCACCGTATGGAGTGCGCCAAACTACTGCTACCGATGCGGTAATCTGGCCTCGGTCTGTGAAATCGGAGAAGATCTTAAACCCACGTTCAAGCTGTTCAGTGCGGTTAGTGATGACCAGCGGCATGTCCCTACCTCACGGCCAGGCCGCAGCGAATACTTCCTGTAAGATGTGATCCGATTTCTGCACCGGCGCTGGCGTTCGGTTTGGTATTTTGGGAAGGATGAGCATTATATAATGATTTAGACCAGATTTAATGATGCATACGCCTTGGGTTTGAATGCGAAGAACGAAGAAAGTAGCCCTTCTATGATCACATTCTTTGAGAAACACGATGTCTGCGGCACAATACATGTAGAGATTCAGCAGAAGACCACGAGCTAACCCGATCAACTGTTTTCGCTCCCTCCTCCATAGAAAACAACAGAGGATGAATTTAAAACCGGAGTTAGCCCGCTCGATATAGAACGGCAATAAGAACGGAGAAAAGCCGCAAGCCGCGGCTCCTGCAATCGCCTTCCGGAACAGATCCCGAACAACGGATTGAATCCCGGATTGCATCTCGGATCGCATCCCGCATTCACCATATATGGTTGGATGCATGTCCTTGACCTCAATTTCTATACCCTCAAAATGGAAAAAGTCGAGGTTCTTATCTGCGGCAGCGGCTCTGCTGGCCTTTGTGCTGCTACCTGGCTCGCCAAGTATGGTGTGCGGTGCAAGGTACTCGAACGGCGGGGGGTCCCATGAAGATGGGCCAAGCTGATGGCGTCCAATGTCGCACAGTGGAGATCTTTGAAAGCTTTGGGGTTGGAGAAGAGCTCCTTCGTGAAGGTTATCACGTCTCTGAGGTGAATTTCTGGGCCGACGATGGTGCAGGCTGCATCAAGCGCACAGGGCGAACGGCAGATACCCAGCCTGGTCTATCACACCAGCCTCATCTGATCCTGAATCAGGCACGGATCAACGGCCTACTCATCGAGCTGATGCAGAGACACAATGATCAGCAAATCGACTATGGTTACAACGTGACCGATGTGACGGTTGATCGCGCCTCTGTTGGAGATCATGACGCCTACCCCGTGAAGATTACCGCTGAAAAGGACGGCAAGATAGAAGTGTTTGCAGCCAAATATGCATTGGTGCGTGTTACTTATCCTTCAAGTGCCAAACCCCTTCATAGTCACTGACTCCAACTCTCCAGGCCTGTGATGGGGCACACAGCATTGTCCGCAAAGCCCTCGGTTACAAAATGATTGGAGACAGCAGTGATGCCATTTGGGGTGTCATGGATATGGTGCCCAGAACTGACTTCCCTGATATCCGCAAAAAGTCCACCATTCGTTCGGCTTCAGGCAATATCTTGATCATCCCCCGCGAAGGAGAGAATGACAACCTGACAAGATTCTATGTTGAGCTTGCTCCAGGAACGAAACCCAAGGAGGTAACGCTGGAGAGTTTGCAGGCCCAAGCACAAAACATCTTCCACCCTTACAAGGTTGACTTCACCGAGACAGTCTGGTGGTCAGCATACGCGATTGGCCAGCGTCATGCCGATTTCTTCCACAAGGATAACCGAGTCTTCCTGGCTGGTGATGCCTGTCACACTCACTCTCCAAAAGCCGGTCAAGGCATGAATGTCAGCTTACAGGATGGCTACAACATCGGCTGGAAGCTTGGAGAAGTCTTGACTGGTCTGGCCAGTCCCTCGCTTCTGGAGACTTACGTCCTGGAACGTCAACAGGTTGCCATTGACCTGATCAAGTTCGACCGTTATTTTTCGAAGCTGTTCTCTTCCGGAGCTGCAACCTCTCCTGCCGAGTTCCAAGAAGGCTTTATCAAATCAGGTAAATACACGGCCGGTTTAACGGCGAAGTACGAAGTTTCGCCCATTACCACCACATTGGAATCGGCCAAGCTCGCCTCCAACGTGGTTGTTGGCATGCGGCTGCCTAGCGCACAAGTCGTGAGGCTCTGTGACTCAAAACCGCAGCAGCTCATGAGGTCTCTCAAGTCTGACGGCCGATGGCGTATCATGGTCTTCGCCGGTGACCTGAGTGAACCTGAAAGTCGCTCAAGGCTCAAAAAGGTTCGTCTTTCATGATGCATCTGGACATTTTGACCTAACGCTTTCGAGTAGCTGGGAGAATATCTGACCGCAACCGATGGGCCCATTAGAGCTTTCACGCCCAAGAACCAATATATCGATAGCCTTATCGAGACAATCTTGGTCGGTCATGGAAAGCGTCACAGTGTGGAGTTGGAGCAGATTCCCGAGTGCTTTTACCCCGTCTCTGGGAAGAATCAAATAAGAGGTGCAGTTCCTCTCTAGACTCTTGAATCTGACCAATGGTTTCTAACCTGAAATGTCTAGATCTACACAAGATTTATTACGACGACGAAAGCTATAATCACGGCCATGGCCATGTATACGAACATCTCGGCATTGACCCGGCGCAGGGAGCTATCGTCATTGTTCGGCCAGACCAATGTGAGCCACGATCCGAAACCAAGACCATTTATACGTGACTGACACTTTCGGATACCTAGATGTCTCCGCCGTTGTGGATCTATCTGATTATTCAGAAATTGGCAATTTTTTCGCTGGATTCCTCAAGCGGCAAACGTAGGTTGCTCAGCGGCGAATATGCAGGCCTGACAGCTAAGGTCCATGGATTATAGGTGTCCGATTCCTGATAATCGAATATCTATTCCTAAAATCAGCAGACTGTAATATTCAGCGGGCTCCATGTGTGGAAGGTTTAAATGGAGAAGTACAGGCAGGGGTTGTAAATAGGTAATAGTGCTTCTCACAAGGCCATAAGGCCATCGTTCGAATACATATCCTTCACTCTAGTAGCAGACAATTCCTACCACTGCCCATACTCTCCAGTAAATCAGAATTGAAGCGATTGAGCAAAGATGTCCAGCATAGCATGGTCGAGGCCCAGAATGGTGGTGGAGGCCACAGTAGATGCCAGTCGGCTAAACCTCTCCCGTATTGGAGTCTCCACCTGACGATGGATAATATCTCTGGCATCAGGAACATGTCGGGTGCATTGACCAATGGATCCATTGCCGGCGCAGTCGGGGTGATGGGGAGGGTCTACAGTGGTGAAAGACAGCAAACAACATAGAGCGGCACGCCAGCGACGTAGTTCATCAGACGGGCATAGGTTAGTGCCGATGTATCAATGTTGAATCAAATATACAATGTGGACATTACTGCGCATGGAATCGATCTAGCAACACGTTGGCCAGATTGACGTACCGTCCCCGGCTCAGATCTTGTTGGGCTAAGATCTGCTCTGCTACCTCATATGCCCAACAAAATTCGGAGTGGAAGTCGCGTAGTTCCCACAGACGGTCTCGGAGCCATTGTTGGTGCAATGCATCGCTGGTCTCAATAATTGCCATCAATAGAGGCCAGTGTAGTCGAAAAAGGTGCTTCGGATCAGTCATGAATTGCTTCTGAGAGATGTCAATAATTCCGGTTGTAGCTTGTTGGTGGATGCCTGCTGGTAAATCATTGACACAGAGAAGCCGACGATGAAGTAGGACTTGGCCATAGAAAGTGGAAACTGCCAGGTATATTGTATTGACCGTCCGTCGGTTGGAGACACTACCGGCAAACTTCGCGGTGATGAAGAGGTCGGCAAATTTCTAACTCAATCAGCGAGGTCTCAATAATGGACATTACATATACTAACATCTCGGATCGCAAGAATTTCACTGAAGAGGGCTTCTGCGGAATCAGCAGTGCCAGTCGCAGACTCTATTAGAGCTTTCCAGGTTCGATGGCGTAGAGAATATCCTGCATGCAAAAGCTCTAGGGCTCTATAATTTTCGATATCATCCAGTACTTCTTCGTCGGGATAGCGCCCGCCCCAGAAACATCGTCCCCATAAACGAGCACACCGATGAAGATGGTCCGGCTGCAGAGCAGGATTCCCAGATTGTATGACATAGTCATTCAGTGATTCGGTAAGACCAATGGGACGGCAACTGGCGTCAATATATCTGTTTTTTGTCAGTTGAAGGCTTATAACCGAAGGCGAATAAAGATCTCACAATACCCACAGTAAGAACTGCTCGGGAATGAAGGAGACCTTAGCCATGCTCTCAGTCCCATTCGACGGGTTGTTGGTTTCAGGGGATAACAGTATATCGGTTACATCCTTGATGCGAAACAGTTGTGGGTGTGATTCTAAGAGTGATCGTACCCCCTGAAGATGAAGCTGAAGCTATGGGCCCGTTAGCCAACAACGAAAATTCCAGGGTGGACCAATCAGTATCTGGGATCAATCCTTACATGGCGCATGGAGTGTCCGAACTGCCATTCCCAAGCTATCATTAAGAATACAGTGGCAAAGACCATCTCTATATCATGCAATGAGACCTGGCGCGGCGTTTCAAGGAGTTGCCTGAATTCTTTGACCGCTTGACTGTAGTGGTACCGTCCGTGATCTTGAGAGCCTACAGCCAACCCATTGCGATGCATATCGCAGGCAGCGAGCGCCAATAGCATCCGCATGATGATCCTATTCGATGCAGCTGGGCCTTGGTAGAGATAGCTATCCGTTCCGCGTATCTGATTAGCTGAGTGCACTCCTGAAGTACCGGGCAGAGGATAGTAACCGCATGTCTTGCCCGCAAGATTGGAGGCTCACCACAGGCTACTCCATCTCCAGCCTTTCATATAGTAAAAGACAAGTGATGAAGATGGAAAGTACTGGAAGTATTGGCGATCAAGAGAGCTGAGCGTCAATGAATTACCGCACGCGGTATTGAAGTTCAATGAAGGGTATAAGGGGGACAACGTTGGGGCTGAGTGGGAGGTGTCAAAAGGAAGAATGTCTTCCGCCCATGAGACTGGTGACAGAAACGTGAGAAGATCATCGGAATGGGAATCGATTGGAGGTCCGGCCTCGGGCATTGGCCAAGGGGTCTGTTCAGGAGCTCTCGGTGCAGGTTGTAGGTGCCGGACTAGAGTGCTTCGTCCGTGCTTCACCGGGACACCCCATTCGCAATTGAGGCGCAAAGATGCACAGCGGGCACAAGTGGGCTTTTCTTCGCCACACTTAACCTTCCGACGGCGGCAAGTACTACAGCCTACAGGGAAGTGAATTGCATTAGTTGGGCCGAGTGTTGGAGGGAAGCTGATAGATGTCCCACCCGTTTTCGAACGCGGGCCATTACGCCCAACTCCCTGCGTTGACATAGAGGAGCAGTCCCCCGCACTTGAACTAGCAGGGATCAACCTGTAGACATGGAGAGATCGAAGACAACAAGTTAGAAGAGTGATTCAAGTCGGATACTACGCGATCTCAGTGCCGAAGCCGATAAGATAACGCGGGGTGCTTAGTCAATTGAATCACGTGAGTTTCACCTACCCCGGTACCCCGGCCCCCGGGATCCACCCCGGGACGGATCGACGCATCGCATCATGGCAGTTTCCTTTTCTGAACGCGCCCTTGCCTTCTTAAGTGTTGAGGAAAATCAAGTGACCTTTATTCATTATCACGACTCCAGATGATGCAGATCATCATGCAGGTATCCTAGTACCTATCTACGTCTACGTGTAGGCAATTTCCAAGGTTCTCTTTTTGTGTCTTTTGAGACCGAACATGCACATTGCCCCTGGGTAACTGGGTTATAGGCTTATAGCGTGGAGATAATTACTCACGATTGGCGCGTCTGTCGACTGCTACTGCGAGGATGAATTGACTGGAAGTACCAATCTCAAACTATTGCATAAGAGGCAACCAAGGATGCCCGTGGACGACCTCCTGAGTCGTATGTGATGATTGAATATCTGAGATCTCCTAATCCTCCCGCGCAATTTCTTCCTTCCATTGGCGGCTGGCAGTGCCATACAAAGCATCGTCTGCAACCATGTCCCATCCGATCAAGGCCAAAGACTTCCCAACAATCAATGCCTCGGTATGAGCCTCGTCTGTTCCGGCTGCGGCTGCGAAGGTAGGGTGATGGGGGAATGAAGTTGCAGGAGCAGGGATTGCGAACATTGTATGGAGCGTGGGAGTCTCATAGCTGACATTGCCTGATATCTCGTTAGCCCTGTCGAGGCGACATGATACAAGCCACATACCGATATCAGATGATCCTGTTAGGACCTTGTCATGGCGCTTCAGCACATGTCGATCATATCGCCCCATGTGAACATGATAACGCTCACAGAGTGTGTCATTTAATCGGACATCGGTGTAGAGTTCATCCCTCGAAGCAAATCAGCACCACTCCCATCAGGCACTTGGACAGAGGGTTGCCTACTCGGAAATTTTGACCTGGCATCCAGTGGCCAACGCACCAGCCTCAATACAGTTGCGCACCTTACCCATCAGAGTATTCAATCCTTTCAAGGTTGGACTCCGCACCTGCCAGAAAGCTTTTGTATAATCCGGAATCACGTTAGCTACCTTGGGTGTGTCCAAGAAAGCACAATGAATACGCTGATCCGGCAGCATTTGTTGTCGAAGAACAGCCACATTGTTGTAAGCTGAGACTAGAGCATCGAGAGCATTGATCCCTTCCCATGGATTCCCACCAGCGTGAGCGTTCCGACCGGTGAATTCGCCTACAAGATGTGTCAGTCGGCCCCAAGAAGAATATCGATCGGACGCCTCACAGTGGATATTCTTGCGGGCATTCATAAGAGTTCCCGCGATGCCATCCGATGGCTCCTGGTCAGGGAAGAGTTTCTTCGGTCCAGGATGACTTCAACTAAAGTCAGCAAGCGGAAAAGGAGCTTGTTCGTAAGGAAATTCTTACGCCATTAGTGAGATGTCGACGCCTTTATAAGCCCCGGCATCAATCAATTTCGCCTTTCCGCCTCCATTCTCTTCGGCTGGTGTACCCAGCAACTGGGTTCGCCCGGAAATACCAAATTTGTTGATGGCAAATGACAGCGCAACGAACGCAGCGATACTGCTGGTCGCAATAAGATTGTGCCCACAGGCATGCCCAATTCCGGGCAAGGCGTCATATTCAGCATTGAAATTGATCAATCGTCCACCACTGCCACTTAAGGCCTCGAAGGAGGTGTCAAGGCCATAGGCGTGACGAGTAACAGTGAACCCCTGACGTTCGAGGAAGTCGCAAATTGTGTCATGAGCGCGGTGCTCCTGATAAGCCAACTCGGGATTGGACCAGATCTAGCAATATCCGTCCAAACATTAGCCAGAGGAAAAAGAAGAAAGACGACAAAGATGCAAAGACTCTACCTGGCTGTTCAGTTTCCGCAAATCTTGTTGTAGTTCATCCAGCGCGGCATCGACAGAGGCCTTGACTTCCTCGATATTGATGGTAGGGAGAGCCATTGTATGTGTATTATTGAATCAGATGAATGCTAATTATCATCCCCCCAGAAGTCAGCGCATGATCATGCGTCTTTATATACAAAGCAGACGGAAAGTGGGACTCGGCAGCTTCCAAATTTGTCGATCATAAAGTGCGGGGAGAGACCAAGAGAAGAACGAGGATTCCCAAGGTTGTAACGTTGTTTCGGATGCCACGACTCCAACACATCACTAGCGCGATAAGCAATCGTCAACAGTCACATAATATAACCGTTATCATTGCTAATTTGTTATCATTCGATGTCGGGGTCATCATATTGGGGACAGCCCTCGGCAATCTGCCCAGCCGGATTAAATCCGGGGTGATCTCTTGAGAAGGATCATCGTTCAGCCCCTTATCTTGTCTCCTCTTTTGGGGATTTTGCTAAGCAAAGTCAACCCCCGACCTTCTTCACGTGCGGGAGTATCCACCATTTACCCGTAAACCTTACTCTGACTGGGGCATGATCGTGTCTTCCTTCCCATTCTCAAAGACGAGTTGATAGTGAAGTGGGGAAGTGGGTTGCCGATGAAAAGGCGAACCTTGGGACCCATTGCCGACGTGGCCATCTGATTGGTTGGACTGCCGATGTTATGTTGCCAAGCTCTGCTCCTCACCTTCTTTATACAAACAACAGCAGCTAGGTATATCCGACTGATTCATGGATAATGATATCGGCATCTAGAAATGACCATCCTCCTCTATGATTGCCATTGAGCTTGCCGCGATGGAAAGTCAGATATCCAACCCCGCCTTTTTCTTGGAGACTTTCGGTCGATCAAACGTAATCCTGACTCGATAGCTGTCGGCAATGAGAACCTTTATGTTCCCCTATCAGCTATGATTCAGTTTATCAGGTGTCGCCACAATCACTCATTTAAATGGACTTGGCTTATGTGCCTGGGAGGCAGATAACACCCCTGGGAGTCGTCAAATGATATAAACCCAACTTCTAGTCCCTGACACCAACCTCAACTATACCGACTATACCTCTTTCTTCGCATTCATTGACCGTATATCTACCCGATACCTACGCTCATCCACTACTATTTGTCTACGTTTGGCCAGTATGGAAAAACAACAAGTCCCGTCCGAGGGTACCAAACCGGACCTAGAGATGCTCAAGCTTGACGCAACTTCTGCTGCTCGTGATGTGGATTTTGGACAAGTGCTTGAGGTTGAAACAACCCCTGAGATGGAGAGAAAAGTGTTAAGGAAGCTGGACTTCTTCTTAATACCTCTCATGGGAGGTTGCTACATGCTGCAGTATATCGACAAACTTGCAATCAGTCAGGCGACCCTTTTTAACCTTCGAGAAGACTTGGTATGCGGCTTTTCTTATCGATCTGATGGAAACCCTTTGTTACACGTGGACAAGCATTAACGATTCTTCTCAACCTAGAGTCTCGTGGGAGATCAATATAATTGGGCATCGGCGATTTTCTACTTCGGTTATTTTGGATGGAGTTGGCCGAGTTCATATCTGGTTGTGAGGTATGTTTAGGAGATTGACGCAAAAGGAACAGGCTAACTCTTGGCTAAAGGCTTCCCTTGGGTAAATACCTTAGCGGCGCTGTTTTCATTTGGGGTGGCTGCCTCCTGGTTCATGCTGCCTGCAAGAACTGGGGAGGTTTAATGGCAGCTAGATTCTTCCTCGGCGTTGGAGGTGCGTACCTATAACAGACGATGGCCGAACTCACTAATATTATTTAACAGAGGCATCAATCGCTCCTGGCTTTGCCCTGATCACAGGAATGTTCTACACAAGGGCCGAACAACCAGCACGACAGGCAGCCTGGTTTTTCGGTAATTCCATCGCTGTCCTTCTCGGTGGACTAATTGCCTACGGCATTGGCAATATCCACGTAACAAGCATTGCCCAATGGCAACTGTTGTTTTTGATTTTGGGCGCTGTAACATCTGCCTACGGCATCCTCTTGTTCTTCACATTACCTGACTCGCCTGCAAAGGCTATCTTTCTGAACCGGAATGAGCGAGCCATTGCTGTCCAGAGGACTTTGAAAAACAAGACCGGGGTGTTGGATACAGGCAAGTTCAGATGGGGCCAAGTGTTGATGGCGATCAAAGACCTCCAAACGTGGTTTTTGGTTCTTTACACGCTCTGTGTCAATTTTTGCAATGGTGGTATCACCAGTTTCTCTGCTATCATCATCACCGGTTTCGGATTCCCTCGCCTGGAGGCTCTTCTGATCCAGATGCCTATTGGGGGCGCTCAGCTGGTGTTCCTCCTCCTTACCACAGGATTCGCCTCCGTCGTGCCGAAGTCCCGCATTCTGATGATGATGGTGAACACACTGGTGTCGATGGTTGGTATGATCTTGATCTGGAAGGTAGATGATGATAATCGGGCAGGCAAAATGACTGGTCTTTGCCTCGGTAGTGTCTTCGCAGCCAACATTCCTTTGTCTCTCAGTCTGATCAGCTCGAACGTGGCTGGGTTTACCAAGAAGAGCACGGTGAGCGCCCTCATGTTTGCAGCGTACTGTATTGGGAACATTGCCGGTCCCCAATTTTTCATTCCGTCAGAAGAACCCGCATATCCGGTGAGTACCTCAGTACTCCGCTCTTAAGGCTAGCAGTTATCTGTTCACTGCTAACTCGAGTAGACGGGTATCAAAGCCGCTATGGCAGGCCTGGCCTTTGGGGTCTTCTTTTTAGCCTGTCTCTATGTCTTTTACGTGTGGGAAAACCGTCGGCGGGACAGGCTGTACGGATCACCTAGAGAGTTGACCGAGACGGAAGAACTGCAGGATGAGCTGTCTAACAAGACCGATCACGAGATTGAGAGTTTCCGATATCTATTGTGAGGTATTCCACCGGACATTAGTGCGAACATAAACAGAATACAAAGGCAATCTGTTTGCTTCATGTGCGTTTTCTCTTTGCTCTCTTGTACCGCGATGCATGACAGACTAGCAAATATTTGGCAAAGGAGTCCTCGGCAAAGTCGTCGAATGGTTCATAAGTGGCACCGAGCTGATACGCTGCTGCAATACCGGATATGCACGCGATCTCGTGCATGTTCTGCAACCAAAATAGGTATCAGTTCTATAGATGGGTGCCGCAAGGAATGGAGTTGACTCACCACCATCGTCCAACTACCTGCATATAATGTTCGGTTGGTGCCGTTGATCAGGGACATTCCAGGAACCACTCGAAGATAGTGTTGCCATCGGTGTCCGAACTGATGCCACCACTTTCGGCTGCATGATGTTAAACTAGTCTGTCATGGAGGGAACATTGGAAGGTTGAACTCAATCACGTACGCAATTACTTTGGATGGGTCAATGTCTTGCCATGTCCACAGGTCTTTCTCTTGATCATTCTGATGGTGTAAACTGTAAATTCATGAGGTGTCGTGGATATCGGAGGGTTGCACATACCAGGAAGATTGTCTGGAAGACTTGCTGGCTTGGGAGTGGTGGTCGTTCCCTATCACCCATATTCTCGCGAAATTGGTGCTGATAATTAGTGCAGTTGAATCCCATTTCGATCTTGCCTGGATCAGATGCGTAGGAATGAGTATAGTACATCGGACGAAATCCCAACCAGCCATCCTTTTGACTAAGTGGCTGCTGCTCGGCGAATTTGATGTGCTCTTTTCTTGCCTGAGTGGTGGGCTCGGCACGTAGTTTTGGATCATAGTGCCCTTCAAAAATTCGTTGGAAGTATTCCGAATCAGAATGGGTAACGGTAATGTCGTTGTAGAACTTCACGCCGCCTAAGACATATTTCTCCCGCCAAGTAGCGTGCCGATCCAAGAGACGCTTTGCTTCATCTGCAGGACAGCATAGCACCAAGTCATCAAAGTTCTCTGTTGATAGAGGTCCTGGTGTCTGATTCTGATCATGATCCTGAAGCTCCAGTGTAACTCCGTTTCTTCCTCGCTCCAGAATTCTGGGATGGCAATTGAGATGAATTCCAACACCCTTGGAGCGCAGGTCTTCGGTCCAGTCACGATAGAAGTCGCTCAAGTTCGGGAATGTATACATAATAGGTAGGTTTGGTAACAGTGTGTCTGGGTCATACTCCCAGAGCTTCATCTGAGGGTCGTTGAATAGACGTTCCAACAGAACGCTGGACACGTTCGGCGTTTGATTCCCGGTACCCAAGAATAAGGCCAGAAGGGGCAAGACCATTTTGTTGCTGAAATCATCGCTGAAGCGAAACAATCGCAAGATAACCTTCACCGGCATGATTCCAAGAATGGGCATCAAATACTTGATACAAGATAGAACCCAGGAGAGCTTTTTTATTTCTGCCGAGTGCTCATCGACCAGAGGGCTCGGGAAGACATTGGTCCAAAAGTCCTTGCCTTTGCCAAAAGCAACTTGGAGTTTGACTGGTTGAGGTTCATGCCCGTATTGACGAAAGAATTGAAATGTGTGTCGGAATATTTGTGATCCCCCCTGAACGCCATCATTTAACCAACTCGCTCCATGTGTGGATTCATTCAGTGGGATCGAAGTTGCTTGACCGCCAGTATACGACTCAATGTCGATGAGAGTCACTGCAAATTCCGGATGTTTAGCCAAGGTAGAGGCGCATGACATGCCAGCTGCGCCAGCGCCTATGATTGCCACTCTCTTGGGTGGCATCCGTGACTATGTCGAAGAAAAATGTCTTGAACATTGAAGGAAGAGGATGAAAAGAGCGAGGACAGAACAGCCCTCTGTGGTGATGTCAGATAGCAGGTTCTCTGATCCGGCGGTGAACCAATCACCGTGGCTGTTGACATTCTTCGATGGGTAGATTGCTGAATAAATTCCTCATCTTCAGCTGAGTTGTTGTCGTCATGGCATTTTCTCAAAGACGAACGCAGAAAGGGATAAGGTGTAGATAAAACTGTCCAGTTGGCAGCAAACGCACTAGTTAGGAATCTTGGAGTCCTCCGAGTCAGTCCGAGTCGTAAGTTAGGTGCCTTAAAACAAAGGAAATTAACTTTACACACGTGATGCCAGATGCTTTTTTCAGTTTGCTTTTGGTCTGCTTTTGCAGGCTGCACGTGACTCATTTATTTGGTTTAGGGCCCCCACTTAGCTTAGGGCTTCTCCTAACCTAAGCTTCAGCCTTCTTCGCTTCCTATTTCACACTTGACATGAGTGAATGACTACACCCACTTGTCGTTTCTATTACTCCGGAACCATGGGATGCAGAGAGCGATTGGGGCTGATCCATGGACCACATGAGGAACAGGTATAATCTGCATGTGTGTCACATCTGTAGCCTCAGATAGGCTATTTCTCTACTGACAGACATATCAAGGAAGCACCAGAGTAACCTTCGCCGGTTTATATGTCTACATTGGCATTGTCTAGAATCATGCAGTGTGACACTATGCAAGGCACGCGTTCTGGAAGTTAGGCTTTGGACGGCTGTGCATTCGCTCTAAGCCTGTGGATATTGCTGATTTGTCGTACTGATGCATCGGGCGTTGATTATGAGCAGTCTCTGTGCTCGCTCTAGATGGAAGCTATGTCGCATTGAGAGTGATCTATCTGTTTCTTGTGTTACCAGAGGGCGATGATATCTTTGGCCAAGCACTACTATGATATGGCATCAAACCTAGGTTCCATGCTATATAAATTTATCGGCTTTGAACGCAAAGACAGGGTCGATGCTCACATCGATTCCATCCATTTGCTTTCTGATATATTCATACTTCACCTCGCCAGCCTTGGAAGCCCATCTCATTCCAAAAGTTGTCGCAATGAAATCGCCTGCCAGAATCATCGGAGTGGCCTTGCTCATCGCGTCTGTCATTGCGGTTCCTCTCAAGGAATTCCAAACACGCCATGAGATCCGACGATCCGCGGGAAAAGAGCGCCGCACAAGCCGGCCTTATATCCCCGGTACATCAGACGTACTTCATCCAAATGGAACGTCTCAGAAGACTTACAGCTCAAACTGGGCTGGTGCAGTCCTTATTGGTACCGGATATATTTCGGTCTCTGCAGACTTTACTGTCCCTGTCCCCCGATCTCCAAAAAGTGCCGATCCCAACACGAACTACTGTGCCTCTGCGTGGGTTGGCATCGATGGTGACACCTGCAATACGGCCATTCTCCAAACGGGTGTCGCCTTTTGTATTCAAGGAGGCACTGCATCGTATGATGCGTGGTACGAATGGTATCCAGACTATGCCCATGACTTTTCACCCAACATCCGGATATCTGCCGGGAATGTGGTCAGAGTAGCAGTTAATGCTACATCTAAAAGTTCCGGCACTGCTACCATTGAAAACCTGTCCACTGGTGAATATGTGTCTCACATATTTCCCAATGCTCTTGGGGGCGATCTTTGTGAGTACAATGCGGAATGGATTGTGGAAGACTTTACGGTGAACAATGCAATGGCTCCCTTTGCCGACTTTGGCACTGTGGCGTTCACAAATGCAGAGGCTTCAGACGGCACGCACACTTACGGACCCTCGAACGCTACTGTTATGGATATCTATCAGGGCCAGGTGCTTACCTCGTCTTCTGTCACCGAGCGTGGTGTTATCGTGAGCTACACTTGAAATTTTACAACAGAATACCAATGCTTTGAGTGCAGCTTTAAACAATTCAATGAAATAATTTTATCTTAGTGGGCTATTCAAGGAACCAACGTTGTAGGGTCATCGGGGACATTAATATTACAAAAGCGGCGAAGAACGTCCCTCACCACATCGCAACAAGCCCCGTAACGCACTATTCTCATTGTTCTGAAATCAACCATAGTAGAAGAGGCTCGTGGGAACTGGAACTTCTGTCTTCCGTAGTCAACAACTATGTCCGCGGCCTTGAAGACTTCAGGCTCTATGTCCTCCACCACTCCCTTTGCTCCCTTGCCCGTGAGATTCGCCGATGATCCCAATAGAGGCAGTTCCTCTATAGCAGCAAGTCGGGATAATTCCTCTACCAAGGTGTTTCCGCTTATCAACATTGCAAGAGTATCCTCGACAACGCTTTGTGCTAACACATCTGGTGGGAGTTTTCGAATAATGGGATGATCGGGGCGATATGGCGCAATAACGCCCAGAGGTATGCTCAAATCGACAGTCAAAAGTTTGACTATACCAGCTTGTTGCGGGGGAAGAACATGAATTTCTTGATGCAGAGAGTAGCTGCCGATCATTCCATTTCGCTTCTGAGATTGGCGCTGTTTCACATTGACTATACGTTTCAGTGCATCCGGGTCAATTGCGACGATTCCGTAGCCGACATTCATCGGGAGAATAGCAATGCCACCCGCCTTCAGCACTTGAAACACGGCTTGTGCATCCTCTTTCGGCTTCGGTGTGCGTGGTGAAGACATTATGTATGGTCAGCGTGGGTCAGTGTAGAACGTTGGCAAATTTCGAAGCAAGACTTTAGCAAAAGAGGTAGCCGTGAAATGTCAAGGTAGGTCGTTAGGTTGGAGACAAACGGACGTACAAATACCAGATAGATAAGGGGCGACTGGTGCTACCGCCATTCTGACAACGGAATGTAATCGGATGTCCTTCTCTGCTACCTCGGATGGTCACATATACTACATTGATACTGTAGGGTTGTACAGTATAAGAATGGTGGGGATAGACACCAATACCCCTGATGCTGCCTTACTCTCAACGGGTGTAGACGCAGTGTGAATAGTCCAATTTGCTCTCATTGCGCGAGACCGACACCCCGCATAGATCGCTGAATAAAGCTATAGAAGCTAGCAAACCAGCATAAACCACAAAGTCCGTTTCTTCCATGTTTCCCCTAGCGCTAAGCTCATTCAATCTTCACATGCGACTCATTGGAACGGAAGTCTCCACGATTTGCGCCCCCGTTGTCTTTGAGTTGGGATGTAGTGATACTCGATAACTCAGTCGGCCACACAGCATGCCAGGTTCCCTGTGCACGCACAGCATAGTCATGGCCTTTTTCGAGACCCGGTACCGGCAATTTGACCGTGAGGTCCAAAGTTTCACCCGCTCGTATCTCGACGAGATCTGCCTCGGAGGCTGGTAACTTGCGTGACACCATGATGGTGGGAAGCGATAATTTCCGTTGGTCTGTAGTATCAGACACCTCGAAGACTCCCAGAACCCCGGCCTGAGGATCCAGTGGTGAACCCCATCTCAGTATGGTGACTGGCCACTCAGCGGCATTGTGAACGGAGACCTTGATCGGTAGGGGAGATGCTGCTTGTGCCTCCAAAATCGGTGCCTGGGGGGCCAAGGTGACCTGTAGACTCAAGGCTGACTCCATAGTGATGAGCTTTGGTTGAGATATGAAAATCACACACGTAGAAAGGATTGAATTGAATCAGGTGGGGGGTGCAGAGGTTCAGAGGATTGTTGATTGTTCTCACGCCTTATAACTGAAATTGTCGATCATTTTGAGTCAAGATGAGGTGGCCCAATCAACCTGAGCAACTCCATGCCAAGTTAGAGAGTCAGCCCTTCCCCCGCCCGGTCTTCCGCACAACACTTCCCCTCTCTGACATGCCCTCAGGGGTCATTCGTCAGAAAGATTAAGCCTCTGCTAATCCTCATTTTGATTTTATATCCGACATGGCCCCTGTATGGCTGACAATAAGCATTATGTTTCCAGTCAAGACTTGGGCGCCGTCTTAGGTGGTATCTTGGCTACTTGGCACCGGAGTCCGTTGACGGACGCAGGGTCAAGAGGCTTGGCGAAACATTCAGGCATTTTCCAGGCATTTCGGAGATAATTGGAATGATTATAACACAATTTTGAAGTGAATTACTAGCATGATACCCTTGGTTTCTCGCCTAAGAGTCTCGCAAACATACTGATCCTCCTAGGTTATCAGACTTGCATTGAGTCCACTCTATGCCTCAACCAAAGTGCATAACATAAGGATATGTCCGGTGGACCCCGTGGCTTGAAGCCTTACTGTCTTAGCCGCAGTGGCTTCATTTGGGAACCGATCGTGAGGAGTTACATCGGAGGCCCCCTCGTTCAAGCCACCCATGTGGGATCTAGTGCCGGTTCAGCAGCCTTCGGGCAACCGACTTGCTACAATTAGCCCTTCGGGGAGTGCGGGTTTCCGTCGGGCCAAGACGACATCCATGATGGGTTTCCTCAGGATGAACCCTTGTTTGAGATATCTCCAGCCAGTTACAGAATTGCCCGCAGGTTTTCCCCTGGGCATCTACCTATCTCAAAGCAATTGTAACCAGTGACAGAGTGCATGCGAGTCTCCCCTGGTCTATGCAAGGTCAACTCCGTCCGTGACCTAGTCGTCTCACGAAGGATACCACCCTCTTTGCTTGACCTTTCCTTTGGTCAATTGCCGGAGCATGAAAATGCGGCACGGCGTGGGAACCGCGGCAACTCAAACCGTTCGTGGGGATGGCTTTTCAGCGAACTATAAAGCAGCCGATGTTCTTTCTCAAATTCAGGTCTTCATTCCAGCAGCATTGAAAACATCAGACCACCAAGTATCTTCTTCTCAACGTCAAGCACAATGCGTCTTATTGCCCTTTCCACCGCCGTCCTAGCTCTCGCACAGCATGCGTATGCCTTGCCAGTTGAGAGCGATGCTTCTGGTCTTGACATTACCCTGAGCCGTGTCAGTGACACCCGCATCAAGGCTGTCGTGAAGAACGCTGGCAAAGAAGATGTCACCTTTGTGCACCTCAACTTCTTCCGTGACAGTGCCCCGGTCAAGAAGGTTGGCGTCTTCAAGGATGGTATGAACAGTCTGTCTAGATATTATCAGCTCGAAGCTAACTTTTGATAAGATGCCGAGGTCACCTTCGAGGGAGTCAAGCGCCGCTTCGTCCTCGACGGTCTCAGCCCGGAGTCTCTCACCTCGCTTGCTGCAGGAGAGACCTTCGAGGATGAATTTGACATTGCATCCACCACTGACTTGTCCAGCGGAGGCCCTCTGACTCTTCGCTCAACTGGTCAAGTTCCTATCGTCGTTGATGGCAAGGTCACTGGCTATATTCCTTACAACTCCAATGACCTCAAGATCGAGGTCGATGGTGTCAAGGCATCCCGTGTGGCTAAGGCTATTAAGCCGCTCAGCCGCCGCACGAAGGAGACTTGCTCCGATTCTAGCAGGAAGGCGGCACTTGAGAAGGCTCTCAAGAACACTGTCAGCCTCGCAAACGCTGCTGCCACTGCGGCCACTTCTGGCTCTGCCTCCAAGTGCGTACATATCCGATACTCTGGGTTCAAGCATACTGACGGTATTTGTTAGGTTCAGCGAGTATTTCAAGACCACCAGCTCCAGCGTTCGCAACACTGTGGCTGCTCGCCTCAAGGCTGTGGCCAAGGAGGCCGGCTCAACCAGCTCTGGAGCCACCCAGTACTACTGCTCAGATGAATACGGATAGTCAGTGCTCCTCTTCTGGTTCTTTTCATGTGAATACATGGCTTACATGGTTTATACAATTAGCTGCGAGACCAACGTTTTGGCCTACACCTTGCCATCTCTGAACGTGATCGCTAACTGCGATATCTACTATTCCTACCTCCCGGCATTGGCCAGCTCCTGCCACGCCCAGGATCAGGCAACCACCACTCTGCACGAGCTCACCCACGCTCCTGGCACATACAGCCCTGGAACTGATGACCTCGGATACGGGTACTCCGCTGCGACCGCCCTCAGCAGCGCGGATGCTGTCATGAACGCTGACTCTTATGCCCTCTATGCCAATGGTTAGTGTCTACAGTCTATTTCCCTTCATGTATATCAGCTAACCAGTCAATAGCCATCAACCTTGGCTGCTAGGCGGTCAAACCCCCTCTGGAGTTGCAGGATACACGACCAGGGTGAAATGGAATTGCTGAGCATTAGTTAGTCATGAAATACGTAGCCATGTTTTGTACATATCGACGTGTGCGGAAAGATATTGAATTGAAATCTTAAGCGTCGTCGGGTTGAAGAGCCGACCTGGCTGAGATGTAAAAGGAGTGAAATGAACGTAGAATATAAAACCTGAAGCTGATGTGCCCGGGTATTTCGAAGCTCTCGTTGCGAGAACGTATTTTGCATAGTTTCGTAGCATTTCTTCTTAGCCATTTTTTTTCTCAGCCAACTCTCCAACTCATTCCCATCCCTGCTCGGATAGCAAGTAGTAGACCCGTTGACGACGTCCGGGAAATCTTTCGGCCAGTGGGTCCTCCTTCAGGGCAAAGTATTGCTCTCCGGGGCAGATGAATTTGTCTTGTCACTTAGGAAACGATATTTGATGATGACATTTGACTGCTCACTCCATTCTACCTAGGTCCTTGCTTTAATTGGGTGCTCTGCTTTATTTGCAGTCGAATCTTAGGCTGAAGGTATCGTGCCAATTAAGTTCACAATTGAATGAACCAAGGTGGTTGATGCAATTAGTCCTCCACAGGAAGTGCACCACCGGCTTGCATCTCGAGCGCCACCTCATCAACCCTCTTCCATACCCTCAAAAGATTGCCCCCTGCCACCTTGGACGCATCATCGTCACTTACTCCCCGCTTCAAGAGTTCTTTGAACAAGTCTGGGAGCTTAGATACATCCTCCAGTCCCCTGGGAACCGTCGGAATGCCGTCAAAATCACTACCTATACCGACGTGCTCGAAACCTATAAGGTTACCGACGTACATAATATGGTCTGCGACTCGCCCTAGAGTGGCATGGTCGGGGTCTGTCTTTGGCATCTCGTCGGCACGGTCAGAAGCTGTGCAGGAGATAAAGTCTGGTGAAAAGTTGACCATCACCAAAGAGTCGGTCTCCCGGACCAACTCCAAGATATCATCGGGCACGTTGCGTGGGTGGGGACAAATAGCATAGGCAGAGCTATGGCTGTAAATCACAGGAGCACGACTCCCGGTCCATTCTGATTTACCAGCGCCCAGAACATCTCGCATAGTCTGCGTGCTCACATGGGCTAGATCAACGATCATCCCAAGACGGTTCATCTCGAAAACTAGCTTCTGGCCTTCCTCGCTAACACCGTGCCAGAGAGGTTCTGCCTTTTTGATTCCGCCGCCTGGAAGTTCGAGAAGGGCAGCGTCGGCATACTTATTATGGCAATTATGGGTGAGAGTCGCATATGAGACTCCTAACTCATAAAACATGCGGAGGTGAGCAAGTGAGTTCCCGATCGAATGCAATCCCTCAATTCCGAGTGGCGAGATTATCTTTCCCTCGCGAAAAGCGGACATGGCAGTGGTGCCATTGGGCGGGGTTGAGAATACCTCAGGGTAGGCTTGCTGAACCCGCTCCATGACATCAACTTGCTCCATGGTCTCGCGCACGCCTTCAATCCACTGTAAGTAAGTTGTATAACAGTTTGAAGTAAAATATCTTACTTGCGGCATAGTTCTCATCGGAGAGATCAGTCCCGTTCTTAGGACACGGCACGAAAACGCTCCAAAAGGTACCACCCACTCGACCTTGTCTCAGCCGAGGGATATCAACATGGCCAGGCAATGTCCCATTGACAAAAGGCTCCGTGAAGTTGCGATGGTTTATACGGTTTTGGAAAGCCTCTCGAACGAAGATAGGGAAGTCATCATGACCATCTGGAACAACCGTTAGTTATGACATGAATATAGTCTTCTGCCACCATACCAATCAGAGGGGTCTGTGACAGGATCTTTTGCACCCTTTGCTCGATACTGAGGTGAAAACAGGGATGATGCGACCGCGTCAACCAAGAAGTAGTAACAATGATACAGAGAAGCAGCCACCAGAATGGGTTTATTGGAGTTCTCTTCTGTCTTAGGGTCAGCCCATCTTCCTCGCCTTGCTGGCTTTCCATTAGGAAGCCCTTTTTCTCGCTCATCTCAGGCATTTGAAGTGTTGTGAAGTCGAAGAACATTGGAAAGCAGAGATGCTTATCGATAGGCTGAGCCGCTAAGGTTACATCCACGAGCTCAGGAAAGTCGCCATGATTGAGTGGAAGATCTGTATTCTACATGATCTAGTGCAAAATGATCTCAAATCCGTGCGCAAGGACTGTATGTATCGATGCCGAGAGTTACACTGTTACACTACTTCTACCACAGTACTTCGTACATACTTCGTACGTATCTGCTGAACAAGTTCAACATTTTAACCTTTGGCGGTCCGGGTCTACCCGAGAGACTGTCGGATAATATCGGTTTCTGGCCCCCGCCATAGGCTGTTTATGTAAGTATCACGTGGTCAAATAACTGGCTCAACCGGGTGGGCGGTGAGTGTGACATACTGCAGCCCACCGCCTTCGACCCTCATAGATGTTCCAGTAGGTAACAAGGATAATCACTCAAGTGGGCTGGATCACTTGCCTTCACAATCCGTTGGATATCCTTGACATATGCTTGAATGAGCAAACATCCTCCCCATTTTGATTGAAGGACTATCACGGTCAACATGACACAGTCTGGCAAGTCCACAGCCGGTCTGCTCCCAATCCCAGCAGCAGCTACGCAGAAGTCGGGCTCTGGGCCGCCCGCAAAGAAAGCACCTAAACCTCCCGCTCCTCGTCTAAAACTTCTTATTCGACGTTTGCCACCTGGGCTTACACAGGCTGAGCTGGAGAACGCCCTTGGGGATCAGTGGAAAGTCGGTGCAGGGAAAGTGGACTGGCTTCAGTACAGGCCTGGCAAGGTGTCAAAAGAGTAGGGTGCTTTCTTTTCCTGCAATGAAGAGCTTTGACTGACTGGACTTTTCCAATCAGCCCCAACAAGCCATCTCGCCCGTCACGAGCATATCTTCATGTTGTCTCCATCGAATGTGTCTCTTCGCTCTCCGATACCGTACGCCAGGCTTCTTTTCAAGACACCCGTAACACGATTAATGACCCTATCTTGCTGGGACCTCCATCATTGGAGTTTGCGCCCTATGCCAAGACCCCTGGAAGCCGTTCGCGCAAGGATGCTCGGCAGGGCACCATTGATCAAGACCCAGACTTCATTGCATTTTTGGAAAGCCTGACTCAGCCCATCACAAGGCCGGCGGCTGTGGATTCGACGGCTGATGGCGAAGATAAGAAAAAAGAAGCCGTAATGACTACTCCGCTGGTGCAGTTCATCAAAGACAAGAAAGCCAGCAAGGCAAAGGACGGGGCTGCATCCAAGTCCAAGCATGGTCGGTCGGATAAGGAATCGAAGCAGGAGAAGGTTCAAGCGAAGAAACTGTTGCAACGTGGCGATAAGGAAGACACGGTAACTTCCACAGAGAAGAAAGCCAAGGGAGAAAGGACAGGTAAAGAGTCTGGAAAGACAAGCAAGCAAGCAGCGGCTGCCAATGCGAAGGGAGGAAAGTCGGCTACCACGACAACTTCTACGAAGGAAGTAACCGCCGCTCCGGAGCGTAAAAGGGAGCGCGGAAGTGTCGCGGCGGCCACCAAAATTCTTCAACGAGATCTTGGACTCACTCCATCTGGCGGGCGGCGACGCGGAAAAGGCGGTTTGACTGATACTGCAACCCCCAAAAACGAAGGCTCTCGTGATTCGTCTGTTCTTCCAGCTGAGGTGCCGAAGCGAGACACAGCCAAACAGCCCAAAGGTTCTATGTCTACAAGTGGTGCTACGAAAGTCAAAGACGGCGAGTCATCTTCACGAGTCGATACAGCTCCTGCGCCGCCTACAAAACCACCAGCCAAGTCTACTAGAGGTGGCAAAGCGAAGGCCCCATCCACTGCTAAACAAGCATTTCTCAAGCATGCGAACCCATCACAGGGTGTGACGGAGGCACTTCTAGAATCTGCATTCGCCTCATTCGGGACAGTCACCAAGGTGGAGATCGACAAGAAGAAGGGATTCGGATATGTGGACTTTGCTGAGCCGGAGGGTCTTCGCAAAGCCGTCGCTGCTAGCCCCGTATCGGTGGCGCGGAGCCAAGTGGTTGTATTGGAGCGCAAAGAAAGCCCGGGGATTGAAAAGTCCCGCAAAGGCCGCGAGGCCTCAGGTGCCAACAAGGCCAAAGCAGCGACTGAAGCAGCCACCGGCGCTGCGGGGGCTGTGGGGACTGGCAACAATGCTGCAGGAAACGCTGGCTCCTCGCGCGGATCTCGTGGAGGACGTGGATCTCGGCATAAGGGGCCGAAGGGAGGTGCTGGCGCTTCTGAAAAGAACGGAGGTGCCGAGGCGAAGTGATAGCCTCCATGATTGATGCCCTGGCAGTTCACGAGACAGGATACCCGAAGGAATGATAGTTAGTTCCTATTCATGAGATAAGCAGTTGTATGATGCCCGTGTAATGCTTTTGACATGCGACCTGGTCACTGCACAGGTAGTAAGGGAGGCCAACCGACGCATAGGTATTGGGTCTCGGGAGCCGGCTAGGCACGAGGCACCTTCAAAAGTGCAATATTATTTTGAAGGACATGGGCGCGACCCGACGAAATCCGGTTATCATGACCTAGCAGGATTACAAGCACATCAACTACAAATCAATATAGCCAAACAGTACACAATAGGCTCAATTGATGATTCAAATATGGTTTCAAATTTGCTATCTGTTTGAACCCCTCACAGTTCTCCGTACCATCGACCAAGACGGAAGAGGACCTTTCAGACCTCCTCGACACCCACCAGGACCGACCGACCGAAGTCAGACGCCGAGACCAGGTCAAGATCATCACCACTCCCTGGACCGAAACACAGACACTGCAAGCAGCACGCGTGACAGTCGAAGCGGGAGTAAAAAGGTTTCACTTTAGGGCATCGAGGACATGTAGTCATCAGCAAGGGTGGAGATTCTGTGGCTCTTTTAAAGAGCTTAGAAAGGGGACGTCTACTCTAAAGTGATTCTTTGAACTGTTGAGAATGGTCAGTAAAATGATCTCTGAGACAGGAGGATTGTTTTCCAACTGTAGGGGGAGGGATAACATACGTAGAGTCGCTTGAAAAAGAGAAGAAGGTCCGGGGGACTGGCTGTATTTATATTCGCTGCCAGTGACGCTAGTGCTAAGCGAGGATGTCACCGGTTTGCTTGGTTTGCTTCTTCCAGCGGAACTATTTAAATGTTGGACCAATCATCAACTATCCCGGCATTCAAAGTGGGTCTTATCCGGCGGATCCCTGGCAGAAACTTCATCTTTCAGCTCATTTTTCGCCGTATCAGTTCTCATTACTTGAGAATATTGAAAATCTGCCATTTCTATGTGTCAAATGTAAAATGCCTCGGCTTTCGATTTACCGGTGGGCCGCATTGGGCTCGGCAAGCCGACGTGCCGGTCGCAACTCGCAACAGTTGTACGCAGTATGAATATGATGCAGGGGTTGGGCAGCAGTAGCCAGCTCAAACGGAGGCTAGACAATGACCCTGCTGGTTCCGACGATGTACCATGCGCAAGGATGGAGTTTATGTATATGTATACGAGGATGAATATCAACACAGGCACAGGATGAACCGTGAAAGACTACGGAGTACTCCGTACTCCGTACCAGATCGGAGAGCCATGTGGGGTGGGTGAAAGGCGGGACTGATAAAAAAAGGGTTGGTTTCGATATTGCTACTGTAGGTTGTACTTCGTGTACTCAGTACCTTGGGCACAAGCAGGAAGTACTATGCCGGCGTCAAGTCGAGGCGATAAGGCCCGTCAAGCTGGGCTACGGCGGGCTGCTTGCGATTTTGATTGTTGCTGGGTTGGCAGATCATATGTCGATAGCTGTTGGAGCTACGGGTTATCGAGTTCAGGACCTATGGAAGTGACATGTATCTGCGGGCCATCTAAGTAACCAAAGCGTCTCTATCTTGAGACAGAGACCGGATCATGTGTGAAGTAGGTTGCTCTCACCCATCAACACCCCTTCAGTGTTCTCTATATAATTAGGTACCATGTCGCACAGGTACGCCATTCCAGGATGGAACCTATGGAACCATCACCCATCTCCACGGGCATCTATATAAATTCAACTTCCGGGCACCTCTCATCAACGTACGCCTTAGGTGTAAGTTACTATTGCATGGATATCTCGATATCAACAGACCTCACTCTGTCCGCTTCTTTCATTAAATGGGCCTCTGCACTTAGTGAGTCCGCTGGCAAAGTATAGACTGTGCATCAGGCGGGCCCGAGATGTTGGATTTGGTGCTCGCGAGGTTCTGGTTTGGATCCTAGGTGGCAACCGGTATCAAAGTAGGTTGTACACTCGACCCCTGATGCTACCTGAATAGACCCTACCTCCGGGGTCATAGTATTAGGATCGATAGCAACACATTGTCCCGCGGAAGAAATTTGCTGAGATGGCCCTGAGAATTCGGGGTCAAGATAAACCATAGCCTTATGAAATAGGTTAGACGCCCGTTTCCTTTCTCACCGATGCAAAGTGACGTACGATAGGTAGGACTAGGAGACTGCGCGGCCACCGCAGTTGTAAATACAACGGAGAGGAATCGAGAGAATTGCATGGTTGCTAAGTTTGAGGCCCTTTCTGCCTTAGAGGTACAGGTTGGTAGGTGATACCTAGGCTTGATTTGATGTATGCAGCGTTGCTTGTGCCCGTATGTCGTGTCTCTTGCTCTTGCTATATTTGGGATGGGATTGTTAGGTAGACCCAATAAACTCTAATTTCGTCCTTGGACTGGAGGGAGGACGGAAGCCGGTACTAGGCGATCTTGCCAGGTCGACAGATCTACCAATTATGATTGCTTGCCCGCCTGCTCGGTGGGTGAGCGCCGAGCGGCGAGGTGAAAAGCCCCTACAGGGAACAAGGAAGTAACAAAGTGAAGGAGTCCGAACTACTACCACATAGGGCTGACTGCCGACTGGCACGCTGAGCTCAGAGCTCAGAGCTGGGGCTGGCGGCTGGATTACAACTTGTACGACTTGATAAGTCTTCTTATTGATCAGGTACTTAACCACTCGCGTGTTGCGTGCCGTTTGTTGGAGCAGTGAAGAATGGGTCAAATCAGTGGACCAAATTAGTGACGTCAAGGAGCCTTGAACCGAAGTCCCTTTTCCGACGTGCCAGATGAGTCGGGCCGCGCACCCAGCTTAACCCTTATCGCTTATCGCTTATCGCCCGCCTTTATCCATGGATGTGGGGATCCCCCCGATGGCATCTAACCCCAGACTTTTGGACTTCACAACCATGGCACGTCCGAAGGTCCATCCAGCAAATCGGCTGCGAGCTAGTACTGCATGTACTGCCTGTCGTGCATCAAAAAAGCGCTGCAGTGGTTATTTCCCATGCACCAACTGTATCCACAAGGGACGCGGTCGCTTATGTACACCGTTCAAGTCCTTGACAGATGCATCCACCCACAGCCGTCCACTACCCGTGTCTCGACCCGCAGAAGAAACACCTCAGACATGGAGTGGGCAAGCGGTCGGCTTACATAGCCCCTCGAGATCGCATTGCGATGATATAGCCACCCCCAACTGCGAGTTCGAGACATTGCAAGCCGGATCCCATTCTCCTGAGGCGACGCATCGGACGCATCCGCGGATGCTCCGTAACCTACAAGGAGAAAAGGGTATGGTGTCTTGCCAAAATTTACATTGTGGTACTGATACTGTCTGTAGTGTACGTTGGGAAAGCTGCTTCTCTATCTTTTCTGCAGTTACTTCGGGACACAGTAATGCAACATATTGGGCCCTCACAATTCTCCCATAATGTGAGGAATGAGGATATGCTCGAGACCGAAGCTCACCATGATTTGTTGAATTTCTCCGAAGAGCGGTGTACTGCTGACGAGAAAGACCGTTTCATACGGCATTATGACGCAGTGGTAGGCCAGATATTAGCCAGATGGCAAACGAGTTACTGACATTATGCAAGACAAGAGGCTTCCTCAACCTTGGCTGTGGTGATGACACTTTGTCTGCGTCGACGAGTCCGACAGAGCCCGAATCCGACCGGGAAAAGACGAAAGCAGCCATTATAGATCTCACGGTTGCCATTGGAGCACAGTCATGCCCGAATGACCCTCAAACCGTTCAAATAGAGCAGTTCTACTTTGCTCGTGGCCGATGCCGCGCATTTGCAAACATGCTGGAAGATCCCAGCCTGGATTTAGTGCGTGTTTTCCTACTCATGTCGTTCTATATGCTGGGGGCATGCCGTCGAAACACGGCGTTCATGTATTTGGGTGTAGCGTCACGAGCAGCAGTGGCGCTCGGGCTTCAAGCAGACTCTCTAGGCCCAATGGGCCGCGAGGAGGGGAATGAGGCCTGTGAACGGTAAAAGCTTCTCCGAACATTTATTTAAGCTAGCTGACCACAACAGATCACAAGTATGGATGAGCCTATGTGTTCTTGATCTACTTGTCAGTTCAATCCTCGGTCGACCTTCCAGTATATCACCCCTGTTGCCCGATAAGCGACGGGAACCTAGGTGGACAGGGATCACGCCGCCCGATTCTGGATTGGTAGCCTCATACCATCTATCATTGATACTAGATGAGATAATGAGTCGTCTTTATACCGAAAAGGCCGCTTCTACAGAAGAGGCAGAGTCACTGTTACGCAAGCTCAACGGGTGGAGCGAGTCTCTTCCTCAATCGCTGAGAAGGTCGTCCTTGGGACTGGACGATCAAGGCGTCGCCCAGAGCCGCACAATCGAGAGTATGCACGTTGCATGCTCATATCACTATGCAGTCATTCTAGTCACGCGGCCCTTCCTTATCTCGGCCTTGAGCGTCCGGCTTGCCCGGTTGCATCAGAGTCTCTCGACCAACGAACCTACCGAGATGCCCGAAGAGGACCCAGCACACTCTCGCCTTGCAGCGGCATGCATAGATTCTGCTGTCTACATGCTACAAACATGCATGGAAGTTCATCAGTCTGGGCTGCTTCTTCGGAATATGTGTATACTTATGTACGTACCCGCGACTGCCCACTCAATCAATCACATGGCTGATCCCAACACCCAGAGCGTTCATCTTTGCCGCTGCTCTTGTCCTAGGGTTCTCCATGTTCTCCCATCGTGATCTGGATCCCGAGACCGATGAAGCATACCGCGGGGCCCTTACCATCTTGCGTGTGCTATCGTTGCGGTCTGCCCAGGCAGCGCACTATCTAGAAATTACTACAATGCTTGAAGCTGCCATAGTACAGCAGCGCCGACGACTGTCCGCTCAAGTCCGCCAGCAACGAAATAAATATGTCAGTCGCATTTTCAGCTTGAGCGACAGCCCTGTAACACCGCCGAGGCAGACCGGCGAAGACGAGCAAGCAAGCACTGCGACGCCACTTCTCACACAGAGTATCCCATCCTACTCTTGGTTACAATCCGATGACGGCACCGCTGCTGTTACTCCTCCCATGGTTGATGGGACTTTATTTGACTGGGAGGGTATGGATCTGCCGTTATGGGATAGCTTCCCATTTCTTATAGAGTCGAGTACAATGTGATGATGTGCAGCAATATACCGTTTTTCCGTTTGCGCAAATGCCACGTAAATCAAGGTCTCAAGTGTCTCTGCTCATTGATAACTGGAAAAGAACCGTGGCCTTCACTCAGGCCAGGTTGCTGACGGCAAAAGCAAGCAGGGCGAGAGTGAGATAGGAGCTCCTCATTTTCTCTTAGAATGACCACTCCAGCCAGAGTCAAAAATACCTAATGGGGGATATAGGTTCGAAGTATCCCAGTAGAGCTGGTAGACGTTCACGTCCGTATCCTGAGTCGCCGAGGAGCCCATTCTTATCTTGCCACATAAGACACGCGACACCCAAGGATATATCTATACCCGACTTCTCTATTCCTCTACATGTATCTTTCACATGCGAATCTCCTCTCTATCTCTCACTCTTCTCTTAAGGTTCAATCCGACGATAACCGTCAGTGCGCGGCCCGCCACCCGAAGGTGCAGTAGCCGATGTAGATAACCTAGAGCACTCCAAAGTAGTATTGAGAAGACCTTATAAGATAAGATACAGATATAGCTGCTTTACCAGGTCAGTTGCATCATATTCTCTGAATCGCTTTGTCTCACACCTATCCGAGGTACACCAATCTATCAACATGCAAAACATGTCGGGCTGGAGAAGTCTAAACGTAGGCGTCATTGGCGGTGGTATTGGCGGTATGTCTGTTGCGGTTGCCTTGCGTCGCGCTGGACATACCGTGACCATTTACGAGAAGTCGGATTTCGCAGGCGAGGTTGGCGCTTCGGTCTCGTGTGCTGCCAACGGAACCCGCTGGCTACACGAGTGGAACGTGGATATTGCCAAAGGTGACCCTGTTGTCCTGAAGAAACTCATCAATCGCGACTGGAAGACGGGAGAACCTGTCAGTGTGTATGATTTGGACGACTATGAAAAGCGTTGGGGATATGTATACAACATGTTCCATCGCCAGTATATGCATACCATGCTTCAGGATGCAGCCTTGGGCGAGGGCGAAGGTACCCCGGCAACGCTTAAAGTGAATCATCGGGTATTTTCATGACTTGACTCGGACGAAGCTTGCGCGTCTGCTAATACCTGACATCTAGTGCCGCGATATCGATCTGAAGACGAGCACGATCGTATTCGAGAACGGAGAGGTTGTATGTCACGATCTGATTATCGGAGCTGATGGAATTGGGTCAGCCGTTCGCAAGGTCCTTGGAATTACCCCAGAAAAGCGCCCTTCCGACCAAAGCTGCTTGCACACAAATGTGACAACCGAGGAAGCCGTCAGACTCGGCCTGGCCGACTACTCCAAAGATAGCGCACTGGAGTACTGGGGCGGGCAAGAGGGAAAATGGGACAAGATCGTTCTGTCCCCATGTAACGGTGGCAAGCTCTTGTCCTACTACTGCTTCTTCCCGCGCGAGAAGGGCGACTATTCCACACAGACATGGGGAGCTGAAGACCGCCCTGTCGAGGAACTCCTCGACCCGTACCCAGAACTGGACCGACAAGTATATGGCCACCTGCAAATTGGAAAGGAGATCAAGCCATGGCGTCTGTGGGTCCATGAGCCTTATCCGTACATCCGACGCGGTAACACTTGTCTCTTGGGGGATGCTGCACACCCGATGATGCCTCATCAAAGCCAAGGAGCCTGCATGGCCATCGAAGATGCAGCAGCCCTTGGAATTTTGTTTAGCAAGCGGTATTTTGCTGGGGATATCGACCAGGCGCTGGCAGTATACGAGGAGGTGCGTCTGCCCCGTGTTACCCGGGTACAGGCCGCAGCAGCCAAGGCGGCTTATAACATCAACGAACGGATTGGTAAGTGCCTGGAAGCGTAGGTGGAGTGCAAGTTCGCATGCTGACGAGTGTATAGGCTTTTCTGCCAACAAAGACATCCCCACATACAAAGTCGAAGACGCGAACAAGGTCTTGACCATCGAGGAAATGAACGCGTGAGTCGGATGAATCCCAGCCCCGTTTTGGGCGTAACGCTGACAATGAGTAGCTACGATATGTACAAAGACATCGAGGAGAAACTCGCCTCAAAACAGGGCACAACTTACACCGGCGCCTTCCTGTGCGGACTGCCCATCGGACTTGAGCTTCCAAATGGGATCACCATCGGCGCATGAGTCGATACTCTCACCTGAATCTCAAACAAATGAGTCTTTAGCCACATGATGTTGTTCCACTTGGCCCAGAAGCCCGAGTTTTCTGCATGTTGAGCTTTTGTATCAAACCATGGTTACGCACATACTAAATTCCTGCAATAGTCCATTCAGTTTTATTGGGACAAATGAACCTACTTATATTCTGCACACCCGCCCTGGTATGGACCACAAAGTTCTCCTTGTAAAACAGAAAACGTAGAACAGTTGGCTCACTTCGAAGTCGGTTGTTGCCATCCCGAGCCTCTCGGGGAGAGATGCACCGAGCGGGAGAACTTCATCCGCGGAGCCTGCCCGGAGGTAATGGATGAATACATGTCTACCTTATTGACAATGAATATTGGACGATAATAATAGCGTCGTGTTAGACAGGTTGTTGAGAATAGATACTTCGATGTACTTCTATCGTACGGGTAGAACACCCTGATGCCTCTGCCCAGTTACTAGGCTACCTAATGGATGTACGTGGCACATACATGGTCTTTCTGGAAGTCCGCAGCTACAAGGTATTAGAACATAAGATCATTCGACAGGCACATGCCCTTCAATCTGTATATACAAAACGAGAGTATTCATTCATATGTCATCATCTCATTGGTTTGGATTATCCAACTATTGTTTCGAAAGCTTTTTAGAACAGAGCATCACCCAGGCGGTAGTGCACCGTCTTAACCTGGGTGTAGTTGTCCAGGGCGTAGGAGCCAAGCTCACGGCCGAGACCGGAAGTCTTGTAGCCACCGAAGGGAGCCTGGTAGGAGATCAGGTTGTAGCTGTTGATCCACACGGTACTGCGTCAAATGTTAGTCTTGATACAACAGAACCAAAGTTTGAATATTACATACCCAGCCTTGAGAGCATTGGACACGCGGATGGCAGTGTTGACGTTCTTGGTGTGAACAGCAGCAGCAAGACCTAGAATCAACAATTAGAATGATTATTCATACTTCCAGAATGGACTGGGATATTTACCGTATTCGGTGCTGTTGCCAATGCGGATGGCATCGGCCTCATCCTTGAACTTGGTGACGGTAATAACGGGACCGAAGATCTCCTCCTGGGCAATCTTCATGTCGGGGGTAACGTCGGTGAAGACAGTAGGCTGGATGAAGTAGCCCTCAGTGCCGTGGCGCTCACCACCCAGGGCGACGGTGGCGCCCTCCTTCTTGCCGTGGTTAATGTACTCCATGATGCGGTCGAACTGGAGCTGGGAAACCTGGGGACCCTGGAAGGTGTCACCCTCGAAGGGGTTGCCAAGCTTGTTCTGAGCGGCACGCTCCTTGAAGCGGGCGACGAACTTGTCGTGGATGCTCTCCTGGACCAGCAGGCGAGAACCAGCGCAGCAGCACTGGCCGTGGTTGAAGAAGATACCAAAGTTGGCCCATGAGATGGCATTGTCAATATCGGCGTCCTCGAAGACAATGTTGGGGGACTTGCCACCCAGCTCGAGAGTGACCTTCTTCAAGTTGGACTTGGCGGCGGCCTGCAGAATCATACGGCCGACAAGGGTGGAACCGGTGAAGGCAACCTTGTCAATGTCCATGTGGCTGGAGATGGCAGCTCCGGCAGTACGGCCGAAGCCGGAGATGACGTTGACGACACCAGGGGGAAGCCAGCCTCGACAATGAGCTTGGCAGCATAGAGACCAGACAGAGGAGTCTGCTCGGCGGTCTTGATAATCACAGTGTTACCGGTAGCGACGGCAGGACCGACCTTCCAGGACCACATGAGAAGGGGGAAGTTCCAGGGAATAATCTGGCCACAAACACCGACGGGCTCGTGGCGGGTGTAAGAAAGGGTCTCTGGGTTGGTGTCAATGGTCTGACCGGTGATCTTATCAGCCCAACCACCGTAGTAGCGCAGGCAACCGGCAGCATTGGCGATGTCGACCTTAGCCATGGTGACAGCCTTGCCGTTATCGAGGGCCTCAATGGAAGCCAGAATCTCCATATCACGCTCAAAGAGATCGGCCAGCTTGGTGAGCATGCGGCCACGGTCCGAAGGGGTCACCTTTTTCCAGGCACCCTCGAGGGCCTCACGGGCGGCCTTGACAGCGATGTCGACATCCTTCTCGGTAGCCTCGTAGACAGAGGTGATGACCTTCTCGTCGGTAGGGTTCACGGTCTCGAAGGTCTTGCCGTCAACGCTCTTGACGAACTCGTTGTTGATGAACCTGACGCTTCATTTAGCAGTGATCTCATTTTCATGGAAAGGGTGAACAAACTTACAAGCCAAGAGGCTGCTCATAAGTGACGTTGGGGGTCTTGATGGTAGTGGAAAGCGACATGATGGGTTACACTGTACGACAAAGGAATGCGAAAAGAGAGAAAGAGGGGGAAGTCTCGAAGGTTTTATATAAGTCTAGGGTTCCAAGATTACGAGCTTGACCCATGGGCGTTTCCATTTTCTCTCAATGCGGGGTCGACCTTGAACCTTCCTCCACTTTCATGGCTTGGTATTGTCAGGTATTATATCCATTTTATATCGGATGGACTAGGTACGGAGTACGTTACATGTATTTCGTGCATGTTATTTCAACGTTACAAACATGCTAGTTACCTTTAAATGCTGTGTGGCTTAAACGTGAGCTTACTTGATATTTGTCAGGGAGCTCTAATATTGCCCTAATCTAAGGCGATTATATGAACGACACCCGGGCAGCTTTTGTGTCGATGAATAATACTAATAATAACTGATACCGAGGTGACAGAGCTTCAATACACAGGACTAATGATAAGTGATCACCGAGGTAGTAGGGCTTCCAAGGTGATGACTACTACACTTGCAGCTACACCTGCAATTGGGCCTAAAAATCCAATAGATCAGTAGCCTGACGCATAAGGAAAAAGGGTCTCAATGTTTTCTCCAAGAGTGAATGGGTGAATGCGCAAACAAGTTACAACCCCTCCTAACTGCTCAGTCCAGTTCCATCCAACATCATAGGAATCTTGGCGAATGACGTGGAGGTAAACTGAGGTGGCCCCCACTCGGGTGAAGGCCGAGACTTCAGTCGCGGCCCCGTGGGTGAATTACCAACTTGGTACAAGTTCCTACTACGCCGTACGAGCTACGGCAACCTACTTTACCTTCAAATTTGAGGATCCCAGTGAAACAGCGCATGTATTGCCTACAACGGTCAAGGGTGTCCTTATTTCGGGCCAAAGGGTGAGAAGAGGGGCAAGTGGGGATCTGATCATCATAATCAGTATTGTGTACGCGGGCTAATATCTCCCCGGTGACGAGGTGGGGTACCTTGTATGGTCAATAAATGTGTCTTCCCAACACAAGTCTGTCAGATTGGCCGAGAATAAGCGGGTTACCTAGCAAAAGAAAAGAGTTACCTTTCTTCATTGGATTTGGCGATGTACAATTACAATATTTGTACTCTGTACGCAGTAGGCGCATTGTCCAAACTGCAGCCTTTTCTAGTGAGGGGAATGAATGATTAACAATTGCAGCACGTGATTGATGGATTTCTACTAGGGCATTACGCCATGGGGGGAAGTTTCGTGATGATCACATGACCACATATCTTTAGGCAATACACAGTAGCTTCTGGATTCGGTCAACGAATGTCAACATAGTATGTGATCTGAGTGCTAACCCTTTGCTCACCATTGGTATTTGGTGTGAGGCCAATGGGATCTGTTTACAACAACAACGTCGAACCCCGCTCTACAACTTTCCGCGGTTCAAGAACCGCACGGGAAGGTCAACATGCCGCGCCCGCAGATATTCCGCCACATTCTTGCCTAGGAAGTCAACCGTGGTCGTCACACCGACACCGCGGTCCAATAGATTGCGGAAAAGGAAATGCACCGCATGAAGACTAGGCAGCTCGAAGCGTTCGATCGCCAGCTGAGGATTTTCGCGTCCATCATCTCCCAGCAGCTTTTGCGCTGTATCGACAGATAACAACGCTCTCAGCCATTGGTATTCGTCGCGGTGACGGACCCAGAAACCACAGTTGGCATCGGCCCCCTTGTCACCGGACCGAGCGTGAACAATCCAGCCCAGCGGGCCACGAGTCGTCGGCCCAAAGTCACGCCCAAGGTCGATGGCTTCGCCAGTCTGCGTGGTTGGCTGAGAGGGTTGGCGCAAGGGGTAAGTTCTGGTGTTTGGTGGAGGCGGGATATCCAGAGTCTGTGTAGACGCAGTCGGCTTCCACGGCATATGCACACGGTGCTGGACTGCAGATTGCGGGAGCAAGCTGACATAGTACTCGAATATGGCACGTGGGAAACCCTGACGCAAATCCAAGTGGAAGGTAGCGCCGGGATATCCTTGCATAATATTATCGGTGATATGCTTGAGGAACCGTGTTGGGGCAATGTCCTCGGCATACCGCGCCTGCACGACGATGCGCAGTGGCACAGTTGCGCGATTCTGGTCGGAGGGGTCAGGAAGGGAAGACCCCAGTAAATCGAACTTGAGAGATGTATATTTCTCCGAATATGGCGACAATGATCTGCGGATCTGTGCCTCAAGCATGCGTGCTTTGGCTTCTATATCCAGACCAGTCAAGAACCACCATGCCTCTGCTTGGAACCCACCTCGTGCAGTGATGCCCACCTTGGTGGTCGGTGGAGGAGGACCAGACCGAACCCCATGAACAGCGACGCGATTGACGCCACGCTGCGAGAAGTGGATACCATCGAGGACAGCCGTGACATCGGAATTATAATACCAGGGCCCTTGGATTTCATATAGCAGCTGAGAAGTGCAGGTATCGACCGTGACTGCACCGCCGGTTGCGTGTGCCTGCTTGGTGATAACAACGTCGCCTTCGGCAGAGATCTCGGCGATTGGATAGCCGATATTCGTCCAACCATCTCCCTCTGCATTCTCTAGGGCCTTGAAGCCTGTGAAGTTTCCACCGCAGACGTAATTGCTACATTCGATCAGATGGCCTGCCACAAAGGCGTTGGCAAGCTTGTCCAATTCATCGCGCTGCCAGCCATGGTACCAGTACGCAGCCCCAATTACCGGCGAAGCATCTGACACACGCCCGCACAGTACAATATCGGCACCCTCTGCAAACGCAGCCGCGATACCGAGACCACCCAGATAGCACTGGGCATAGATGGGTTCAAAGGACCAATCCGCTAACCGTTCGCCGGTGTAGACATTGCGAAATTCAGACCCAGAATTCAACTCTTTCTGAACGGTAGATAGCACCTCATCTCCAGAGACCCATGCGATCTGTGCATTGATATCAGCAACTTTCAGTCAAATTTGAGCGCCGCGTCGACTGACCTTCAAGTCGAGCTTCTTCGCCTCCACCATGCGTGTCACCACGTCGTAAAGACCCTTTGTATCTGTCACCCCCGCATTGACCGCCAGCTTGATCTCATATTTGGCCAAGTCATCAAGAGCCGGCTCAAGTGCCTCCAGAAAAGACAGCTCATAGGCAGGCGCTGCTGCGTCTGGGGATGTCGACTGGTCTACCCGCCGACCCGCGGCGGTGGCCATGTTGAACTCGCTCATAAAATCCGCAATAATGACATCGATAGGATCGGTTGGGTGATGACGCGCAAAATCAGCAATGGCATGGCGTCGGTCTGAGGCAGAGCCCGAGGCACCTACGAAGGTCAGTTAGAGGTACATTGTACAATGCCAACAGACTTACTTACCTGCAATTCGAATGGGTCGACCTTTGTATGTCATTTTTCTTTAACCGGTGTTTTACCTTGGATCCTTGTACACCTCAGAAGCAATCTTATCTTGCTGAATATAATAACTGAGACAGAATCAATATTACCCCATACGGTTCACGACCGAGGTGGTTCCAAGTGTCCATCGGACCGGGGGTAAACCGGGGCCTCCCTCGGTTGCCCAGAATGCGGGGTTGAACTCAATTATCGAGAAATGCTGACTACTGTGTATAGGAGAGGCTGGAGTACAAACAATGTAACCATTTACTGGTCTTTGCGTTACCATACTTCAGAGATACTTGATTGAAAAGCATCCGGTATTGTTCTAACACGGTATAACCTTGTCTTTTCTTCATCTGAACAGAAGAAAAAAGAAAATCGTTCTGCGATATAAGCTCATTGCCGTTTTGGGACTAGTGCGTTTGATATACTTGCCCTTTACTGTAGCCTCGATGACTCGCAATTAGATTTGAGCTCTTTATTTATCTTATACTGCTTTCTTTGGTTACGGATGGTTCCAGTGTCTTTTGGGGATCATCTTTAAAAGATATAGTACAAGCTAGCAACGCTTACGTTAACGCCCGAGCTTTTCCCGGATACTCCATGCATAAGACATAGTAAATCACCTGCGCCGCCTTGAGTTGGTACTAGGCATTTCTTCAAAAGCATCGTCATCGTCGTCGTCGTCATCGATACCATCGCTGATAATACTCATATTACGAGTGGAGCGGCTAGGCCGTGATGACTGAGGAACGCTCGCCTGCGAGGCAGAGAAGTTGAGAGTGGACTGGGTTGGCTTGCTCCGCGTAGGTGCTCGCCGAGAAGCGGTACCGCCGACAGTGGCCGATGATGGGACAGGTGAGGCAGCAGCTCGCCCACCGCGGCGCTGAGATGTGGGTGCCGCGGGAGCGGGTTTCCGAGACTGTGTAGTAGCCGTAGAGCGAGGCTGTTTGACAAATAATGCCTGTGAATCGTCGTCGTCGGAAATTACATCCACACCGAGACCACCGTCATCGTCATCATCCAGCATAATCACATCTGATTCATCGTCTGAAACTATTTGTTTCTTGCGACCCTTCGTAGTCTTTGTTTCTGTGGTAGGTTTGGCCTTGGTGGTTCGCACACTGGCCGCTGCACCCCGTCCACGACCTCTGCCACGTCCCCGAGCTGGGGCTGAGCTACGACTGCGAGCAGGCTCTGTCCCATCTTCCCGAGCTTCTTCCTCTGCTGGATCGCCGCCCTCGTTGTCGGAATGAATGAGTGCACCAGGCTGGTCTTCCCATGTGCCGTCAAACTCAGAATCCCAGCCATCTGGTTTGGGCTTGAAGCGCTTCTTTCCGCGAGTCCGCTTCTTCACGCCTTTTGAGAACATATTTTCCATTTGATCACGGTATTTCTCCATGGCAGTTACCAATGAGCTTTGTCCATTCTCCTCCTCATCCAGCTCATCATCGTCACGATCTAATGATAACAAGTGTTTGACCTGGCTCTCGAGAGACTCATTGACAAACATTTCCATTGCATGCTTGTCGTCCTTGTCAATGAACTGAGCCACGGCATCCCCGAAAGAATTCTGCGGCAAAATGCTTAGTGACTGTGATGAGAGGAACTCGCGGACGAGCTGTTCGACTTTCACGGTGTCAAGCGCTGACAAATGAGAAATAGTTGCCTCATCGACAGATTTATCGTCTTTGCGGGAAGTGGATGCAGCTTTCTTTTTCCGGTAGAACTGCACCACATCGTTCACATTGGCGACTTTGCCCACAAATCGGTTGGAGAATCGCTGTGGGTTCTCACAATCATAGCTACCTCCCTCGGGCGTGGAGGTCTCCACGCGAAGGCGTACGAGAGGAAGCGGAGGCTCGACTGGATCGCCCTCATCTTCCTCCTCGCGGCTGGCTTGCATCTCTAGCCATTCTGCATTGGCTTCTTCGATGAGTTCCTCCACAATTGACATCAGAATCCGAGTTACTTCTGTTCTGTTATTCTCTTTGCGTGCAAGCTTTTGGGCTCCCTTCTCTTCAGAAAGTACAATTTCCCGCATCACAAATGGCCGCACTGTCTTCAGTCGAATAGGTTCATTTTTGAATTCCCGGCCTGTGACACTCAGGATAGAGACTTGTTTTGGAACAGCTTCCCCTGGCACCAGTGACGTTGCGACGGACGACCCTGGTTGCATAACATGGAAGTTGGTCTCCGGGTTCAGCTTAGGATCAATCAAACACTCATGCTCATGTCCCCAGACAACCAGATCGAGGAAATCGGGAAGGAAATTCTCCGGTAGGTAGCTGGTTTCTGTATGGGCATGGTGGTTCTGATGCACAGACATCAGGTTAAACCAATCGCTTTTTTGGACAGACGGCTGGAAGAATTTGACCTTGCCGTCACGAAAGGTGCGGAACAAGCGCTCGTCTCGGACATTGCTCATTCCGTACAGTGCAAGCTTCGTCCGACCTTTCTGAAGCAAGACGGGTTTGATTTGAATGTTGTCTGACTCCGGTGTCCGGCCATAGTAGTTAAGTAGACCCGACACCTGCAACAGATCTAGTGCAGCCAGATGGCCCTCTCCCGACGGATCATCGTGGTTTCCGTGTATCGAGAAGATGGGGATCGCCACGTTCATATCCAAGTCCTCGTAGTTGACATGATTGAACGCGCCTTGGAAGTTCTCGCTTGCATCGCTGAGCATCTCCAACTCGCACGGCTTATCTCCGAAACAGTTCATGCGTATTGATCGCATGACCTGATACATGGACTTCCGCGATGGCTTATTCTCGTGGAACAAGTCTCCCGCCAGGAGAACCATATCAACGTCCTGCTCCTTCGCCAAACACATTATTTCGTGGAAGGTCTTCCAGCTGTCGTCCCCTCGGATTGGATCTCGTTCATTGTAGCCGACATGATTATCGGTGGAGATGAGGATGCGGATAGTCTCTGATTCTGAGGGAGGCCATCAGCAAGCTGAGTATGTGAGACAGTAGTAGGGCAAAGTGTCATACCATTTGCTCGAGGCATCTTGGTCCACCGAGTTCAAGAAAGACCTCAACAGCTCATTCAGCAGCAGCACCAGACACTTTAGCGAGATATGGGGGGCGACAACACAGGGGCGGTATCTGGGAGCTGTCGTATATCAACAAGGCATACCGGAGATATCACAGTGAATTCGTACTAACACCATGGGTGACACAGCGCATTTGCGTGATGCGTCTGCCGCGCTGTCACGTGCTGAACGCGTGAGCAACGGCCATCCGGCATAAACCTCGAATAAATTGATCGAGTAGTTGCTAAGAGATTACCGATTTCAGAGCAATTGGGGAATTGGGTTGATTTCGACTGAACAAAAACCACAAAAAAAGCAAAGCTGTAGCTATATACTGTGTAGTGAGATCAAAATACCGCAATATGTAGAGCCGCATGGAAATGTGCGCGATGGCCGCTTCGAGTCGCCTTCCGCGTCTTCATTCTTCTCTTTTTCTCTTCAACATCACTTCGCCCTCACACAAATCTCCATCGTACCGCTTTCTTTCGACTCGACTGACCCAGGCTTATTCGCTGGCTCAGTCGCTACTACCCTTCATTTCCGTCAAGACCTTTTTATGCAACCAGAGCCAACTGCCGTGTCTCAACATACTCCCCCCGTTGACTCATCCCCGATCAGTACCAGTTCCACCCAGCATGGACATGACCTCGATGACGCTCAAGTCTCTGGTTCCCTCAAGCGCGAGGGAACCAGAGCTCTTGCAGACGTCCCGAGCATGTCGACACGAGATGAATCTAATGCATTCTTGAATGGGGTCGATGGTTGCCCGGCCCCGCCCTCGGCCGATCGAGCGAGCAAGCATATAAGCGCCCAAACTTCTCCTAGGCACGCACCAAATTCTGGGTTCCGCGTGGTGGAGTTTGATGAGCAGCCACAAGTGTCTTTTGGGACCTTTCCAAATGGTAGGTATCCAGCCATCCCACCGCACAACTCCATCTGTTAACCGTCCTGTTCAGAGGTCCTTACCCACATCCTATCGCATTTACCCCCACAATCCTTATCCGCCATGACGCTAGTGTCGCGTCGATTTCATGCTCTTGTTACCACTCCTCATGCATGGAGAATCGCGTTTTCCCGGTTCTTTCCTGGTCCTCATGCCATAGAGGATGGTCGACGTAGCACTTCCAACGAGGCAGACCTGCAGTCGGATAGAAGGTTCTTTGCAAGGCTGACGGCGCTTGCATCCTGGCGGAGCGAGTACATCTTGCGTACCCGTTTGATGCGATCGTTAGCACGGGGCAAACCGGCGCAGTTTGAGCCCTCCAAGAAGCATGGAACAGTACGCGCGGCGAGTGTTCGTCATGGTAGTGCGGTAGCTACCTACGCATCACAGCTTCAATTCCCTGTCAGCCACATGCATGCCTCCTTCGGTCCCGACAGGGGCCCTCTCTTTATTCATGGAGCTGCAGAGCAGGGAATTGCATCTGCCAGTGACCCATCGACCGTGAAAGTCGGCACTTGGGGTATTTCTGATCACCAGATGTTCCGTCACTTTGCCGATCTGTTTCCTGGAGAAGCACAACACGGTCTTGGATCGGGTGATATGGTCGGCATGCCCAACTCGATGGACGTCAGTCAGCCATATGGCATGATCTACGGCGAAGGATGTCCCCAGGGGCGCAGCTACTTCATCTCAAAGACAGAACAACGTGGTCGCTTCATAGGAGCCTCGGAGTCGGGCTCTCACCCATCGCTTGGCATTCCGGCTGTGAACATGGTCACACATGCTATCTGCTCGGTGTGGATTGCGAAATCAGCTCATATCCTCAAGATGACTCAAGGGCTTGTAGGAATGCTGTCCGGTTCATCCTCAGGCGTCTTGACTGCCTATGCTCTGGGTCCCCATCCGACGTACGAAAGGAGATATGAGCCAGGTCAAGTAACTGCCAAATGGGTTTTGTGCCCTGGTGTCCCTATCATTGGCATTGCAGTGGATGATCAGTTCTCATCTCAGCGCCATTCAGGAAGACGCGTCTGGGCTGTTGCGCTCAATGCCCTAGGGGAGATCTTCTATCTTACTGAACTTCCTCGGTTACCTGACATCCCGCTTACCGCCAAACTCAACTCTGAACAACTTGACGAGCTGGCCTGGAAGACTGGTAGAAGTGTGCATTGGGAAATGGTCGAAATCAGTAGACGTGTGGCACGTCCCGACCCTTTCAATCGTGAATTGGTCGATGGCAGCTACAGTCCGCGATCCTCATCAGATTCCATGGCTCTCAATGAGCACCAGCTTGCCGCGGAAACCAAAGAGATAGAGAAGTTCATGTCGTTCAAGCCCAAACACTTCCGCAAAGTCTGTGAGAGCTGGGATATGCAGCGCGATCTCCAGGTAGACTTTGCTGGAGACGATGGCCGCCGTGCAGGCGAGTCAATAATCATCATCACCCGAGGTTCGACCGAGGATACGAAGCCGTCGATCCGGCGATTCATGCGCACTGCTTGCAATTCTGTTTCTAGCTCGTCGGTTACACCAGAGCCGTTTTCGACTTCAACGGAACCTCCGCCATCGATTTTCGGCGGTCCTGTCAAAGTTCCTAACCCAACGGTTTCCAACGAAATCCCCGTACCCGCATCACCCAACAGGATAGGTTCGCCTGCGACGGAATTTGGCTGGCGTCTCTCTGATTTTGCTTTTGGAGATCGCAAGCCTACGGAAATCAGCACCAGCGCATTGGACACGTCCGCTTTCGCGGTCCTCACAGCCGAGGAGGATCCTCTTCTGGCCATGTCTGGCACTGGCAGCTCTCCTTCATTTACAACATCCTCGCCGATGCTACCGCATATGGATCAATCGCGATCAAATCTAGAAGTACCCGGCCAACGCGCTCGATACCTAGCTGTGGGAACCAGCTCAGGTATGGTGTTTGTCTGGGATGTTCGAGCTTCGACAGCGAAGTCTTCAAGTGTCATTAATACCATATCCCTCTTGCGTGTCATCCAGACGGACTCGCCTCGGGTATCTTGCTTGGCCATCACGTCCCTGTACCTTGTCCACGGTGGTAATGATGGCCTCGTCCAAGCCTGGGATCCGCTGGCATCTTCTACGAAACCGATTCGCACGATCAATTCCCGGTTTTCGTCACGGGCTCGTCGTCGGCTCGTACAGGCTGAGGCATCCATTTTAGGGGTTGGGAACAACTACTATGCCACAGGCACTATCTGCCTGGACACAGATCCAACTGTGCTGCGTGGGATGGTCTCACTTGGCACACACTTGCGATACTGGTCGTACAGTTCTTCTGGGGCTGATCAATACAAGACTAGCAAGCGCCGTCTTCGCCGCTTCATGCGTGGCGGCAATGCGGCTGCCGCAGGCCAACGTTTCAACAATAGTGGTCGCGGTGCGATTGAGGACTTCATTGAAGACGAACGCTTGGATATGGAGCGCCAGAAGATCGCCGATGAAAAGGAACGCGCACATTTGAGCGCGCGTTTCGGGATCGATCTTTTGGGTTCCGACATTGATGAGGAACAGCTTTTGGCATATGCACAGCTCCTGAGCCAGGAAGCCTACTCTGGCGACGCGGTAAAACCAAGCGACAATGCAGCGATCTCTAGCTCAACCACCAGCGCTTCCTTTGACACCGTCGGTCCTAGTTCCTTTGGTCCGGGCGAGGTCTCATCTTCTTCATCTCCCTATCAAGACCCTACAGATAATATTGACGACGACGAACTTGCTGAGGCCATCCGTCTTAGTTTGCTTGAAGAGCGAAGCAGTGCTTCTCCATTCGACCCCATTGGTATCCCTATTAAGTATGCCAAGGGATTGCACCCACCTCGACAGCGATCGCCTGGGTCTGAGGAGGCCGAAGGCAGTAGACAACGAGAGATGGATGACCTTGAGTTCGCCATTCAGTTGAGCTTGGCCGAGGGGCAGAGTCGCGACAATGGCGAGGAAGAGTGGGAAGAATTCCCATCCCTCGCGTCGGGGCCAGCGTCGCCCTCGCCGTCAGTCAAGGGCAAAGGGAAAGCGCGGGCTGTTTGACGTCGTTTTCGAATTTTCCCTTGTTTTCTTATTGTTGTCTTCTTTTCCTTTCATATCTCTGTAAGGTAGCTCTCTGCCCTTAATTCATATTCATCTTCGTCGTTTGTATATCTATATTGCGTCTATAGGCCTTATATGTCAGGTGCACCTTCCGCTTCTGCTGGGTCTACTCTAGGTACCTAGAATTGAGTACCACAGGGGTCGATCATGGGAAGGCCCTTCCATGGCACTCTGATTCGGGAGGGTCGTTCTTCAAGGTCTGAAGCCTGATGCTTATACGAAACCAAGATCGCCAGACGACTACACGGGACGAGAGAATTTCTCAAAGAGACTTACCTCCCTGTCACAATTGTGTCAAGTAATTGTTTGCCGGCATACATGATACATGCGGAGACTTTCCGCTGGAGTGGATGAATATCAATAGAGACATGAGAGGACAAAAAGCCAAAGGATACGGATATTTCCTAAAGTCACAACATGTGCAAATGAACAAACCAACAATACAATCACCAGAAAGCCGAGCGTAAAATATAAGAGCAGTCCAAACAGAGATGAAACCATGAAAGGCTCAACTTCCACCTCATGATCGTCTCAGTCCAAGCCCTGAAATCCAAGCATGAACTATACAAAAGCCGCCAAGGCACTTACAAAAGGTGTGCCAGCAACATGAAGAAACCTCCCATACCGCCCAGGGCCAACGAGGGGATCCCGTTAGGGGAGGCGGCGTTGGACTCGCTCGAAGTACTGGAGCTGGAAGTACCAGTGGAAGTACCGGAAGAGCCCGATCCGGAGGTAGCAGAGGGGGTGTTGGCAGTAGTCTTCACCTCGAACTTGATATCTTTGATTTCCTTACCAGTGTGGTCGTACACCTTCTGGGGGATGGTGGTGGCAGAGACAGAGACGAACTTGCCAGATGGGGCGTCAGGCAGACCGTTCTTGATGAAATCGGCGACCTTGGAGGGGACCTCGGGAAGATCCCAGGAGTTGTAGAAGGACTTGCGCTTGATAGAGGAGGCACGGCACTCCTCGGCCTTAACATTAGCCTGAGTGGCGTTGCTTGACATGATGCGCTCAATGTCCAGCTTGTTCAGCTGCTTCTGGAAGTTGTCGTAGTCGACCAGAAGAGTCACCTTGTCCGAGCTTTCGATCTCGACCAGACCGTACTCGTTCTTCTCCTGGGTCCATTCGTACACGAGACCACCGGAGAACGCCTGTGTCATCTCCTCACCGTAGATAGCCTGCACTTCGGTGAAGATACGGGGCTTGACATCGTTGCAGCCGTACTCGGAAAAGAAGACGGGGATAGTCGCATTGGTAAAGTCCTCGGTCAGTTCATCGTAGCCGGCGGACTTGTAAGAGGCATCGCCACACCAAGAGTAAGAGTTGAGACCAAAGAAGTCGGCACGGGAAGAAGTCGAGTTCTTCAGATCGCACTCAAAGTAGTGAACGGTGTCGAGGAGAATGTCGCGGATATCGGCAGCGGAGTATCCCACGGGGATGGCGCGCTTGGAGTTCTTGGCGATGTAATCCTTCATATCACGGATGACAGCACGAATGTATCGGGGAGCCTGGTAAGTGGCATCTTCGTTGATGACCTCGTTACCGGCGAAGAAGCCCAGAACGTTGTCGTAGTTCTTGAAGCCCTCAACGACACCGAACACCTGCTTGTAGTAGATGGCGCTGTAGGTGGTCCAGGGGGCACTACGGTCCAAATAGCCTCCCTGCAGAGGGTTGCTGACGTCGAGGATCATGTAGATACCGGCCGCATCGAAGATGGAGGCACACTCATCATGGTTGAGGGAAGGCTCCAGGTTGTAGACACGGATGGTGTTGATCTGGCAAAAATGAGTGGCTGACGAAGAGAGAAAATGATGCTGTACTTACACCTAGGCGCTGCATAAGGGCAGCATCGCGCAGGCAAACATCAGGATCGCTCAAAGGATCTAGCTTCGAGGTGAAGCCAGATGAACCACCAGGTTGGTAGCTATTCATGACAGTCAGCCACAACCGCTGGATGAATGTGGGGTATAGGGGGGGAAGAGGCAAGGGATGTCAGAGATGCGTCTTACTCAACACCGATGATTTGGAAACGATCTTTGGTCTCGGAGTTCACAAAGTCCTTGCCGCTGACTTCGAGGGGAGTCAGGGCAGCTGCGGTGCTGGTGAGGGCACACACAGTGGTGAAAAGACGAGCATAAGACTAAACCGGTCAGTTTTGGCATTAAAGGACATTTCCATGAATACATACAGCAAACATTGTAAAATGAAGTGGGTATACGTAGAGAAATCAGAAAAATGGAGAGAGAGAGATTAAGTGAGTAAGTGAGTTGGGGGTAACGAGAGACAGCGCCAGGCGCGAATACTGAGGAAAGAACGACTGAAATCACCAAAAGAGACTCGAAAGAAAGAAAAAAAAAGGAAATGAAGAGGACAAAAGGTTTTAAAATATAACAGAGAAGGCCAATTGATCAGCGGTCTCAATTTAGTGGGGAAAGATGGTATCTGGACAAATAGGGGTCAAGGTAAGCGTGGAGTCTCATTGTGTTTCAGCTTTCATTCAAACCATTGAACCTATTACTTAGGGGCATAACTAGTACTTACTACGTCTACTACGTCTACTACCTACTACTCCGTTATAGCCACTGACCAGAACAAGTCCCCTTTCACCTCAACTCTCTCTTTCCCCGACCTGAACAAAGTCCGCCAAGGGTCCAAGTCGCAGCCAAGCCCACAAATCCCGCTCAGTCCCAACGCATTAGCTCCGGGTTGGGCTGCGGGGGTTAGGCCTGTTAATATAGTCAGGGGCATAAACAGAGATAATGCCTCTAATGAGTATAATGAGTATCGATTATATCTGAAAGTCATAGTATGTCCTGTCCCTGTCCTTGGATAGTCCAACTACGTAAGTACACAAACTAATGTAGGGCTGAGATATAGCAGCCTTGTCTTTCAGGTGTCAATCCATGCCGAGGCACGAGCCACCTTCCTAGTTCGGAACTTGAATAGCTTCAGTCTTCTTCTACGCAGGTCGACATGGTGACGACACCAATATAAGTAGGTATAAACCTGGAACTTACACATGTTGACCTTAAGAAACTCCAGACTCTTCCCTTATCTCATAAGGTTTCCCCTTTAACTCAATTTCCGCTCCCCCTTCAGATCCATCACTTCACCCCAATCTAGAAGTCTTGGAGCCAAGTCCAACATCCCTTGGCAATGGACCACAGCCCGGCGGAGGCAGCGGAGATAACTTTGTGTAGCCAATATCGAGTTTGCAAACCACGTTTCTCATGGCCCTTGGCTCGGTAGAATACCAGACCGTCGTTAACAGGTCCATGACCTTTGTTGCTATGACACCCCTGCCTAACTTCGAAGATATCTACATCTCACCTGGCAAGATCGTGAGGTGCACATGAAAATATTTCCCTATATATAGATTGTTAGACCTCATGCGGTTCTATAGGTTGTCCTTCATTTTCCTTCTCTCCACCATCCCCCCTAACCGCTCAATGTGAGCACTCACTCTTGGCCTCATCATCTTCCTTCTGCTCAGCCGCCTTCCAATTGCTTGGCTTCCATTTCCCAGTCCCGTCTCTACAACTTCAAAGCTACCACCGTCTGAGCGAAGTGGTCTTCAGGCACCAACGAACCACGCAACTAGCGAGAAGATTGGAAGAAACCTTGGAATAGCTTGAGATTACTGATATCATGTGGCATTTTTCGGCAGTGAGGTTTATTAACGACGACACCGACTTGCCAACAAACCATCTGAGCTACGAGCTAGCATCATCCGCCCTTCATTCTTCAGTATCTCTCGAGGTCCGAGTAACGAAACATACTATTTCTCCGGGATATTCGTTATGTGGTACAAATTTGGGATTTCCATCTGTCTAAAATACAAGGTGTTGAGAGGGGATGTCGAGTACATGGACTTATTCGATGTTGTCGTCGGTGCTGGCCTTAGGGCCAGCGGCGTGACCACCGTCAAGTGCGATGAGTTCCGCAAGGATCTCGAGAGTTGCCTTGGGCACGGTCTTGTCGTAAATTCCGATCAGATCCTAGGTACAACGGCGGTTAGTACGATGAAAGATGACGAAGGCGACGGAAATGGTGTGGATTTACCTGAGGCTGGGGGTAGACCTTCAATGCTTTCCAGAAAGCGATTGCTGCTTCAACTTGGGATCCTGAGCGTGTGCATTAGCGCTGTGTTCAATTTGCTGCGAGATATACCCAGTTTTCGGATTCCAAGAGGCGGAATCTGAAATCTCATGAGGGAGTGTTCAATTTACCTTCGCTAGCGCAGAGAGATTCACCCAAGGCAACTTGAGTCATAAAGAAGCTTTCTTTCTCTTCAAGATCTGTGGGAAGTTCACCGTTCCTCTTCACTTGTTCGAGCGCATTCTTGAGATCTGCGATTCGGGCTGCGGCACCGGCTTCGGCCTCCTGTTTCACGGTTTGTTCGACCTTCTTGTTGTTCTTCTTCAGAGACTTGCGGAAGGCAGGATCGCTTTGGCGCTTGTGATCGAAATAGACGGCATAGGCTGGAATTGAGTGTTAACAATAGAAAACGCGGCGAGAGCCCATGCTACCAACCGAGAACTCCAGTCAGAATCGTGCCGGCAACGATGGCGGTGTTTCGGAAAGCCATAATGAAAGTGTGAGATGGTCGTAGATTAGAGGTATCGAGATTCTCCAAGTCTAGGAGTGTGATTAGGACTTGAGAGACGCGAAAGTGGTTGAGTGGTGGATGAGAGATAAAAATGTTTCAAGGATGTCGAGATGGTCCGAAGGATATGTGTTAGTAAGCAAACCCGCGTCATCCCCTTCACCTCCCGAGACGTTTCCTCCACACTGTACTAGTCTCTTGATTCACTATACATCATGGAAGGCCGAGGTTTGACCCTGAGAAGCAAGTCTCGTCGGCAGCGACCTCAGATTAGCGCCCCCAAACCCATTTCCGGTCCTCTACCTCCCAATACCAGGTCTCCAGATTCAGGTCCACCCGCTATCCCCACCCGTGAGCGAGCACCCCAGAACGACGCGACTTCGGATTTGGTGAAACGACGATACTCGACTCGATTCAATACTGCGCCTGAGTTTGATCTGAGTGCTCATCCTGTTCCCGCACTTCCAACTCAGATCCCTGGAGGACTCACCAGATTGGCACCGACAGGCGCTCCCGGGCCACCGTCACCAGCCGATCCGAGTGCACCATCCCTCAAAGTCGACCTCAATGCTTTACGAGATCCCAGTCTTCCAGTTGATAAATGTAGGAGCCCCGGTGGCGTACTGTTATAATGTAGCAATCAAGCTAATTGAAGGACATATCAGATGTGGCCGGTCTTCTCGCCAACGCGTCCGAGGAAGAGATTCGAAAATACCAGGAAAGCCTACGCAAAGTCAAAAACCGGACCTCCACCGATCTTCAGCAAAATGTCTATCAGAATCGTACGCAGTTTATCAAGATCAGTAAAGAGGCAGAGAAACTCAAAGATGAAATGCGAACCCTCCGTTCGCTCATGGCGGAACTGACAACAGCACTTGGGCAAACGAGCGTGGGAAACACACCGAATCCAATGTCGCCAATGGAGGACTCTTTCCCTAAACGAAATGCAAACCGCAGCTCGGTCGCCAATCTAGAGAGCATGTGGAGCGTGCAGCTACAAACCCTGTGGAAGACAGTGGAAGGGTCACAGAAGTGGCTGCCAGCTGCGCCAGGCCGGCACATTGTCCTCGAGACCGGCAATTGGGTGGAGCTGGACTCGGCTACATGGAAACCGAGACGGCCGATCCACATTGTATTGCTGAACGATTACCTGCTCGTGGCTGCGAAGAAGCGGAAGCGGGTCGACCAAAGTCATCCCAACCATCGAGGGCCTGTTCCAACGAGGCTAGTGGCAGAAGACTGTTGGCTACTCAACGATGTTGATATGATCGATCTCGGAGCCAATCTGGGAACGGGGCCAGCGCGTGAGGAGGCTCTGGATCGGGGTATTGGAAGGTCGATCAGTATTCGTGTGGGGTCCAAGCCTTTCACATACCGTCATGAGGATGCAGGAACTAAGCAGGAGCTTCTGGCAACTTTCCGCAAGACTGTGGAGGACCTCCGCCGAACGATGCGCTCAGAAACTGAGGCGGCCAGCAAGCCCCTGGAAACATATGGGTATCTGGCTGGTCGGCATCTTTCCCTTGCCAAGGCGCCCGAGGCATTTGATTTGTCCGATAGCCCAAGGGACAAATCTGAGATACGCATCGATGTGGATGGGAAACAGCAAAACCTGCGTTGGGTTGAAGGGCAGGTCGACGATCTTGATATTGATATTGCGCTCCAACGATTCGAGGGGTCTGTGTGCAGCATCGAGCGGCTACGGAAGTTGGCAAAGAGCCTTAGGAGCAATCCCATTGCACAGGATGTCATCAATTTCAAGGTCGACGGGCGAGCGACTCGGCTTGCTGGCATTCTCTCGCGGGCACTGGTCGACAAACACTCATTCCCGGTGGCTACAAAGACTCATGTCACCTGGTTAACTCGGTTAGGGTTTGAGGATCAGGCCCGTGAGACTTACCTGAAGGCACGCTCGGATGTGATTGGCCAACGTATTCGGTATGTTCTTGGGCTTTGTCCTACGTGGGCTTGTATCTAAATGCTGACTTTCGTTTCAACAGGGCTTGTATCTTTGAGGGCGATCTCCCTCTCTACATCTTCCAGATCTCCTACGTTTATTTCACTCTGATCAAGCACACCATCGGCATCTATCAAAAATGCTTCCCTAGCGCCATGAGCAGCTCTTGCATTCGCTGGGCGAAGGATCACCTTGACGGGTTCAATGCCCTGCTCAGCCGGCAGCTCAGCAGCGTACAACGTGGCACATCGGTTTGGGAGAAATGCCTTGAGATTGTGCATGAACATGCTGCTCTTTTGGTGGAAGTAGGCGTGGATTTCACGGACTTGGTAGCTCGTGGGCTGGAAGACAGTGTTGAGGGATCCTTCGAAGGGCCACGCACCGTCCAACCCGGGGAGCTGGCACTAGCGTCGTCCCCAACGGGCAATCTTTAGGGCCTTATACAACTCTGAATGTTGACTTAGCGAGCTTTATGTGTGATTTATTCTGTGGTTCGCCTTCAAAGGTTACATATTTGGTATGATCAATTGCCTAATACCCAGGCTCATCAGTTACCTCGTAGTAAAATACAGTCATACTGGTCAAGTCATGAAAATATGCCGTTAAGCAAATACGCCAAGTATTAATTTGCACGGAGTATATCCGACACTGAAGGGTAAATCCCGGCACTGAATTCTCCGCACGCCTTTTCTCCGCAATCGGCTAATTGGCAAGGGGTCCCTCCCGCATTAAGATCCCTCATTTCTTCACTACCCCTCCAACAATTTGTACAATAAATTCATATATCTGTACATTCATTTCTTATCTGTACAAACACCAGCACCCCATGCCGATTCCATCCCTGCCCCTCTTCGCTGCGGCGGAGCAACATGCGCGCGAGAATCCCGAGAAGATCGCGGTCGTCGACACCACCAAACAACAGTCCTTTACATTCGTTCAGTTATTGGCTGATGCTGCTGCATTAAGGAAGCGCATTCTTGAGGAATTGGGGCTAAAGGAAGACCTGGGAGAACGGCGCATTGCTTTCTTGGTTCCCAATGGATACGACTACGTCGCCACGCAATGGGCCGTGTGGGCAGCAGGAGGTGTCTGTGTTCCACTTTGTAGGTGCAATTGATCGCATGAATGGCCCAAAAGGGAACAATTCTAAGATTGACGCTAACATCCATCAGGCACAAGTCACCCAGTGAAGGAACTGCTATATACCGTCGGTGATTCGGACCCCTCGTTGATTATTGTACACCCATATTTCGAGAAGCTCGCGCCTGCACTGCGCGAAGGATGTTCCACCGATATTTCCTTCATGGGACTGGAGCCATTCTCCAAGAACGAAGCGCCGACTCTGCCTTCTTTCGTCCCATCGTTTGACCTCACCCGCCGCGCTCTGATGATCTACACCTCGGGAACGACATCAAACCCAAAGGGCTGCGTGACAACGCACGAAACTATCACTTTCCAAGCGAGCTGTCTGGTCAAGGCCTGGAAGTACAGCCCATCAGACACTCTCATCCACGTGCTGCCGCTCCACCACATCCACGGTATCATCAATGGACTGACCGCCAGTTTCCTAAGCGGTGCCACTGTGGAGATGCATGCGAAGTTTGACCCGAAGGTGATCTGGGAGCGGTGGCAGGACCGCGGCTCCTCGACTTTGTTTATGGCTGTGCCAACCATCTACTCCCGCCTCAATGACTACTTCGACGCTCATATTCGCGGCACGGACCAAGAAGCTTCCGCGCGAGCTGGAGCTCGTGCTCTGCGGTTGCTCGTCAGTGGATCTGCGGCACTTCCTACTCCCATCAAAAATAAATTTGCCGAGATCACTGGTCAGGTTTTGTTGGAGCGGTATGGAATGACTGAGATTGGCATGGCCCTCAGCTGTGGCCTAGAGATTGAGAAGCGAATTGATGGCAGTGTAGGATGGCCGTTGCCTGGGGTACAGGTACGGCTGACCGAGAAAGAGACCGGTCAAATCGTCGATGGGGTGGACGAGGACGGCATGATTGAGATCAAGGGCGGCAATGTCTTCCGCGAGTACTGGCGCAAACCGGAGGCGACAGCCTCGGAGTTCACCGCGGATGGATGGTTCAAGACCGGCGATGTCGCGAAGCGTGATTCAAACGGTGCATACTTCATCCAAGGCCGTGCTTCGGTCGATCTGATCAAATCGGGTGGATACAAGATCTCGGCGCTGGAAGTTGAGCGCAAGATGCTGGCCTTGGACACGATACAGGAAGTTGCCGTGGTAGGGCTGGCAGACGAGGAATGGGGCCAGCGAGTTGCTGCAGTTGTCAAGTTCCGCGAAGGGGTAAGTTCGCTTGCCTACAGAGATCAGCTGCTTGTGCTTGACCTAACTAATCCTGCTTCAGACTACACCGCTAGAACTCCCTGCTCTGCGCGCCGAACTCAAAAACGAGATGGCTCCTTATAAGATCCCCACCGTTTTGAAGGTCGTTGAAGGGATTGAGCGCAATGCTATGGGCAAAATTAACAAGAAGGTCATTATACAGAAGTACTGGCCAGACAAAGCATGAGGATGAAAATTATAGATGAAGGATGAGAGGTGCCTTATCAGGCGGCTTAGCCCTCAAACTTACCGAACATAGAGTCTAGAGCAGTCTTATAGAATGGACATAGAGATGATAATTGACAGAAGAGAGATTACATCAAACAATTAACAAATAACAAAAAATAGAACCAGACCTACCTGCCAGTTTAAGTACAAACTGTGTTTAGACTTTAGACTCAAAGCCACGCGATAAATGTTTATTTCTGTTCCATGGTCATGTCGATCTCCACGTGCTTAACCCTAACTAATCCGGACTAGTGCCATATTCTCTAATCCCGCGGTATCCACTCCGAGCTCGCCATCGGAGCCCCAAAATTGCTCATCGCCTTCTACCTTCAAACTGTTTAGTTCTCCAGTAATCCAGTTTCCAGGGCCTCAGTCTCTGATGCTATTCGCTGCTTGTATTCGGCCGGGATAATGATGTAACCCTTCTAATTGGCCTTGCGCAAATTGACTCCTGAATGATGTGATAGTTACTGTGTAGCACTCCATAGAGACCATTCTTCATGTTGTGTAAGTTTTATATGAAGGTCTCCGAAATCGTGGCTTTCTCGCTTTCCACTCTACCATATTTACAAAGCTTAGTTCAAGCCCATCCTACCCTTCGCCATGGGTGCCTTAGAAAAGAACGCCGATGTGCGTCCTGACACGGAGGCCGATGCCAAGTATGGATACTCTGCGAGTATCGCAGAAGGCATTGATGAGAAGGCCTTGTTGCGCAAACTCGACTATCGCCTCTTGCCTCCCTTGACTATCCTATATTTGCTGTCGTTTTTGGATAGATCGAATGTGGGCAACGCTCGTCTAGAAGGGATGACAGAGGATATTAACATGTGTTCGTGATATATTGCAGTCGGTAGACCGATATTCAAAGCTAATAGGGGTGGCCAACGCAGCAGGAAATCAGTATCTCACCGGTTTGACTCTGTACTTCATTGGCTATGTCCTTTTTGAGATCCCCTGCAACGTGAGAAATACCATGACCCGATCTCATTTCACAAATGTATACTGACACCTGCATTGAAGGTTATCCTGAAGAGAACCACCCCCAGAATCTGGCTTCCAACCCTCACCTTGGTCTGGGGAATCGTCGCCACACTCCTGGGAGTTGTACAGAATTATTCTGGATATCTGTCATCTCGATTTTTCCTCGGTGTGGCAGAGAGTGGACTCTTCCCCGGCGTGGTGTTTTACTTGTCCATGTGGTACAAGCGCAATGAGCAGCATTATCGCGTGGCCCTGTTTTTCAGTGCCGCTTCGCTGGCTGGTGCCTTCGGTGGTGTTCTTGCATGGGTTAGTTGTCATCCTAAGACTTATTCCCGTAAGAGGGCCACAGCTGACCATTTCCAGGGAATCTCGCACATGAGAGGTGTAGGTGGCTTGAATGGCTGGAGATGGATCTTCATTCTGGTGAGTTTCAGTCCAATCGGATATCCGATCTGCATGTACTAATAGGCGTCTGATCCATTTAGGAAGGACTGTTGACCGTCCTCGTCTCCATTATCGCGTACTTCTGGGTGTACAACTACCCGACAACGGCGGAGTTCCTTTCCAAGGAAGAGCGGGAGTTCATCCAAATGCGCCTCAAGAACAACAGCGATGCTATGCGAGATGAGGAATTCACCTGGTCAGCAGTACTGGACGCATTCAAAGATCCGAAAGTTTGGTTGTATGGACTTGGATTCCACACAATGTCCTTGCCATTGTATACTCTATCGCTCTTCCTTCCGACTATCATCAAAGAGCTTGGATACTCGGCCGCAAAGGCGCAGTTGCTTTCTGTACCACCGTACGCAGTGGCCTTTATTTTGACCCTTGGCGTGGCGATTGCTTCGGAGAAAACCCGCCGTCGTGCACCATTTATCATGGGATCCTCTGCGCTTGGATGTATCGGATACATTCTTCTCCTCACACAGGATCGTGCTGGTGTATCTTATGTCGGAACCATCTTCGCTGCGGCAGGTATATATCCTGCTGTAGCGATTGTGTTGTCCTGGCCCGCCAACAATGTCTCTGGCCAGACCAAACGGTGCATTGCCAACGCGATGCAGATCTCCATTGGCAATTTGGGTGCCGTTCTTGGAACACAGCTATATCGCACTGAAAGCAGTCCGCGATTCTTCCTTGGCCATGGGTTTGCCTTGGGATATCTGGTTGCGAACATCGTGGTTGTTAGCATTCTGTGGCTGGTGTTGCGCCGGGAAAACGCTAAAAAGGAAGTTGAAAGAGAAGCGCAGAGACTTCGGTTGGGAGAAGTGGGCGATATCGGAGACTTCCTGGGAGACAAGGACCCTCGATGGGTATTTCAGACTTAGAACAGATACAAAGAGAGATAGATGAATTAATTATTTTGTATTTGATCTTGATCTTGATCTTCATAAATTTCCTCCAAATCCCCATAAACCAGAAAGAAAACGCCAAAAAATGCCCAAAACGCTGAAAAAACACGACACGCAAAACACAACACATACATAACACACATAACACGTAGACACATCACACATAACACACATATCATACAAAATATACATAGGACGGGGTTCGAATTTATGAAGAAAATTCGTCTAATCTATACAGCGTTTTATCACGCAAAACCGATTACCGAGTATCGAAAAACAGGAACTTTTCAGAAGGAAAAACATGTATCGCGTCAAATCCAGGGTGCTTCCCTGAATATATCCCTTTCCCAATATAATAAGAATGGCAAAAGAGTTGTATATTTAGGGCGCCAGGACAAGAGCCAGGAGCGCCATGCGGCAGTAAAGGCCGTAGCGCATCTGTGAGATAGTCAGTATAACATTCAATGAATTGGAAGGGGACTGCAAGCGTACCTGGCGGAAGTAAGCTGCCCGCTGGTCGAAGTCAACCTCCTCGGAGATCTCGGCGTTGCGAGGAAGAGGGTGCATAACCACCATGTGGCTCTTGGCGTGCTTGAGCAGAGCGTTGTCAATGACAAAGCTGTTCTTCAGACGCTCGTACTCGGAGAGGTCTTCGAAGCGCTCCTTCTGCACCCGGGTGGAGTACAGGATGTCGGAGCGAGCGACAATCTCGGGGGTCAGCTCCTCGGACTCGAGGACCAGCTGACCAGAAGCAATGATCTGCTGGCGGACTTCCTCGGGAAGAGCGAGGGCCTTGGAAGCGACCAGCTGGATGCGAACATCGTAGAACTGCAGCAGCTTGATGAGAGAGTGCACAGGGCGGCCGTACTTGAGGTCACCAGTGAAGGTGATGGTCAAGCCGGTGACAGTTCCCAGCTCCTCACGGATGGTGAACAGATCCAGGAAGGCCTGGGTGGGGTGCTCGAGAGAGCCGTTGCCACCGTTGATGACGGGGACCTGGGAGTACTTGGCCGCGATCTCGGTGCTGCTGGCATCGGGGTGGCGCAGGATAAGGGCATCGCTGTAGCAGCCAAGAGTGCGAATGGTGTCCTGGAGGGACTCGCCCTTCTTGGTGGAAGAGTGCTCGGTGGCGATGGGGATGGTACGGCCACCAAGGCGCTGCATAGCGGCATCAAAGGAGGCCGAGGTGCGGGTAGAAGGCTCGTAGAAGAGGGTGGTCAGGACACGACCCTTCAGGATGTCAAGAACACCGTGGCGTTGAACACCAAGACGCATCTCCTGGGCGACAGTGAAGAGCAGGTGCAAGTCCGAGCGAGAGAACTGGTTAACGGACAGGACATGCTTTCCACGGAAGGGAGAGCGGGAGAGCAAGTCGGCGAGAGACGGGGACACCTGCGAGGAAGCGGCATAGAGAGGAGGGCCCAATTCGCCAATGGCCGGTGTAGCACCGTCCAAGTTCCTGAGGCGGCGGCCTGAAGTGCCAGAGACAGAAACGTGTCTGTCGAGCGAGCTCTCCGGGCGGGCCATAGGAGTCACGGGCTTCTGCATAGGGGAGGTGGGAAGGATACGGTGAGTGGACATATCGGCACCCTTGACGGCCTCCTTGGTGATCTCACCATCCAGACAAGAAGTCTTGCCCTGGAAGACAACACGCTGGACATTTCCACGCATCGTCTTGCCGTTGAACGGAGACCAGGTCTTGGGGTTCTTGAAAACGTAGGGGCGGTCAACCTCAATCTCGAGCGAGCTGTCGACCTGATCGTGCAACTCGAAGATCTTCTTGGGGTTGTCGTGGAGACGAGCGGTGACATCCTCGATGGTCAGGCGGCCCTCTGCCACAGCGGTGAACAGCAAAGGAATGGACTCAGCGATACCAGCCTCAGGGGTGGCCTCCTTGCCAGCAAGCTGGAAGGGAATGCTGCCAATAGAGAAGACATCGATGGTGCTCAGGTGCTCCCAAAGAGCAGCCTGGTCCTCGGCGGTGGGCAGGGAGCTGCAAGACGGGAAGTCCTCCCGGGTAAGGAACAGGCAGTAAATGGAGACATCGCAGGTCACCTTCAGGCCCTTCTCCTTGCTCAGAGCAATGAGGCTGATGTCCTCCTTGGAGGTAACACTCATGACGTGAATGTTACGGCTGTGGAGACTGGCCAACAACAGGATCGAAGCAAGATCGGTGCTCTTGGCATCGGTGATCAAAGGCTTGCTTGAGGGCCAAGAGCTGAAGTGGTTGGTGACAGTGGCCACTTTGTTGATGTTGCCCGAAAGGTGGTTGAAGGGGATGAAGAGAGAGCCAACCTCACCAGTCATTTGAATGATCTGGTCTGAGTTGGTGGCAGTGGCAGCCACCGAGACGTTGAAGTCGCAGAGTGACTTGCCTTGGGCATTCTGCTGGACAATCTTCAGGTCGCGGGACTCGGTCAGTGAACTGTCAACACCGACAGGCATGACGCGGATCATGCTGAATCCGCCTGCGATTGAAGCCTTGGAGACAGCTTCAAAGTCAGAGGAACCAGCGGAGGTAAGGCTCGGGACAAATGCAGCAATGTTGATCAGACCGGGGAGGACAACAGTGCGGTGGCTGGTCTGGAAGTCGGAGGTGATGATGTCGAGAGGGAAGTGGCGGGCAATAGCCTCAATCAGGATCTTGGCGTTCTTGACGTTGGTGACCAAAGGAGTTTGGTAGTCAACGGCCATACGACGAGTACGGTAACCCTTGGACATGTAGTTCGCCGGGCGACGGAAGCGGTTGTTGGACGGCAAGTTGACGTACAAGTCGATGAGGTTGTTAGATAAGTGCTGAGTGAGAGAGTACTCAGACTTCATGTCCTCCTCCTCGTGATCCGGGAGGTGCTCAAGGTACTTGACAGGCACACCATTCTCCTTGAGGAAATCAGCGGTACCAGCAGTGGCGAACAAGTTGTAGCCGAGATCGTGAAGCTTCTTGATCGAGGGCAGCATCTCAAGCTTCTCCTTGTAGGCACCGATGGAGAAGAGGATGTTGCGGCGGGGAAGACGGAAGCCAGTTGACAGGAGAGCCTTCAAGTAGGCCTCGTACTTGTCACGACCAAACGAAGCAACCTCACCAGTGGAAGCCATCTCGACACCCAGAACGGGGTCGGCACCAGACAGACGAGAGAACGAGAACTGAGGGACCTTGACACCGACGTAGTTCTTGGGAATGGACACAGGGGGGTACTCCTGGAATGGAATGCCAAGCATGGCCTTGGTGGCCATCTCGATCAGATCAACACCCATGACCTTGGACACGAAGGGGAAAGAACGTGAGGCACGGACATTGCACTCAATGACCTTGATGTCGTTGTCCTTGGCAATGAATTGAATGTTGTAAGGGCCAGTGACATTGAGGGCGTTACCAATCTTGCGAGTGGCCTCCTCAATGCGGCGGACGGTCTCCGGGCTCAGATCTTGGGGAGGGAGGATCAGAGTAGCGTCACCAGAGTGGACACCAGCGTTCTCGACGTGTTCGGAGATGAAGTGTCCGACCATCACACCGTTACGGGCAACAGCATCCATCTCAATCTCCTTGGCGTTCTCGATGTACTTGGTGATGACAACGGGATGCTCGCGCGAGACATCGGCAGCCTGGTTCAGGTAGCTAGCAAGGTCGTGCTCGGAGTAGACAGTGTTCATAGCAGCGCCAGAAAGCACGTATGAGGGACGAACCAGCACAGGATAGCCGACCTTGTCACAGAACTCGCGGGCCTCGTCAATGCTGGTCAACTCCTTCCAAGCGGGTTGATCGACCTCAATGCGATCCAACATACGCGAGAACTTGTAACGGTTCTCGGCGCCATCGATCATCTCGGGGGAGGTACCATAGATGTTGACATTGAGGCGGTGAAGGGGAAGAGCGATGTTGTTGGGGGTCTGGCCACCCATGGACATGATCACACCGCTAGAAGTTTCCAGCTGGTAGATATCAAGAACCGTCTCGAGGTTGATGTTCTCAAAGTAGAGGCGATCAGCCTCGTCATAATCGGTACTGACAGTCTCTGGGTTGTAGTTGACCATGATTGTCTTGTAGCCCTGCTCGCGGAGCGTGCGGATGGTACGCACGGAGCACCAATCGAATTCGACGGAGGAACCGATACGATACACACCAGATCCCAGAACCATAATGCCATGATCGTTGAAAGTCAGATCGTGTTCAGAGGCGTTGTAGGTGAGGTACAAGTAGTTGGTCACGGCCGGGAATTCGGCGGCAACGGTATCAATCTGCTTGACGATAGGCGTGATACCAGCCTCAACACGCATGCGGCGCACGGCGAGCTCATTAGAATCCAAGAAGTTGGCAAGTTGGCGATCGGAGAAACCAAGCTGCTTAGCCTGACGGATCATGGGTAGGGGCACAGAGGTAGCATTGAAGGCGGACATGGACTTGCCGAAGTCGCTGAGGCCCTTGAGGCGGCTGAGGAACCACTTATCGATGTTGGTGAGTTTCCAAATGTCATCAACAGTGTAACCAGCGGCCATAGCGTTGGCGATGGCAAACAAGCGCTGGTCGGAGGGAGTTTGGAGCTCGCCCTTGATAGACATGAGGGCATTGGACTCGTTGAAGCCAAGGTTGTGGAAATCAACGGACCGAATGGCCTTCTGAATGGCCTCTTCGAAAGTTCGGCCAATGCTCATGACCTCACCGACACTCTTCATAGACGAACCGAGCTGGGTAGACACTCGGGTGAACTTCTTCAGATCCCAACGGGGAATCTTAACCACGCAGTAATCGAGCGATGGTTCGAAGCATGCGCAGGTGGACTGAGTGACCGAGTTCTTGATCTCGTTCAGGGGAATATTGAGACCCAACTTGGCAGCAATGAAGGCAAGAGGATATCCGGTAGCCTTAGAGGCTAGGGCAGAGGATCGAGATAAACGAGCGTTGACCTCAATAATGCAGTACTCCTTGGAGAAGGGGTTGAGGGCATACTGAATGTTACATTCGCCGACCACGCCAAGGTGACGAATGACATTGACAGCGGTGGTACGCAGCATGTTATAATCTTCGTCCGAGAGCGTCTGAGAGGGTGCCACAACAATGGAGTCACCAGTGTGGATGCCAAGGGGATCGAAGTTCTCCATGTTGCAGACAGTGATACAGTTGTCCTGGCAATCACGAACGACCTCGTACTCAATCTCCTTCCAGCCCTTCATACTGCGCTCGATCAGCACCTGAGGACTGACGGCCAATGCCTTGGTGCAAAGATCCTCGAGCTCCTGCATGTTCTCGGCGAAACCACTGCCGAGACCACCAAGAGCGTAGGCGGCACGAACAATAACGGGGAAACCAATGTCCTCAACGACCTTCAGAGACTCCTCGATGGTAGAGGCGGAAGCAGACTTGGCACACTTCTCGTTGATGGAATCCATGCTGCGGGCAAACAACTCACGATCCTCGGTGGTGATGATGGTGTCAATGGGAGTACCGAGAACCTTGACACCAAGCTCCTCAAACTCGTCCTTGAGCTGAATACCAACCGAAAGGGCAGTCTGGCCACCGAAAGTGACGTAGATGGCATCAGGACGCTCGTGCTTAATGACCTTGCGCACAAATTCGGCGTTGACAGGCAGGAAGTAAACCTTGTCAGCCAAGCCCTTGGAGGTCTGGATGGTGGCAATGTTGGGGTTGATCAGAATGGTGTAGATGCCCTCCTCCTTCAAGGCCTTGATGGCTTGACTGCCAGAGTAATCGAACTCTCCGGCCTGGCCAATGCTGAGACCACCGGAACCAAGAACCAGAACCTTCTTGACTGAGACTCTGGGAGAAGCCTTGATGTTCTCGGCCTTGGTGCCACCGGGGAACGCGACAGGCATGTTCAAAGCCTCAGGCGAGGCAATGGTAGACTTGATGGTATCGATGAACACATCAAACAGGTATTCGGTGTCTCGGGGTCCAGGGGTGCTCTCGGGGTGGAACTGCACACTGAAGAAGGGGCGGCCGGTGTGACGGATACCTTCGTTACTGCCATCGTTGGCGTTGACGAAAAGCTCCTCCCATCCGTTCTGGAGACTACTAGCATCCACGGCGTAACCGTGGTTCTGGGATGTGATGTGACACTTGCCAGAGAGCATGCTTGTGCAAGGAATGTTGTGTCCGCGGTTACCGAACTTCATCTTGGTGGTCTGGGCGCCGACGGCACGGGCAATCAACTGGTGACCCAGACAGATACCGAAAACGGGAGTGCGAGCATCCTCGAACATCTTGGCCAAGTTGTTGATAGTAACAGTCAGGGTCGCAGGATCACCGGGACCGTTCGACACAAACAGACCGTCGAAGTCCTTCCCAGCGAGAGTGGGGAAATCGTAGTCCCAGGGCACAACCAAAACCTCCACACCACGGGCAAGTAAGCAACGCAGCTGGTTGTATTTCATACCGACATCCAAGCACAGGACGCGGACTCCGCGGCCCGAGGGGTGTTTGAGGGCGACATTTGCGGGGGGTGTGAATAGCCGGGGCTCGCGGATCGAGACTGGAGAAAAGATGTACAGTTAGTAACACGGTCTTGATTTGCCTGGGGTCTTGTTTTGTCAATATGGTGGATCACTCACCCTCAGCGACGAGGTTCTTCTGGTTTGGGTCCACCCATTCGGTCTCCTCGAAGTGGGACTTCCAGTTGGCACCAGCGGCAACAGCAGCATCGACGGTGGTGGTGGATTTTTGCAGCAGCATGCGACCAAGCATGGAACCGGTCTGGCGAAGGCGTTTGGTCAGAGCACGAGTGTCAACACCGTGCATGGCTGGAATTCCCTCTGACTTGAGCCATTGGCCTAGAGAGGACTTGGCCAAGTAGTGCGAGAAGTCCTCACCGGCGTAGGCTGCCACCACCAGGGCCGAGATGTGAATCTGACTGGACTCGAAATGCTTGGGCAAGTCCTTTAGGAGCTCACACATCTCGTCGTGCGAAGGAACACCGTAGTTACCGACGAGCGGGAAAAGTGACGACCAGAATCTGGCCGCGGTATGAGGGGTCGGTAATGGACTCGGGGTAACCGACCATACCGGTCTGGAAGACTAATTCGCCCGATACACTCTTCTCAGCACCAAAGTTGTAACCCTGGTAAACAGTGCCATCTGCAAGCTCGAGAGCTGCCAACCGGTCCGAACCACCCCGGACGGGGATGGCGGCGGGCTTGATCACTCCACTGATAGCATCCATGTTGGGCAGAGTCTCGGGATAGCCCACTGCACCACCGAGCTGGGGGCTAGTAGGCAGAACCGGATCCTCAAGGGAATTGGCAGGCTGAGACATGGGGAATTGGAGATGTGAGGGAGCAAGTCCTCTCGAGGACGATTTTGATGCGAGCAAGTCTCTCTAGTTCAGCATCCGCTATTGTTTTTGTTCGACTTTTCGGCTTTTCTGGTAGCAATTGAAAAAAAGAGCGCAAATTAGGAGGATAGAAAATATAAAGAATAACTTTTTGCTGCAACCAGCTGTAGGAGGAGGAGGAAGAGAGGAAAGCGAGTTCGGCAGAAAATATTTTCTGCAAAATCTTATTTGGCCCCACTATGACTGTTTCCGGATTATCTCACCGCCGCAGAGATTTTCCGTCGGCCTGAGCTATTTCGGCAATTATCCTTGGTTTCCTTGGTACTTTTACGTACTTTCATTATGTATAGGTACGGAGAACATGTATAGTTTGGTCAATTGAGGTTCAGATCATATAGAATGCTCATAGAATGTTCATAGCTCTCTAGTTATATCATCCTCTCCCGATTCAACCTTTTTTCCCCTACATGCGCATGCCCGCATATGACGCAGCACTGTCAATGCTCAGGCCGGGGGAGCCGATAACTAGCGATAGCCCCGATGTCCAAGGAATACCCCATGGTTCGGAGTACTAGTTCCTCCGTACGAGGTCAGAACTACCCTTGGTCCCTTAGGGTATGTCAATCTCAGTATACAAGAGCTGGATGTTGTATATGTTGAAGGTAGACACTTTCTAATCAAGAATCTTAGACCTTCTCCAATTACGCCACTCAAGGTGGTCACACATGCAATGCAGGTGACGAATAGAAATCATCTGGTTATTCTTCTAGTCTCTACGGACGGGAATAGATCTTTGTACATGCTACTACTATGTATGCCTGTAGATATTTCTACCGTCGGAAGAAAATAAACCCTAATGATCAATACAAAATGTGTCTCAAAAACCCGAAGATAAAGTATTGGAAGTATCCAAGATCTAAGAAAAGCCCTAGAAAGGAAATAACCTTCTGATGGCCGGGGTTCTCATTGGCGACGATGTACAATGACGTGAGGGGGAACTGCAAGTCGGAGCTTAAGATTTCCCCAACGCTAAATACTTGAGCACTAAAGAATCTGATCTGATATTCTATCTGATATCCCTGATATCCCTGTTCTACTTGTTCTACTTGTTCTACTTGTTCTACTTGTTCTACTTGTTCTACTTGTTCTACTTGTTCTACTTGTTCTTTCGTTTGCTTTGATTTTTTTCTTTTTCTTTCTCTTCGCATCCCCACTCCGCCATGCTCTGACACCCGACCATAACCCCTTCGATGTGTAACCTTGGTTATGCATAATTAAGGCCCGGGTCTCCCAAGGCTACCATGTTCGCCTCACTTCTTCGTCCGAAACGTCAGCGCGGTCCAATCGAGTCAGCATTCGCGCCCTCTCCGGGGGTTCGCGTCGCGCGCAACAACCCGCGACGCGTCCGAGCCGATGAAAGCAGCGATGATGCGGAGCTGGAAGAGATCGATGAAGGGGATATTGATGAGGATTGGGAGGAAGAGGAAGAAGATGGTATACTAGAGTCTACCACCTTACTACCGATGTTTTCTACATCGCATTTGGGTATGAAGATGATCCCCGGGGCAGGAATGTGGCCAACATTTAACGGTGACTAGATGCGCTGCCCGTTTACAACATCACCCATGCCATTCGTCCCCTAATTGCCTCTCGCTGCGAAACTACCTTGACATGGGATCAACTACGCTCGCCGCAGGTCTCTCAGTTCCTGATCAAGCCGATCCTGCAGAAGATCATGTCGGCCCACTTCTCGCGGGCCACCCTCTATGCACTGATGGCCAATTGTCTACAATTTGAAAAAGAAATGCACCTGAGCCCAGGGAACAGCGGCGCAAATCAAACACGGGCGATGGTCAGCGAGCTGCTGGCAATCAAATTGTTGAGGGAATACTCGACGCGAGAATTGATCGATGCGCTTTCCTACGAATTTCATCCATTACAGGGCCAGGATCCAGCTACAATCTTTGCGTCTGGTCCCCAGCGGAAACGAGTAGTCGCTGCACGTGTATCATGTTTAGAGGTAGCTATCCGCGCGCAGGCTAAGCGATTCTTGGCCCATCCCGTCGTGGTGCAGCAATTGGAAGCTATCTGGGCGGGAACTGTTGTCTTCCACTCTGCCGCTGACAGTCTTCATCGTCATGTAGACTTGAACCATGGTAGAACCCTGAATTATGGAACAACAATGGATCCAACTGGGGATATTGCAACTGATCACAGCAATGGGGCTCTCCGACGATCAGTGACACTTTACGATCCTCGGGACGCCTCCTTGTTCAAGTTGTCGCGCCTGAGGGTGCCGCGTTATCGACAATTCCTTTCTACACTATCATTTGCAGTGCTCTTGGGGCTTTTCTTGGCTGTTCTAGAACAGCGCAGCCGCAGGATCACGCCTCTTGAGATCATCTTCTGGTTCTGGAGTGCCGGGTTCATGCTCGACGAAGTTGTCGGATTCAATGAGCAAGGCTTCAGCCTCTATTTGATGAGTTTTTGGAATTTGTTTGATGTGGGGATTCTGCTATTGCTCTTCGCATATTATTGCTTGAGGATCTACGGCACATTCCTCACATATCCTCGGGGCCAGTTGATCACTGAACGAGCGGTAACTCACCTGGTCTTCTTGATTCCACTACACACAGTACTAATTGACTCCAGTTCGATGTCCTCGCTTCCACAGCCCCCTTGCTATTTCCGAGACTGTTCTCAATCTTGGATCATTACCGCTATTTCTCTCAGCTACTGATTGCCTTCCGTATAATGGCATCGGATCTGATTGCGGTTTTCGTCCTCATCGTCATCTCTTGCTCGGGCTTTTTCGTCGCTTTCTTGAACTTTGGGGACAACGGATCCCCCAAAGTGGTGGCTTATGGCTTGTTCCAGATGTTGATGGGATTTACACCAACCGCATGGTCCATGTGGGATGAATATAACGTATTCGGAAAGACAACCCTAACAATCTTCTTATTTATTTGTCATTTCGTGGTTGTCACCATCTTGATCACGGTCCTGACCAATTCCTTCATGAGAATTGTCCAAAACGCAAATGAAGAACATCAGTTCTTGTTCGCAGTGAATACCATCTCGATGGTGAAATCGGACGCCTTGTTCTCCTATGTGGCGCCAACAAATGTCGTCGCCTGGCTAGTGACCCCGTTTCGATACATGATGCCCTTCCAGGAATACATTCGGCTCAACCGGACCATTATCAAGATTACCCACTTGCCCATACTGTTCACGATCTGCCTCTATGAGAAAACAATCCTGAGTGCTAGAGTCGGGCAGCCGATAGATTCGATCGAACCGGGTCTCCCAGAGGAAAATCCGTATCTTGCACAACCACGGCAGCCCAGTCGGTTCCGTGGTTTCAGCACCAGCGCATCAGTCTTCAAGCGAGAGCCCTCGGTAGCGACATACCAAAAGGATCGAGCATTAGAGGAAGTATTCCGGCGTCCCTATAGTGATGATCGAATCAGAAAACCCCCGAGCACTGTGCATGAACGCCAGACGAGTAACGTCATCAAAGACTGGATGCAAGAGATCGGATCTGGGCCAGCCAATGGCCCCGATGATGAGAGTTCTGTGGTTGTAGGCCAGCCTGATATGCACCCACAACGACCCGGGATTTCTTTCCGGGCGAGATTGGCCAGCCGCTCTCGAAATTTCACAGACACAACCCGATCAGTCGCATCTAACCCCGAGGACCGTACAAGCTGTGTGAGGAGCCCAGCCACCCGGCCTCGGCGCACCAGGCCTTCCGCCTCGCCTCTGCAGAAGCGGCAACTCTCCCATCATACAGACATGGAGGGCGACGATGAACTGACTAGCAACGAAGATGAGCACTCCGGCCAAGGGTCCGCGGCCGACTCGGATGGAGTCGCCGAGAAACGCTCCCCAAAGTTCTACAGCTCACGCCCCTCTACCGCTAGGATCATTTCGGGACGCAACAGCCCTACACGTGGCCCCAGACATATGCGGAACGCTTCAGGGGTCACCATGCTGTACAACCCCCTCGGCTCTCCGAACGCAGAAACGGAGGGTCGAATCACACCCCCACGGCCAGAGACCGATTCGTCGGATGGAGACCACCGCCCTGCAATGTCCACCTCGATGGATCAAGGTACCATGAAGCGCCACGTCGTGGGTGTATCTCGCCCCCGAATTCCTCTAAGTGGACTCAACCCGAATTCGGTCCCCGAGGTGGATAGTATCTACCTATCTGATCGGGCCATGGGGCCACGGCGTCGCACATCCCTCTTTGATCTAGGATCTGACTTGGGCGACAACAAGGCCGTGGCGGGCGGCTTCGCCGGTGCCATCCCATCCAGTTTTCAGACCCAATTGGGCTTTGTCTCGGCCGGTGTTCGTCGTGAGGCGCCAAATCAAGCCCAAGACATGCTTAGCAAGTTAGTCCTTTCTCGCATGAGCAACATTGAAGAAGGATTCCGCGAGGTCATCAGAGAATTCAAGGATCTCCGGCGCAACGAGTCTAGTCACAGTCCTAGCCGGCCTGATGGATCTGGAGGAGCACCATGGGAGACAAGAAAACGTGACAAGAAAGACTTCAAGAAAAAGAGTACTAACTCGCCCGGAAGCCGAGCTGGCAGTGGTGGCAGTCCATCCAAGGGGGAAGGACTAAGACTTGATGATAACTAACCAGTACTGATTACCTTGTTTTTTACTACATTGTGCCCTTCGATGGTAATGCCAGACACAAATTTCTTGTGATTCGGTTTCCCCTTGGTTTCTAAGCGGGTTTCTGCTCTTTGGCCTGGCAAGTTGGGGTTGTTTCGCGGATACCAGGCTCGCTCAAGTCGCATAATGCCTTCAAATGTTCAATGTTCTAAGTCATCACCAAGAACATTTTACCTCGATGCTCCTGCAGATTGGTTGTTGTCTAGACTGCTGCAAGACAGCGGAATTAGTAGCATTGGTCAGGTTATAATTCTGTAGATTTGATTCCCACTACACATACAGTACATAATGCACTGTTGCTATTACAAGGCTACAACCTATATAGTCTTGCCAATGTGGTGATTTAGAAAAAGCATATCGAATCACAGTCAAAGATATCCACATATACGGAATACCTGCTACATATAGGAATCATATTTAGACAATGAAGTCTCCCCCCACATCCTGTACAGGTTCTAAGTAGTTCTTGGCTGATCCACCAGGATGGAACTATGTATGTCTTTCTCCTCCTTCCTCTAATGCAAGTGTATAAGTGAGGAGCCTGACACTGTATGTCTTGTTTGTTGAAGCAAAGTGGTGGGGCACGTGGTCTGTCCAGGCAGCAGAGCCTCATGTTGTCTCAGCAGCTGTCGTCTTTCAGACTCTTTCTCTTCTCTCACTATCAACCAACTGCCAACTACCTAGGCAATATCTACTGTTCTAGCTCTAAATAGGCTTATATTTCTCCAGCCTGAGATTTATAAGCTTTCTCCAATTGAATTCTCTTGACTCAACTTTCGTTTGTGATTGGACTATTCCCTCTTCTCCAGAATGGAGTCAACTTGCCCGTCAAAACTAACGATTCAGCATGCTACTGAAAACCTTCTCCTGCTCCAGCGGAACCGTCAGGATGGTCAACAAGATGGTGTGAGCAATGATACTGCGAGTGAACCCACAACAATCCTCGATGCTACATACACCTTCGATGATCCCACGACAAAGACAACGAGCCCTCTGGCTCTGCAGAATTCAAACTTTGGCCCTGCAAGTACGCCATGCTTACTTCTTTTGCATGGTGCAGATACCCTGGTTTTCGTTGATCCTCCAGAGACAGTCCGAGCTAAGTTGCCGCCTCACATCTCGATAGTTCCTCATCGTGTTCACAGCGAGAAACTATTGGCCACAGGATCAGCCTACTTTAAACGACTTTTTGATCCTAAGATTCAGACCCGGGTCAAGAAACGACGCGGTCTGACTGGCACACTTCCGGATGGCGTCCAATACGTCTTGGACCTCACACCTCCAATGTTAGATGAAGATGCGCTGATTTTTGTGACCCAACTTTCATGTCCTATGAGTATCCGAGCATGGGCCTTGCAGCAGAGTACATGGAACTTGCCCTTGTCATGTGTCGGAGGTCAAGAAGACATGGAACCCTCCAACGTACGCCTGCCTACGACATTACCTGACATTGCAGCCGATACCTATATCGGCCCTGATGAAGATTCCGGCAATAATCCAAGTGAGTGTTCAACTTGGTTGCAAGATGCAGTCCCGCCTGGGATAGAGGAGGAGCAACGCTTGCCTCTGGAATACTCCGCCTCCCGTCATTGCGAAGGGGTGGAGCATATCCTCCACGTCCTGGAAGGACTGAGTCCCAACTTAGCCACCCCTTGCAAGCTATGGACTTTCTTTGCGCTTGCCCAAATTTTCGACGTGGCTTCTGTACCAGCTATCTGCGACCGTATCGCCTCGTGGTTCTACGAGCTGAATAATGTGCGGTTCATCGAGCTTCATCCTGATGTAACGTACAGAGTGGCCTGTGGGATTAAATCCTCCTCTCTCTGCCAAGATGCTTTTGTCGAATTGGTTGGTGATGAAGCTCTGCTCTACCTCATCCGGGCTACACCCTTCAAAGCAACTGCATCTACGCAAAGTCTGGTGCAAAGTCGGATGCGTGACATCCTAGATGACACCGAGGTACAACGCATTGAGTATGCTAGCAAGAGTTTTGGGGACTACGTTGTTCGTTGCTTCTTGCACCTGGCCGGGAGTGAAATGCCCTGGTTGGCGGACATCCCTGAGTTCCAAAAGCTCACTCGCCACCTCCAACATTATCCTGAAGATCAAGAATTTGTGTTAAAATTCATGTTGACACTGACGGACTTCATTCGTGATCGCATCTACGGTGCTTTATGCAGGGCAAGAGACACAAATCGCTCTTTCCACGTGGATCCGCATCTGAGGAGACCCGAAAGTTTGTACCAGCGACACCCCTTTGATAGAGAGATAATGCTCCAGCGACTGATTGGGAAGGACTTCTGGACCTTGTTGATAAATCTGGACCTCTGGCGGACTGAACCGCCTCGCACAGAATGTCATTCTTCTATAGCGGATATTGGTGATGGCTCGTTGGTTTTCCTCGATGAGACCGCAGCAAGCATTCGTCATGTGTCGGTTACTGAATTTCGCCACATGAGATATCAGTTCAACGAGCTTGTCCGGATGAGAGCTCAAGAACTTCAAGAGAAGGAAGCCCTTGTCATGCAGCTTGCAGGTAGGCATGTCATGATGGAGGTGACTACTAGTCCGAATGCTCCGCTGCCCCAATCTTTCGAAAGCAGCTCTAAGAACGGTCCTTTCCTCAACCCCATCCCAACGATTCCGCCCAAATCAACCCTACCGGCAAATTTAAGTGCAAGAGATTTCTTCAGCGACAGCGCTTTCAAGATCGAAGTCCACTCTTTCATAGAAAAATACGCGCTCGAGATGTTGCAGGTGCCTACCACAGCCACCATTCGACACGAACTCACGGATACACTAACCTGCCTCACATACAATGAATTCCAATACCTATCTCTGTGGGCAGGTGGCAACGACGATGGAACCGGTGGTGTTTTCACTGACTTGAACATTCCCTCCATGGATGCCGACGGATTCTCCGGCCCTGGGCCCGCCGTACATACCGGCAGTTGCACATCAACCAATGAGTCTATCACCGAGCTGGACCCAAGCGACTCCTGGGGCACCGTTCGCGGCGCATCTCATAATGCGACATACAGTCACGTCTCTGATCTCATGTCCGTGACCTCTACAGGCTCTGCCCGGGCCGAGATAATTTACGCAAACGATCAGTCGGGAATTTACATGGGAGAAGCAGATTATGACGATGAGAGCACTCTCGATGTTGCTTTGGCTACCGGTGACGAGGAATACGAGACACAGAGCAATAGCACTGTGACCATGGATAGAGCCTCATCTATCTTGTCCTCCGCCGATCCGGGCGACATAGGTGCGGACCAGATGGCTGATGATAGCGACGATACCGAGTTTGAGGTTGTCGATGCGCATGACTACATGTATGCGTAGAACACGCTGGTAGGGAGTATTCTTTTTCCTTACTTGAGCGGAGGAAGCAGTATGATTACACGAGGTTCGAAAAATATGGGATATGTCTTAATGAACGGAATTCAATGACTTACAAAAGCTACTACTTTTCTTGACTTTGTAGACCTCAGTAGGGACAAACCTCCCGCCAACGTCAGCCCGGAGATGTTAGGACCGGCGTACTGGCGCTTCTTTCTTGGATGGTCTTCCTCGGCGCTTGGGTTGGTCTGGCGAGCCTTTCTTTTGCAGGCATCGGCGGCAGGGTCGGAGGCTTCGAAGGATGAAGGGCCAAGAAGATCAGGCTGGGCGTCTAGGCCGCCAAAGAGAAGAACGGATGAGACATCTCAGCATGAGATGACCGAAACCGATCGTTGAAAGTAAATAGCTTCAAGCATGGTACTCCGTACGGAGTAGATGGTAGAGGATAAATTCCAGTGGGGTTGTGCTGTACATACTACATGTACCTCGGACCGCAGCCTGGATGAGGGCGAATTCTGCAGAATTCTGCCACGCTAACCTGATTGGGCTGCTTCAAAGCTGATTCAGCTCCCTGAAAGAGGCAGGCGGTGGATTACCAAAGTCACCGCCTTCTGGGGTCGCGGCTGAGGGAACTAAGGCGGGCTTGGGAGTGCCATGTACAGAGAAGCCCGAGGTTCACATTGAGCATGACCATTTGAACGAGCTACATCAAAGGGTATATCACAAACGCCTGAAGACTGCAAACTTTTCTAACCATCTGGCATACTCGGCTTTCCTCCTACAACCCCCTCTACTCCGTAACTCTCAGATCACGGCCACTGACATCATATCACTATGGCTTCATCCTCACAGACGAGCTCTTTGCTCTAGTTAGTTCTGCCCCCTATGTCTGCCCGAAAACGGTAAATGACTGTTTACTAACGACCATTGTCTTCTTCAGCTCTTGTGTTGCTCATCGCACTACCATTCTGGCTGAGCACTCCGCACCGGGCACTTCATCGACCTCCGCCTCGTCACTTGCTTCTATCATCCTCCCAAAGATCACACATGATAAGCCCCAGAAACTCACCTTCACCCATGAGCGGCTATTTGTCCATTACATCGCCGACTCGCCTACGGGCAACCAATCCGACGATGTGAATCGCTCAGAGCCCAACTCGCACGCCCCCTTGAGCTTTGTGGTAGTTGCATCCGCCGAGCAAGGCCGTCGCATCCCATTCGCATATCTGCTAGAAATGAAGCGCAAGTTCCTTGCCACCTACCAACCATCTACAACCGAATTCGCCTCACTACCCGCCTACGGCTGCGCCGCGTTTAACAATGAGCTCCGCTCCCTCCTGCAAACATATAACACGGCCCCGCCAGCCGACTCGCTCGCATCCGCCCGGCGCGAAATTGACAGCGTCCGCGATATAATGACGGAGAATATTGAGCGGGTTCTAGAGCGCGGCGAGCGCATCGATCTGCTGGTTGACAAGACGGACAGGCTTGGGGGGAGTGCGCATGATTTCCGGATGCGCAGCCGAGGCCTGCGGAGACGAATGTGGTGGAAGAATACCAAGTTGATGATCATGATGGTGATTGTGGTTATATTTTTGCTTTATCTCTTCGTCGGTATGGGATGTGGACTACCTGCATGGGGGAAGTGTGTTGGACACTAGCGAAGTGACAGTGGCTGGTCAACCTCGACCTTTCTCATTCAGCGAGCCTTTTTTCGAATATTCAACTCATGAGTTTGCTTCGGTTCCTAGCACCCATGAGATACGACGCCATGGGTTTTTGCTTCATTGTTCTCTGCGCTGTTTACTGATTGTGTTGCTCTTCTACTTCCAAAGGTTCGATGTATATTAAGCTATTTGATTTGTGTTTTGTTGAGGCATTGAAGCTCATTTGCATGTTATCTACTGAGTGATGGAGGCAAAATACATAGCCATCCAATTCCAAGATTTGAAAGATCTCACCCGTCTTCTGTTGTTGATGGCCTGGTAGCTAGGTTCTCTGGGTATTATATGTTCTGATGGTTATCATTCTGAAAAACAACGTCTCATATCGACATCCGGACGTATCGAATCTGCGAGTACAATGGATGCTTGTCTGCTAGGTTTCAAGGTTCAATTATGGTGGGAACCTCCAGATTGATATATGTTCCCAACCTTGTAATTTTGCAGTCAAATAGCCAGACGGGCTTATCTCGCGAGATGACCAAAGAAAGTAGCAGAGTACAGGCGTTGGACATAAAGCAAGTGCATGTACTGCGTGAAAACTCATGCTCCCATTTTGTAACGTGCCATGCTGGTCGATTTCAACTATAGACAGGCTGGGTGTGATTCCAAGTCCTACGCTACGAACTCTTGATGTAAACATTCCAAGGTTATTGTGGAAGAGAAGATGAATTGGTTGTAGAGAATAGTGAAACTTGAATGACGAATATCGACTCGGGCACCTCCGGGGTTGGAATCAGTCCTTCCAACTTACAGCCTACAGCTTCTATACAGATAGAACTTCCACTCGAAAGATATGTACCTCACCATCAAACTCACTGCGTCCTTGCCCGAAGGCGTCAGAGTGAGTCTGCAGGTAAGACAGAGACCACCAGCTTCCCAGTAGCCCTGCGGATTCTCTACGCCAAGTGTTTACCTCTTCAACCATGGAATCCGCCCTGAAAGGACGGGATTGACGAGGAGATATATAGGCGACACTTATGCTACGTAATGCAAAGTGTAGGAGATCGAAACAAGGGGAAACTGCCCCTACAAGTTCAACATGCGAAGACGCTGGGCCGAATGAGCAAAATGGAGACGAAACGAAATGGCTGGGGATGGTGTTGTATCATTCGACGGGCATCCTATGCGCGGGAAATATGAGGAAGAAAAGACGCCGGTTGTGCAGAGAGCATTGCCCTGCGAGCATCGACTCCGGATAGAAGAAAAAGGAAATTTTGTTCATTTTTTCATTCATCGCAATGCACCTGGTGTGAGAAACTTTACCCTGATCATAGCAGGCTGGAAATTCCGTTTCTCAGAGTCCTATAGATGAACCCGCGCCGTCAACCGCCATTGCAACATGAACCTAAACCCCACACGCGAAAAATCCCCTAAGCCGACTTGCTCTTGACGGCCTCACGACCCTTGGCGATGCGCTCAATGATCTGCTCACGGTCCTTGTCAAGGTGAAGCTTGGTGATGACAACCTTGGAAGGGTGGAGAGGAATGGGAACGCTCTGGCCGTTGCTCTTGTCGCGGACGATCTAAAACAGAGTAAGTATCCACTGCACCGAGTGGGAAGTGGGATTCGAATTCGTACCTTCTCAACGAAGATGGAGAACTTGAGACGGTAGACGTTGGTGATCTTACCCTCACGTCCCTTCTGCGAACCTCTGGCAACAACTGTACATCATAATCAGTCCCATGCACTCAATACAATCTGCAGGTTGTGTCAAGAGTGAAAACTCACCAACTTCGTCGTCCTTGCGGATAGGAATGGAGCGGATCTACCGTAGAAGGCTGGTTAGAATCGTGGTGCGTTGTGACATGCAGGTACAGGCTGGATCGTCCGTGGTTTCCAAATCCGAAAACCCCTATCCGGCCAGACCAAAACTCGAGATGGATGTTCAAGTGGTACATACTCCGTACTTCTCCTTGAGTTCCTTGGAGACGGGGGCGCTGAGGATGACACGGCGCTCGCTGGAGGGGGCCTGGAAGTGTGCCTTGCGAGACTTGCTCCGCGAAGAGGCGATACCTGAGGGAGACACCATCAGTATTTAAAATTGAATATTGGCGAAAATTCGTCTCGATGGGAGTTTCGGGCAGTAGTGAATCAAATCGGCGCAGCAGGAATTGCGAGATAGTACGCACCGTGGGTTCGGACAGCCATCTTAAAGGTCGTGGGTGGGTAGTGAACGGGTGTCGTTGGCGTTGGTCGAAGAGAGGATCTTTTTCGATGTAGCCGAATATTCCAAGTTGGAGCGGGATTGTGTGCTTACTAAGATCCCGCTAAGCCGCGTCAGGGCTTACAAGCTGACACCCGAGAAGTAAGGCAGAAACGTACTGGCCAACGTGTGATTGGATAATGCCGGGACCCACCTCGACGCGCCAAATGCGCCTCGATGGCGGCGCAAGTCCGCGGCTTGTTTATCGTCATTCTTCGCATTTGCCCTCAACCTTCGTCTGGTTAGGTCGCCTATGGTTGGACATTATAGCGATCTTTCCTTGCTCGGTTGAAACGATTCTTTCAATGCGTGACGGATCAGGATCAAGTCTTTTTCGCCTGAGGTTACGACATACTCAGCGATGAGATTGAAGCTGCTAGACGAGCCTCATACGAGCTGACATGTCAAACGAGGGCATGGACGAGAATGTCTCGTTTCCAGGCTTTCTTTCAGCAGATGGCGTTCTCGACTACGGTCTCAACCTCACCAACGCGGCCTATCAAGCTCAAGTATCCCGCGACGCGGAGGAGACAGCTCGGACCCAGGCGCTCATGCAAGAGCAGGCACAGAACTCATACTCCTCCATGATATCAACAAATACCGTGATCAACAGTGCCTTGCATCGCTCTCCGGTGTACAGACCAGGATCGGATGGGCAAAATGGAGGAAGTTTTCGCCAGGAGACCAGCAGTGCTCAAAACCAGCAGTCTGCCAATCCATATCCTGGACCTTCTCCATATCAACAAAACAGTGCTCGCCGAGTGAACAACCGATCTGGGCCATTTGGTTCGTCTTCCCAATACAATTCGCCTGCTCAGGCGCCCCAGGCTGCGTACCGCCAGTCACTTTCGGATACGGCTTCTTTTGGGTCCCATCGGAGGCATACTGGAACTACAATAGATCTTTCTGAGGCTGGCCAAGGGCTTTATAGGATCAGTGAATCCACAGGGGCTTTGCGTCCTGTACAAGGAGCTGTCTCAACAATGGCACGGGCCCCACGAATGTCACAAGTGCAATATGGAAACTCCTCAGCTATCCCAAATCAGCAATATCAGCGGTCACCAGCCCAACTACCCACGGCGCAACAAGGGTCTGAACCGATGGCTCAAGTCCAAATAGCACACAATCCGGCTGCACACTTTCAGGAAACACAAGCTTCGCATAGGCACATTACGAATCCGACTCATAATGCCCAGGGTCATTCTAATTCCATTGCTATGCAAGGAATCCGGCAAATGGCCCCCGTCCAATGGTCACGCACGCCCGAAGCAAGAACACAAGCATCGCAGAGCCCGTATCAAAGTCGACCTGCCCGGGCACAAAGTACACAGCAGCTGATGCTTCCCACTCCGGCACAGAGAAATCGGTCTGCGACGTGGCTTGAGATCAGACCCGAACAAGTGGGCCAGAGTCAAACATGGCAGACCCCACATCGAAGCCATTCTACCGGCCTGCCCTCAAATCCCCAGCAGCTATCTCAATCTACCGCAGAGCAAGGAAGCCGACCGATGCCCCGCGCGCAAAGTGCACATACATCGGTAGCGAAGACCGGAGAATCGCAGCCCCTTTATCAGAGCCACTCGGCGACTCCAACTAAGACAGGACAAATATCATCTCATCCACATACGGCACCGAGCTCTCGCACCTTGATAGATGCTGGGTCTAACGCCCATTTGGCCTCGATCGAAGGATGTGAACATTCTGTAGTACGTAGCGCGCTCAGTTCCCGCCAGCCGACCACCCCAGCCAAAAGTACGCATGAGATTCCGATGTCAAACTCAACGGCCAATTCCGCCAGTTCGGAGCGAACATTCTCTGACTTCCCTGTTACTGTCTCTACGCCTGCTACTTTGACCCCGCCTGCACAGAAGACTGTCGTACAACATCAGCTTGGACAATGCTGGCCCATGGGGAATGAAGTGCCTCAGGGAAAATCAACGCCCGAACCATCATACCGGGCACCAACGCAGACAAGCCAGCAACCCCCAATTTCCCAACCTGATAAGGAGAGTATGCCAGCAGCATCGTCAACCTCTGCTTCAAATCCTCCCCATGCGGCTTCCATCTCTCTGCATGCCACAGGACAAACGAGGGAATTGGAAGTATCTTCTGGCCAAGGGCAAACCAATTCGGGAAATCCACAGTCGCGGACTTATCCACTGCCGAGCCCACTACACCATGAGACGAAGCGGGGTGCTCCAGACCAAGGTCATGCGGGAAGCTCTATGCCACCGGCAAAGATACGACGCATGTATAATAGTCTAGGCCAGCCAGTGACCTTTTCATCCGCTGGTTCAACCCGGATGCCAGATTGCTCGACGGTGGTGTCCCGACCTCACGAGGCACCTTCTTATGGGATTCGACGCGGCACTGGTAAACTCCTCAAGAATCGCGACGACCTGGTCCAGCCAATAAGACCGAACGATGCGTTGCCCAAGAAATCGTACAATCCCGCTACGATCGCGCGGGATGTCCTGATTGCTGCTGGAAGGCATCCGACGGAAAAGCCTTTAAACCATCATCTGGGAGCATTACGCCGGAATTTCACCCGAATTCCTCTCAATGCAGACCTGTCGACATTCCGCTGGGACGTTGTGGATGGCGCGCGAGAATCCCAAAAATCTACTCCCATGCCTCTGGCTCCTGCTGCTCTGGCACATCCCCCGCCAATCTCTCAATCACTTCCTCAGACACTCCCTCAGACATTTCCTCAGACACTTCCTCAGACACTTCCTCAGACACTTCCTCAGACACTTCCTCAGACACTTCCTCAGACACTCCCTCAGACACTCCCTCAGACACTCCCTCAGACACTCCCTCAGACACTCCCTCAATCGCTCCCTCAATCACTTCCAGCTCAACCATTCCCACGTGATCACCAGGACACACAAAATCCCGTGACCACACGTGCTCCGTCGCAGCACGTGGCGTCGCGTGACACACCGCCCAGCCGCCCAGCTCCATCGCCAATGAGGATCGACGCGCGCGCCCCTTCTGGCGGGTCGAGCGCCCCGAGTACTTCGCCCTCAAAACGTTCACCCCACCACGCTTCTCCCTCCAATCTGCCGTCTGGGCTTCCTAAAGTTGACTCTCCCCCCGCATCGCCTAAATTATCACCTCGTCCACCGGAACCCCTGCCTTCCTCCCCACCGCCGCAACTCAAACCGCGTCGACGATCAGCTGCGAATTGTGCAGCTCCAACCGATCTCGTGCGTCCGGACATTGAAGTTCCTTCCAAATCAACGACAAAGCCACAACCCCAAGCAAAGACGACCAAGGGTCGGTCAGGCTCTGGCAAGGGTGGAAAATCGCCAGACACCAAGGGTCTTCCTGTGCCACAAGTGGTTATACCACTGTCAGCAGCTAAGATGCCCTCGAAGAGACAGAGACAGCCAGGACGATCTCAGAAAAGCGCAGAGAAGGACACTGAGGCCGCTAGCCATTCCGTGCCCCCCGTGCATTATCAAATCTATCCATGCAGATGGGAGAAATGTACTGCAGAACTCCATAACATCAACTCTGTCCGAACCCATGTTATAAAGGTTCATATTCCACACTCTCTTGTGTGCAAATGGGCAGACTGTGGCAACAAGACACCGATGGCTGCAGCCGATATGTTTACGCACATGGCGACGGAGCATATTACGAGAATGGCTTGGCAGCTTGGGGATGGGCCAACGGTGCCAGTACCTGGTGAGAACATAACTAGCTCGGCGCATCATGCTTCTCCAAGGGGCTGATGGGCACTTGAGATTTGTTTTGGTCTGAAGAGACATATCTAACACAAGATGGACGATCTAGCTCAAACCGACCCGATTCATCCTTCCGGGCTGGGCGACCGATATGCTCGCGAAGGTACCATGGTTTTACCGGTGGATGAGCAGCAAATCACGGCCTTCAGCAAGACCCATGGGAAAGCTACAGAGAAGATGAAGGCCCAAGCCCTGCTTGAAGCGGGACGGCATTGGAAACAACAGATTGGGCCCGAGATGGACTGGAGTGACCGTCGTCTGTCAACGCCAGCTCGGCAGCCCCGAGTCCACTGTGGAGAAATGGCGTTTGTTGGATCCGATTAATGGATCAGATTGACTTGAAAATACCCTTTCGGGTACAGGGTACCTCCATGGGTGGTATTGGAAATTTGCATGGGCGTTGGCGTCGAAATTCATTTTAACGTGATATCCTTATGTTGTCAGGCGATCTCACAATTGTGTATTATATATCTAGGGGTTTTTCTTGCATACGGCGGTTTTGCCCTTCATCTACGGACTTTTTAGCGCCCTTTGCATAGGCATCGCACATATTGCAATCCACCACTTGAGAACATCGATGAATAAAGCCAAGAACTCGGAGAAGGTGCGTTTGTCTCCTACTAATTGGCCTGTAGTATACAATTGTGCTGTGCCCGTCGCTGGTAAAGATAAAATCAAAAGATGTAGGCATTGGTATCTTGGTCACCTGCTGTGCTTCCCTTCAACGACTGTCGCATTTATTTCCCCTTCCCTGAAGCCAACACACCAGTGCTATCTGTGGGTACCGGCGTTGTAGCGCTCTTAGCTTTGATCTGGGTTGCCGATTTGGTAGATTCTGGCTCCTCGTCGCTAGAATTGACATCAAGGAAGTGGTATAGGACAATCATCATCATAGCGCATGAGCCAAGGAAGATGGCGAGGCGGTAGAGGTCATCGTCGGAGATCATTGTGAAGGAAGCTTGTAGAGAATTGGATGGTCACAAAGGAAAGCGATTCAGATAATAGACGCTGACAATCGGTCGAGAGACCAGCGAGGCGGAGAATTGGCGACTGCAATTGCAGAAGACACGTCGGCCAGTAGTTCGAGTGACACTACACAATTTAGCTGCGTACAATATAATCACATGTACAGTCACAAGCAGGGTTGTACCTTTGGTTTTAGGGGTCGAGAATAGCCAGAGAGTCAAGAGCAGTCGAAGGAGTCTGAGAGATGTGAGAGATGTCCCCAGGTTCCAGATGATAAGGTGACGGTGGCTCTGAGCTATCGGGGGTGCCAAGGTTATTGACCTGTACCTGGTACCGATACTGGTAATATTACCAATACCTGTACGGCAATGCAGCGGATTAGTAAGAAATGCAAGTAATTCAAAGTAATCAGGAAATGCGCTTCTTTGGGACTTTTGTACTTTTGTCAAATCCAATCGGATTCTCTTACTTCTTAACTGACCAGGAAGAACTATCCTTGTCGGTTACTCTTCCGAGATCCATTTTCAAAGACCTCGCAGGTCTTTGAAACGTGCCGTTCCCCCTGGGTAACACGAATCATCGAATTTCCAACGGCTGTCACGGTTACAGTACATTGGACAACTCGAACCTCTCTACTTCTCCCCTCTTCTCCCTTCCCCTCAATCTATTTGGTCTATTTGGTCAATTTGTCGACGTGTCGATTCTTCTTTCTCCACTCGAGTCGTTCCCTATATGCGTCTCCATTCACCATGACTGAATTGCAGACCACTTCCGGGTCCAGACCCGGTCCTGCGCTCCTGGCGTGTCTTCAGTGCCGGCACAAACATCTCAAATGCGATGGCAGGACTCCCGTCTGCAGCCGATGCGCACAGACTCAATCATTTTGCGAATATACCAAGTCTCGGAGAGGCTACAAAGGTCCATCGAAGAAGCGTCGCGCTAATTCACCGGATTCCCTGCCCATGGATCCCAACCCAGTAGACAAGCTGGATGTCCCCGTGGACTGGACCTTACAGACTGGCTTCACCTATTCGCCAACCGCCCCATTGCCTTCCTCCGCATCGACGAGTCCCGGATTGCACCATCTGTCGACGCCAATGATTCCGAATGTCCGCCCGATCACCGGTCCATTGACTCCGGAGTCCTCGACTGCCATTGGCGGGGATGGCTATTTACTCGATATCTACTATAATTATTTTCACGCGGCCCATCCGATCCTGCCACCACACAGTGTTTTATATCGCTGGGTTTTTCCCGCATACCTGGAGCAGGTGATGAAGTTCATCGGTGCCCACTTCACCTCAGCTGCCTCGAGCGACACGTACCGGCATACCGTTGTCACAATGGTCCAACAACAAGAGCTGTCGATTGAGAAGGTGCAAGCGCTACTTCTGCTGGCAATTGTACTTCATTCGGACAACGAGCGCGCCGAGGCAGGCATTTGTCTCAGTGGTGCGGTCGATGGAGCCTTCGAGCTTGGCATGCATCAGGGAACTTTCGCGATTTATGCCAGCAACGGGGATCCGATTCGCGCAGAGTCGTTGCGGCGCACCTGGTGGGAGCTCTTCGTCATCGAAGGTCTCATGACTGCCCTTGGCGTGCAGCGCGAGTATCGCACTAACCAGGTGCCGCTTGAGGTCACGCTTCCTTGTGAAGAGCGGATTTATCACGATGCCCTGCCGCCGCCACCGTCCCCAACCATTGCACAATTTGATGGGCGTGTATTTGCGGAAGAAGAGCTTGATTTCTCCTCGTACTGCTATCGGATTGAATCCATAAGGATTCTCGGCCGCGTGGTGGCGATACAGGAGATGACCGAAGGCCAACAGGACCATGTGGAAGCTATTGATGCACGCATTGGTAGCTGGAGTCATCACTTGCCCGAGTCTAAGGAAGAGCTCTTGCGCCCCGATGGGAGTGTGGATGAGATCATGTTTCAGGCGACGATGATCTTGAACGGTGCCGCCATCTACCTCAACTTCCCACGGTCTGATCTTCTCTCGTCTCCTGCCGTTGCCGCGGAAGTCATCTGCGGTCACCATGGCCCGATCAGTGTGCCCGCATTCTCTCACAATGAGCACGCTATGAAGGCCTCCAAGGCCGCCCGGGAGCTGTCTCGACTTGCAGCTTTCCGTCTGCCCGTCATCAAACATACTCCCTTTTTCATCTGTGCGCTGACTCTGAGCTCCATTGTCCAGCTGGCCTCGTGCTCTGTCAAAGCCGGTCAAATGCCGGACCCTAGCCGTGACCGCTTGGCGTTGACGATCGGTGTTTTCAAGTCATTGGCCCGCACATGGGCTATCTCGCAATCAATTATGAGGCAGATCAAAGCCGTTGCACGGGATGTGATGGACTTGGGGCTGCGTCCGACGATGGAATCGCTCGATCTCACCACTGTGCTGGATAACAGCCAGTTCTGGGTGGATCAGGGCCCGAGCTGAGAAAGAGGATAATACAACTTGTCTCGACCTTTCTCAATCAACGTGCCTGACGCCTAGGCAGTCCCATTTGCGACTGTCTAGCCGGTGATCGTTGACCCAAGTCTAGATCAATGACCTCTGGTCAGGCGGCTGATGTGTTCGTCTTACCGCCCCCTCCAACCCCCTGCAGGGCTCTGGCTCCCTCGGAGGTTGGCTCTCCTCCGACCCCATTCGGTATACAGTTGTATCGTCCGGGTTCCGACCGGGGGATCTGCGAAGGGGGATGAGACGTGGCCGTAGGTTTCCCCGACCCCGGCTATATTGAGCACCCATTTTGATGTGCTGCCACCTTGACTTGGGCATAGACTATCAACATGGTCATTGCGGATTGAGACTGCATCCATGAAATTTTCAGATCTACCACAGTATTGGAGATATAGAAAGTCGATGATCGATCCTCCATCTCACGCAGATATATTATTTAGGAAAAATGGGCTTTTGTCTGGTATGGAGATCTTTTGATCCACTTGTTGACTCTTTTTTGGGCTGATCTACATGTAAAAACTACCCGATTCGGTCAATTGGATGGCTCCGAGGTCATGGGAAGACGATCAATATTGACAACGTCATACAGCCTGTGAAGTTATTCAATTTGACGTTTATATAAGACGTTGCCTAGTTATCTGGTTTCCTTCATCTTCTCATATTCTTGCCCTGAGACTCTTTTCATCTCGCCCTCTCAGCCCTGACGGCCCATTTTATTCGACAATGGATCCTTACAACACCAAAGAGGCTATCCTCCAGCTTGGTATCATTGATCCAGTGATGAAAGAAGTAAGCATAACCCAGAAATAACATTCTACAAAGTGGTTCTACCAGTGCTCAATGTGTGAACATGTAGATATTCAAGAAGAACCCGCCTCTCGACCTATCTGTACTGCCATATGAAGTTGTACGCGCAGACTCACTCATGGGTGAAAAAGCCACCTGCGAGAGGTTATCGAAACATGGTACTCAAGAGACGCTGAAGACCATTCCCATGCGAGATGGCTATGAAAGCGAGATTCGCGTGATCAAGCCGCCCGATGTACAGCCCAGCACCCCGCTTGTGATATTGATCTACGGTGGTGGATTTATCATGGGCACGAACCTGCAACTAGTCCCCTGGGCGACAGCAACTGCGGCACTCTACGGAGCAACAGTGGTTCTACCTTCCTACCGATTGGCACCAGAGCACAAATTTCCGATCTCCCACAACGACATCTGGGATACGGTGAAATGGCTCTCTACAAATGCCTCTTCACTGGGTGCCGACCTCTCCAGAGGCTTCATCATTGGCGGCAGCTCAGCCGGTGCCAACCTATCGATATCTACAGCTCACCGCGCCAAGAGAGAGAATCTCTCCCCTCCAATAACAGGCGTGTTGGCCTCCGTTCCACCCTGCATGACCGAGGAGACTGTTCCATCGAAATACAAAGACCTATGGTTGTCACATGAGCAGAATGCGCTTTCGCCCGTGTGCAGCGCAAAGGACATTGAAGCCTGGATGAAGTTGTTTAAGCCAGATTATCTATCTGTTGATTTCTCGCCGTTGAATTCAGACGTCCCGCTTACTGGCATGCCACCCACTTACGTGCAGGTGGATGGGATGGATGTTCTGCGCGATGATGGCTTGATCTATGAGAGACTGCTTCGTGACGAAGGCGTCCCGACTCGTCTGGATGTTTACCCCGGCATGCCGCATGGCCATTGGCTGTGGCCTGAACATCCGTTATCGACCACGTCGCAGATTGATGTACTCTGTGCTATTGGATGGCTGCTTGGCCAAGAGCCTGCGAGGGAGGAAGTTGAGCGTCTGTGGAGCACGGCGCCTTAGGTGGACATCCAAGTCTCATGAATCAGAGATTTTGAAACATATCCGATACTTGTGATGTCGCTTGGAAGCTGTATGTATAGGAGAACATAACATTGCAATTTCATGAACATATTGAAGCCAGCGAACCGCAAAGAAATAGGTAGCTATCGCATTCTCCAGCCTTCGAATACCGCACAGAGCAAAAACCCCAAATTATTCAAACTTGCGAACAAATCTCAGCCGCTTAATAGCAAGAGCAAAGTCATCAGCGCCATTAATCGGAATTGCCCGTCTACCGCCAGGGATAGCATCCATTAACTGCTTAGTCTGCGTGGACTCCAAGCTCAAACTGCTTCCGAGATTGAAACTGTCATGGACGACTTTATGCGTCTGGAGAGTGCCTGCACAGATCCATTTAGCAACGGTGGTCATGAGACAACAGGCAGGATAAGTCTTACGATCGGCTTCGGCGAGGTATTTGTTGGCTCGCAGGATTGCAGCCCATATAGCACAGATCTCAGCGACTCTGCCAAAGGTGTCGTTGCGGATCCAGCCTAAGAGGCCATTGAGGAGGTCGGGGTCTAATGGGATAAAAGGCTGGTGGGTGTCAGAAGGAAAAGGCGCAGTCGGACGGTGCCTGGTCTCTCTAGTGACCCGGTAGGCCACGGGGACCTCGGCTGCCAGACGCTCGTAATTCATCTTGTCTAGAAGTTGGAGAATCTGGGGGAATAGTGTGATCCAGGGGGAATAAGAGGTAGAGGGGAAGAAATATGTAGAGAGAACAACATGTAATGCCAGTGTGGCACTGATACTTGATTGAACAAAAGCCCCGAGTAAAGTGATAAATCACCCTGCTCTATTCTGGGAACAAAGAACTTGCACATCTCCCATGCCCTGCAACGTTTACTGAGTTCGATGAGAGTCTTAGAACAAAGAAACACTTGAGCGTAGGATTTATGGAAGCACCAGGGCGTAGGCGAACAAAGAAAAGCCAGCGGGACGCATTGAAAGCAGGATAAGCCTACAAAAGATAGAAAAGAGAGAGAAAAGAGGGAAGGTGTCCTCTTTACTTCAACATATCCGTGTCTCATATTTCTGTCTACCCATAGCCGAAATGTCCTCGCAGAACAGCTCCCTCCCGGAATTCGTGCATTGCATGGAAAAAGTCCCACCACCATACCAGAGGGATCAATATGCCTACACAAAAGACGGTAGGCTGAGTAAAAACCCACTCCATGACCCGAGACTGATAGCAAATGCTCACAGGATTATCGTGTGCAATGATCGCCTGGATGCTAGACCTCGACGTGCGAGCCGCAATGAGAAAGCGCGAACTCCTCCGCACATATCAAAGGCTCTGTCTATACATTGGGCACATGGAGCGTAAGTGTATCCGAACGATAACCTCAACGTCAAGACTGATCCTGTCAGGCTTGATGGACCAGAACAAGATCCCATACCAGCGGTATACCGGCGAGCAAAACGGTCGAGAAATCAACACCGCCAGACAGCTCATCATGCCTCATATCAAAGCCAAGTTCATGGCCAATGCGCCGTACCCGATGACCGCTCCTATCAATACCGATGAAGAGCTCTGTGGGACTGTGGCGGATGCACAATTGTTCGAACATCGACTTCATCAGTTGGAGGTTATGCGGTACCTTGAGGGGGTTGACCCGTCGGCATTGACTGAGTTGGATAAGTAGCTTGCTGGATAACATCACAGGCCGATCAAGGGACTGGAGTTTTAAGCCAGGGAAGTTCGCGGCCCTTGGCTCTGTAGTTGGTATAGCCAATGCTTAGATGCTCCCTTCTTTGATATAATTGTTCATCATGGACTTGCGCTCATTTTCACCCGCTCTTTCATCGAGATACATCTTCCATCGTCCTGAAATGAAGTCTGGGAAAGTTTTGATTAAATCAAATCTAAACAGTGCTTGCCACCCAAGTGTAAAGTCCAGGGGTATCTCGAATACTGGGTTGGTGATGTAGGAAGCGAGCAACAGAGCATATCGCAGGGTATGCCCACTTGTCTTTTCGCAAAACAGAAGAAAGAGGAAGGGAAAATAACGCCTGACTATGGGAAAGTAGAGCAGAAAAGCCAAAACTCCTTGTCTTATGCTCAGGTCGTATCGGCATTACATGAAATGAAAGAAAACGAATGGATAGGTGGACTATCAATGAATACAAGACTCCGTCTTAGACAAGTGCCCGTCTAGATGCCTGCGCCACCACTTAGTTCCCGCATCTCCTGCAGGGCAACAGCACGGCGTGCGACGACATCTTCGCGACGGACAACATTGCGCAATGCTTCGCTGGCTTGGATCAGCCCGTCGATGCTGATTGCGTGGTTGGTCATTTGGTGGTTGATGTATGTATATAATGCCGCCGGCGTCGAGCAGGTCGTCAGTAACTGCTGCTCATTGAGCTTGAGCAGCGCAAGAGCAACTTGGAAGAGGAATGTGCTTCCGCCGCCACTGCCAGAGGCAAGGTCCTCGGCGACTTTTGTATTCTTGTCAATGCTTTCCTTGGCACCAGAATTCAGTCCAGGGCCGTTGACTGCGCTTGTCACATTGAGACACAGGACTACATCCCATACGCGGTACAGTGCCTCTGCGGAGAGACAATCCGTAAAGACAGAGAGGAACCATTGGAACGTCAGTGCCTCCAGCTCGATACCCAGTTCCTCCAAGTGGGCGGAGAGCTTAGGAAGAAGCTCCGAAATGTACTGACGCAAGACTACCTGGTCCGCGCGGGAGGCCAGCAAGCCATGATCGTAGTAGTGCTGAGGCAGGATGATTTCAATCATCGATGTCAGGATCCAAAATGCGTCCTCGGCAGTCGGCATGATGAGTAGCAGGGATGCTGCGATGAGATTCATGCCCTGACAGTAACCCACCTCCGGATTACGACGCGAGTACGCAAGCAGAACCTCCTTCAGTTTGGCAACCCCGGGCCCCTTGCGGAAAAAGACATTGTCCGTAAGGGTGCGGCGTATATCCATGTCGATCTGTGCAACGACAGAAGGGTCTGGATCGCACCCACCGACACCATGCACAAGGTCATCATAGTATCCGGGGATTCGCATTGTCGAGGCTCCGCTGCACTCCGACCAAAGTTTGGCCCGAAGAGCAACTGGGATGCCGCCGAGCACGAGCATCCGAAACTCCCGCCACTTCGCTCGCCCAACCTTGCCTTTATTGCCCAGACCAGCGATCCCTACAACCTCGCCATCGGCGAGCGAGACTTCTGGCGTGTCGACGGCAGCAACAGATCTATCGGAAGTTGCGGCCGCGGCTGCGGCTTCGCCCTCTTTTCGTCGTTCAGCGCGCACTTTACGAAGGAACTCATTCCACCGGACGGTTCGGTCGCGTTGCAACGTGTCGTGGAGCTCGGTCAACTGTTCCAGTAACAGTTTCACAGGCTCCATCTCGGCGTGACTAAACTTGGAGTATGTGTCCTTGAGCTGATCCGATGACATTCCAGCGAACTCGGGGCTGTCAGCCGTGATGGCCGATGTGGATGCGGATGGCTGAGAGCTTGGGCTGACGGCCAACGCCCCATCTTTGTCAACTGAAACAGACGAGCTATGAGAGCGATTCTCTCCTGCGGTGGTCAAAGAGACGATCGGTCCTGCAGAAGGGGTGTGAGACAGCAGCTCTGTTGGACGGGAGGGAATCCTCAAGTAGTCCTGCCACCGACGGATGGCGACGGCTCCACTGTCCAAGTCTTCTGGTGAGCCAGGAAGCGAGTGGGAAGTTTCGGCGGCCTCCTGGCGAAGTCTCGAGATTTCGGGGTCATCTTCGGGATCTGAAGTATCAGTCCGAAGAGAGCCTAGAGTTTCGGTAACGCTCAAACGGTGAGCGCTGCTCTTAGCAGTATTGGCTTCTCTCTGGCGCTTTTTTCGGCGTTGATCATAGATAAACCCGAAGCGGTCGGTGAGAAACTCGCCGGCTTGGGAATTGTTATAAATGGTAGTGAGCGTCGGAGGCTTCGACTCCATAGGCAGAATGGCGTCCATCTCGACCGGTCCAAGATTCGTCGAACCTCGATCCGCTACCTCCGACGCTGTACCCTGCGATACACTACCAGCTGCCGTCCGTCGAGGGGCTCGAGAGGCAGGAGGGTTCATTTTTCCCTGGGCGCCGGAGCCACTGGCGGAACGCCCAGTGGTAGGTATACTCGCATTGCTATTGATCTTCTTCAATGCGGCAACTGCCGACATCCCGCCCTTGGAATTTCCAGACAATGTAGAAGAAGCGCTCCTGTCGGCGTCCGGCTTTTTGGGCTGAGATCTATTGTAGGTTGATTCAGAATCACTTGCATCTCTGCTTGTCTGGGAATTGCCGGCAAACAGCTTGACAGTCCAAGAGCCAAGAGACCGGGACGATTTACGGGAATGGATGCTTGCATCATCACCAGTTGCCGAAATGCTAGCGATGCGATTTGCTGGTCCGTTCCGTGCTGTGCCTTCAGGAGGCTGGAATAGCTGCTCATCGAGCGCTTTGCGTCGCACTGCAGGGTTGCTAGGCACTCGCCGACGTTCAGCCTCTTCCTCCCCAACCTCACCAACACCACTCATGATGCTGCTGGCACGACTGGTCTTCCGGCTCGTATTGACCGAACCGAACAGATACTCTTGCCAGCCCCTGATGGAGCTCTGACTCTTCCGGTGATCGTCTGACCGCTGTGCACGAATCGTGGTTTGAGCTTCTGCCGATTCACTGTAAGAACGAGAACCCACAGCGTCTTCCATCGCTTGAGACATCAGCCCATTCAAACCAGAAGAGGCGTTGTCAGCATGATCACTGTGGCTGCTTTCCGCATCGGAGGCACGATCACCCGGAGAATTCTCTAACTGATATAGGCGACGTTCGATATCTTGGTTGGACACGGACACTTCTCGAAGCATTCTCTTCAGCTCTCGCTCCCTTGCATCGGCGCGTTGGCGTAGAGCCGAGATCTCAGCGTCCCGTTGCGCTAGATCGCGTGCGAACTGCCTCACCATCTTCACGGCACCGGTTCCGGCAACCAACCGCTCAATGTGCGCATCATCGGCCAAGTGCAGGGCACCCGGGATATCGTACGCGGGGACAGAATCGGCGAAGAGGGCAGCTCGGCCTGATTTGTGCGACGGCCCAGTCGTCAAATTCGCCAATGTAGCCTTTCGCCCACGACCGCCCTTGCTCTCACTGATATCATCTCCATTGTCACCAGATAATAGCGTAGTCGTTAAGCCACCGGCGAGGGTCGAAGTCTTGTCTGGCGGGGAAAGGGAGGGGAACGAAGTCAAATCTGTCGTATTATTCGAGGAGCCGGAATGACGTTTCTGCATTTTGGCGCGGACAGCCTTAGTATTTCGACTTCTGCTCGACGCGCTTGAGGCTTGGGATGAGGATCGCCGCTGGGATTGAATATCGGACTCTGCCATGACTCAATAACCGGGCGATGAAATGGTTGGTTGATGACTTCATGAAGGCTTTTCTCGAGATTGTTGGAGGAGTTGATTGACACGCGTTCAGACCGAGGGGCGACAACTCATTTGAGTAGCTTTATGTAGCTCTAAGTACTTGGCTGGTCCTGTCGCGCGTGCTTGGCAATCCTTCTGTAGAGCCGTGGATGGAATGAAGGGAGATCGACCGGCGATGTTCAGGCCCTGGACGTCAACCCTGGAATCCCTTGATGCCCTTTCTTAGGACCAACGAAAGCATCGAAAACAAAGACTCTAGCTTTGGCTATTGAAACACACACAGGCTTTCATACAAAGTGCACATGACGTGACCCCGGGTAGCAGTCACCTGACTATGTGCTTACATATTGAATTTTATCATGTGATATTTTGCGTTTATGGCTCTCCTGCCCCGCTGTATCCCGGGGGCCTCGGCTCTCCGCATAACCGACCGAGTTGCCCAGCATTTGGGGGTGGGGAAAGCTGGTGCTGTTATAACTAGAAAGCTGCCGCAATTGGAGCTATTTTTCTAGTATATTCAAGTGATTCATTTTGGAAGATTGCCGAACTCATCCAGATCTTAACAGACATGTCTGCAGCAGCAAAGCAGCGTCTCCAGGCCCTGAGCAAACAGCTCGTTGAGGGCATACCCTCCGAGGGCACCTTCGAGGACATCCCCAAGATTCGCCATGTCGCTGGAGACTCAGCTGGACCGTAAGTAGCCTTGGAGATTTCAGACTCTCATAAGAGTCAAGTATATCTTTGTATGGCCTTAATCACAAGCTCGAATGCATAATTAACGCTCTAATTGACAGGCGGGCAAAGGACAAGGTAGTAATCGTGACCGGTAGGTGTCCTCGTACTCCATTTCAAGAGCATTATGCTAACTGAGATAAAGGTACAAACTCCCCCAGCGGCATTGGTCGCGCCAGCGCACACCAATTCGCCAACAATGGCGCCAGAGCAGTCTACATCTGCGACTTCAGCGACACCCATCTCGCAACACATAAGCGAGAGATGGAATCACTGTACCCAGGTGTGGACATCCACGCACGATCATTTGATGCTGCCGATGAAAAGGCTGTCGTAGCTGTCATCGACGAAGCAATCAGCAAGTACGGCCGCCTAGACGTTTTCTTCGCAAACGCCGGTATCGTGGGCCAACCTAAAGTATTTACGGACATCGACGCCGACGGATTCATGAATACCATGCGAGTAAACGCTCTCGGGTATGTATTGCCTCCCTGATCCCGATATCTCCGGAACCAAATCATTTCTAACAAATCCCGGAAACAGCGTCTTCCTAGCAGCCAAACATGCCGCCCCAGCAATGAAAATAACATCCGCCTCAAAGCCATACCCCAGCGGCTCAATCATTGGCACAGCATCTGTAGCTGGCCTCCGGTCCAATGCCGGATCAACAGACTACTCCGCCTCAAAGGCGGCCGTGGTCTCTATCGCGCAGACGGTGTCCTACCAGCTCGCGGGCACTGGGATCCGCATCAACGCAATTTGCCCCGGGCTGATTGAGACAGGGATGACGAAGACTGTGTTCGACCGGGCCCGGGAGCGTGGCACTGAGCGCAAGATTGGACAACTGAACCCGCTGCAGCGGGGTGCTGTTGCTGATGAGGTTGCGCGTGTTGCGCTGTTCCTTGGTAGTGATGAGTCCAGCTATGTCAATGGACAAGCTTGGGCTGTTTGTGGTGGATTGAGTGCTGGACACCCTGTTGTGCCCGGGAAGTTGGCTTGAAATAGCCTGAAACACAATCATTGAGTTGCATTTGAGAGTTGTACATCCACGCTCATGATTAGCATAAGAACATGATTTTATTACTTGTATGAGGAATCAACCTTCCTTATTGCACTCTTCTAGTATGTCTAAGCTACTTGGTTACGATAGGACCAATTTAGATCAAAGTTTCAAATTCACAGAATCCATTCCGGGAAGACAGGGAGCTATATAGACTCTCGTAGATAGGAATCTAGATCCAGGACTGTAGATAAATAGGAAATTTCATCCGCAGACAACGCGGATGGCGGTGCAGAGTGAGGGCTTCTCTCAACATGAGATGAGCGCAAAATCAAATGAACCAAGTCGTTCCATCCCAGACGGTACGACATATAGTCGGAAATCAAACAAGGAAAAGGAAGAGCAGAATTATTGAACAAGAAGACAGGTAGAATGGTCGGGTGGATATATAGGGATCAAGAGTAATTGCCACGACGAAGAAGTGAGAAAAGAAAGTACGCCAGACAACCAGAGCGTAGGCACGCATTCAGGATACTGCACCGATGAAGTTGAAGGAAAGAGAGAAAGGGAAGAGCCACGCCAAGAGAATAGAGAATAGGCATGGAGTGAAAAGGAAGAGAAAAAAACACAAAGATCGTCTCAGTCAAGCGTTGCATCATCTAAACTGAATAGTCGATGGAAGATCACGAGATCACCCGTGCGGTGGTGGGCCGCATGAGGTCCTCGCTAGCCTGCTTGGAGAGAGTGCCCCTCTCAGTCTGCTGATCGTCGACGTTCTCAGTCTCATGAGCGTGCTCATCATCATCCTCGACAATCCGAGTCGGGATATCGCCGGGCCCGTATTGCTGACTTGACCGCTCGGGGAAAGTCGAGCTGCTGATCATGGACATGGATGTGCTGGAGCGGTTGTGGACCAGATCAGGGGTCGGTGGGATGCTGGAGTGGCGGTTATCCGGGTGGAGGGAGGTGTTGTCGGCGTCGCTAATCTCGCTAGCGGCGCGGGTAGAGCGCCCCTCAATGGTACCGTACTCGGAGCCAAGACGCTCATTGCGGTGGAGCTTTGAGAGCTCTTCTTCCTCGTCGGCGGCATCCTGGGCCAAGTGCAGGCCTTCGACAGCGGCAGCGCACTGTTCGCTGATGCTGCGGATGATGTCTGCAATTGCATCGGTCTTGTCGCGTAGGTAGCGATCCGCGACATCTGTGATGCTGAGACGCGCAAGGGTCTTGTGATCCTTGCCGATGTTCAGCAAATGCTGCTCCAGCTCGGGGCTCATGTCATTTACCAGAGTCTTGTGACCATTGATCTCCTTAACCGACTTGATGAACTCCTTCGCCTCGGCGACTGAAACCTCCCCCTTGGACTCCTCGGGAGCGTCTTCGAAGCCCTGCTCGACAATTTCATTAATGTCTGACCGACTGCCAATGGACCGGACGATGTGCTCCATGTGGTGACTCTGGCCATTAATGAGGCTGCGCAGGTGCATGACCACGCGTTGGGCATCCTCGCGCTCGCGACTGAGGGTGGCATTGGTATGAGAGAGGGCGGAGATCTCTTTCTGGTTGCGCTTGCGCTCACGCTCGAGCTCCTCGGCAATTTCCTGCTGGAGAACGAGAGCCTCGAGAGCATCGTCACGCTGCTTCTCAGTGCCAGATAGACGGAGAGTAAGACGAGCCACGTCATCCTTCTGCTGATCAATGAGACCAGTGAGACGACGGTTCTCGCGCTTGTGGTTCTCAATCTTGACCTTGAGCTCCGCAGTTTCCTTGGTGAGCTGTTCAGCAAACGCCTGGAACTTGAGGAACTGCTGCTTCCAGGTCTCGAGCTCTTCCACCAGGAAGTTGTTGCGCTTGGTGACCTTGCTGAGCTCGGTGTCCATTCTGCCCTTGAGGTTGATGAAGTCTTGCCAAGCCTCCATAGCATCCCGAGAGTACTGGTTGCGCTCGCGGACTATTTCGTTGAGGTGACGCATGGAAACCTTGGTCATGAGGGGCTTCTTGACGGAGCCACCGAAGATGGCTTTCATACCGGTGTTGCGGCCCTGTGGAATATAACGTTAGTTTTGACCATGGTTAGCGACAGTTCATAGAGTTAAGACATACCAGCTTCTCGCACACATGGTCCATGACGGCCATGACGGCATCCTGGTTCCACCATTGGGGCTCCTCAATGCTTTCAACCTCTCCTCTCATAACAATGATCTGGCCAGCGGGGATGAGTTTGCCACCAGCGTACGCGGTGCGCAAGTGAGCAGGCACGCCAGAGGGTGAGACATCGCCATTCAAGGATTGAGTCATGCGGGTGATGAACTTGGTGCGTTGGCCCTGGCTCAGCACACTCGGCGGGCTGGAAGTGAGGACAAAGTTGCGGTCCAGGTCGATCACAAGAGCATCAGACGGAGCGTTGAACAGAGTGCGGCATTCCGCAGTAATACCCAAAATGTAGGGACCGGGCTCCTGGACCAGCTCCTTGACGTGGCGGGCGTGCACCACAGGCACGTACAGACCACTCCACTCGTAGACGCGGACGCAGTAGCGAATGGTCTCGGCCGCGACAGTCAACATCGCGGGGTAGTGGCTGACGAAAATGATACGGCGGGTGGGCGAGACGGCAGCCTCAATCACACCGACAATGTTAGGGATTGACAGACATGTAAATAGGGGCCACATGGCGAAGTTCTGGAACCCAGTGGGCGAAGATGGGAACTGGTAGCACAAAGCATAATCCTTCATGTCAATGCGAACCAGGTCGTTGAGACGGGGAGCCGGGAAGCTGAGGATGCGGGAAACCTCCTCTGCGTGGAAGAGGTTGGTGGCCTTGTTCCAGTGGATCCACATGCCTCGAAGGTAATCACCCAGCAGGTCGTAGAGGGGATACCGTGAGAGGAAACTCAAGCAGTACGGGATCCAGTAGGTCTCATCGGGATTGTCGTAGAAGTCCGGCTCCGTCTTCTTGCGCAGCTCGCGAATGGTCTCCGCACGCTTCTCATCGGCGCGGGACCAGACGCGCAGCGCGATACCGTACAGAGTGTGAGAAGAGTCCTGCTGCAAAACGAAGGCATGGTGAGCACAATGAGGCTGGCTCTTGCCGGTGCAAATCTCCACATCGTGGGGGAAACATGCACGCATAGCCGAGTGCAGGGCTCGTGCGATCTCGTTATCCTGCTCTAGTCGAGGGCTACTGCCCAAAATCTCCGGGAGCCAAAATTGACCCACGGCACCCTTCATGTGACCAATCTTACCCTGTTCGGGAGCGGGCGCCTTCACCCATTGTGAGGGTTCGCGCCCGACACCACATACCATGTAGGCATGTGTGAGTGTTTTTGGTGTTCGCTGGACGGACTTGGGATTGAGAGTAGACGGTATCGGTTGGGTGATGCGCGAGTGCAACGACGACGTGCGGCTAGGAACGACCAGCGAATTTTCCCCTTCGCCGCGTGTCGTAGGCCGATCCCGGGTTGATGGGCGCGCAAAGGACGCATGATCTCGCAGAGAATGGCCCATTGCTGCGTTTTGTGTCGATTTAGATCTGTCGGTCTTTTCGAAGTAAACTGGCAATTCCGGGGTTGGGATTCCTCGGAAGGAATGGAAGAATGTGTGTATATCACTGCCTTGAGTGCAGTCTCGTCGAAAAAGAGGGTTTACCCAAGACCAAGGAAAGACGTCGAGCGAATGTGGAAACGTCCGGGATGAAACTCCAATATTACTCAGATTCGAGCCCACGCATTGCAGATGGGGACAAGACGAGTAAAATCTAGAAAGCCTGAGGAAGAAGAGTGTTAGGGGGGCGAAGAGACAAATAGGAGACGAGGTTTGGAGCTAATAGGAGTTCTCTCCACTTTAATTTAGGTGTAAGCAGTATGGTACTGTACACAGTATGGGGCGAAATAGTTATGGTGAGAATGGCCAGGTTATGTATTATTTTGTATTTTCTATGCTGATTTAGTATTAGCATGACTGGGTTTATGTTTCATCTCGAATCTCATACATTATCTGCAGGGTTAATTAATGAGCTTGTCCTCCGTACATACTCAACTCCCAAAGAAATCACATCTTTTTCTTTGTCTTCCAATTCTCGAGACAATCAAATATTCTGTTATGGACCGAATTGATACATCCAACGCCGTTTACGTTTCAGACTTTTTCTGATGTATCCCGCGTGTCACGTTTTAAACTTTGAGATTCAACTTGAACCTTCCCCTCAATCTGATTCTCTTCCCACGGTTCTCTTCCAGCCCAGCTCATTCTTATCCTTACCCTCGGTAATCTGCAGTGCGACCCTATGCAATCTCATATCACAGTGTTTCGCATGCGGGCAGTTAGGAGTTAATCCAACCTCTTCCACTGGATATCTGATACTGACAAATACCAATCAGTTACAGCATTATGATTTCCTAGAAAGCGAGCTGCAAAGCCTGCAATGCCGATCAAAAGAAAAATCAAGATCGAGAAGACGAGAACCGTTCCATTTCAAAGATCGTGGGTGTGATGGCCCGTCTTGGCTGGCCCAGAAGTGGATCCAGTGAATTTGTGGTTCAGCATGGTCTGTGCTTTATTTACCCCTGAGTCTTCGGTTCGGGAAATCCGGCTGTGGATTTCTTTTGCCTTCAACCATGGGTAACTCAACGTGAGCTCAGGTTTATTTGTCACCTTTCATGTGTTTCCCTCTTCTGTCTCGACTTTATATACACTCCACCCAGTTCGAGGAAGTACAAAGTAAATGTAGTATTCATCGATATGTTATGTATACACCGTACTCGTGTTGGCCCGGATAAACTACTCAGTCTGGCATCTTCGGCGGTGATCTCATTTCCGGAGATGCCCCTCACGCGCGAGTTTTTCCAGGACCCTGCCGCGCTCAATGTCATTTTTGCAAGGAATCGTAACGATAGGACAGCCCCCAATACGATCTGGATCAGTGGATTTCGGGATGCGAACCACTGTACTGCGTACGGAGTACATGGAACCGCATGAACCAATGGATCATTTGCTCCGTGGCTAATGGTTCGAGGCTCTTCGAGCTAAATTGCCGATGCGAACACCCTCCATCAGTCTTTATGTACTCTGTACGGAGTAAAAGTTATGCTTAAACAGACAATGCATCTCAACCTTCTTCCTCGCACTGTTTTATGATGTCCATAAAAGATATGTTATGACCGCGATCATGTGGAGAAGCGCAATCGCCCACGAGTCATCCGTACAATGTCGAACGTGATGGTAAGATTCAACCTTTTGTTTACATTGGTATTTAAAAACAAAAAAAAAATCCAAGCCTCACTTCCTTCCCAGCCTCGAGGCGCAATACCCCATGCGTGGCTCTTCAACATGGAAAGTCCGGTCAAATGGCTAAATGCATGTAAAAATCAGACATTCCTGGATATAAAGACCACAACTGTCAGGCTGAACTTAAATGTTAACTCTACAGGAGATATCCTCCGTATGGATACCGAGTAAGCATTCGCACTTCCAATCCGGAATTCCAGAATTCCTTCGCCTCTAAGCAATGTTGGGAACTTTGGACTGCCGATCAACCACTCGATCCACCAGTGTTTCGCCTCAGGATCCACAGTACAGCTCTCCCCAGTGACGCCCAGGAGTCCAGGACTGATAGGGGTAGTACCCACTACCTAGGCACTTCTATGTAGAGGACAAGCCTTTTACCCTCGCTTCGCTCAGGAGGCTTGAAGGCGAAGTCCGTAGTCAGTAAGCTAATCGCAGGAGGTTGATAGTTAGGACATTTTCATTTGGGCATCGCGAGAGTAGGCTAAACAGAAGGCGGGCATGCAGTTTTACACAGGTCCAATGATAACGCGAGAAGAAAAGGGCAACCCCACATCTAACTAACTTGTACAGCTGACTCCGTTGTATGGAAGCGCTGTACGACCTCTGGAAATAGGACATTTTCTGTTGCATGCGAGGCCTCTACGTGTAGGTCTGTAGGACCGATAGATTTGCCACTCCACACCCACCCTTTTAACCACTGTACCTGGCTCTTATTAAACGTGATAGCGAAACAGAGACGGATTGGAATCTACACGCGACGGAGAGTGAAGGATAGCCGGCCCTCGGTCGTCTCCAATGGCACACGCGGGATCGTGTGCTCCGCTGCTTTATAGTCGCCAGCGATGATACGGGCGGTCATATTCCAATCAATATCATACAGACCCGTGGGGCCGTGATGATGAGACGGGTGCCGTGCTAAGCCCCCCATCGTCGATGGCTACGAATCTCCGACTCAACTTCGGGGTGGCGACGGAATTTCTTGCTTTCTCATCCCTGAATTCGACGACACCGCGCAGATTAGCGTCATCTTGCGGCGGTGCAAAGTATAGGATATGTCGTATCACAGAAGACGCAAGCCGCACGGTGTTATCTTCTAGGGACACTTGGAGGCTGCTCGATTTTGGATCCATGTACTCAGGGGAAGAAGCCGCATGCGAACTGGATGCTGAACCGCCAGATGATTCAGCTTGTATCTTGCTGGAGTCGGTAGACTCTGGTGGCAGGATGCGCTTGGTGCCCGCTCGGGGCCGCTTCGAAGATGCCTTGGATTCATCGCCGTTTCCTCTTGGAGGGTGTTGAGATAAGAAGGTTTGACGGCGCTCTACGCTACCTTTGAATATTGCCAATGCCGCCCAAACTTGGCCAAGAGAGACCCCACATGTGGGATCTCGCACAAGACGGTGCTCGCTCTGGTCCAGGTATCCATCTGGGCCACATAGAAACTTCCCGATCTCAGGGTATGATTGAAGGTCCAAGGATGATGGCAAATGCTCCGACAGGATCGGGAGAACGTAGGGCATGGTATTAGTCCGAATAACACGACAAGCAAACAAGTGATCACGTCGCCAATCACTGGCCCTGCCATCAGGGAGTTCGGAGAATAACTTCCTCTTCTCGGCAAGGAAACGCTTCTTGAAGGTTGATGGATTTACCACAGTGTTGAAGTATGGGTTTTTAGCCATGGTGACACCGTCATGTAGGGTTGTTCCCTATGCAATATGGTCAGTGATTGACAAAATAGGCGATAGGACTGTGTATAGGCAAGGAAAATTCTTGAATATTATGGTAGGCAAATACTGTGAAGTGTAGGGAGAGAGTCCACCTGGCCTTTGGTTAATCAAGGTCGCTGGTAGCCCACTGTCAAGTGTAGCCGTTACGGTTGCCTATTCGGGAAGGAGGCACCTGCAGAGGTGCACGTGACCCTTACTAGTCACGTGCTAGAAGATATCAGGGTGACGAGTCCAGACCCGTCAGTGACGGGTCTGGACTCTGAGTCTTGACTCTTGAGAATCAGATAAGGCGCGACCCCGTGATGAATTTGAGGCGGTCTGGGCAGAAAGAGCATCAAACATCCGAAACAATGCATGCTTTGGCCATCCTACGTCCACACTCCACAACACGTCTACACGGTACACCTCACAATGCAGCCGGGTTTGGAGCCTCAGCCACTTGCGTCTCTTATGCGCTACCATCGAGAGCTATTCGTGGACCCATTATTCTGGACTTCTCGTCATTTGGATCTGGTAGGATGTCGCTTCAAGTGGCTCAAGCAGACGGAGTACACTGGAGACAACACCGTTATGCATCAAGCCCAAAACAAGGACGGCACGCATAAGTCTTCTGACTTCGATCAAGAACCCGTTCGGTTACCCACTTCGGATCCATCGGATGCTCGGCGGCTTGCAAGGGCCTCCGCGCCCACGATGAAGCTTATCTGCCTATACAGCATTCTAGAATATGAGGGAAGCGCTTTTGAAGTGCTTTGGTAAGCGATGCCATTTGCCCACGGGTAACTAGGCTAAAGAACATTACTGACGATATTTGTGAATAGCGAAAGTGGACCCAAATTCTACTTCGCAGGGCAAGGGATTCATCGGCCGAAGTATCCCGTGTTTCGTCGTCGCAAAAAAGACAACCAACCTTCTGACGACGATACTCAAAGTTTGTTAGGCTACTTTGACTACTCAAATCTCTTTTACGGTCGCAAGGAGAGACTTCAACCTATGGGTGGGATCCACAATAACGCACCTGTTGTGCGTATCTTTGAAAAGCGGCTGGCCCAAATAACCCCAGCTAATTGGAAAGAGGACCCGTACTTGGTTTGTATCTTGCTATCCATTGCCCAACTGCAAGAGCGCTCCCTTGCGACTAAAAAGCCAACAACGCACACCGTACGTCTCTCTAGACACGCATATATTCATCCTGTGAAACTCAAAGCCTAACACTTATTATAGTCACGTCTTCTTGTAGCAAAGTGGCCAGAATATGAATTTATCTATCTCTACGAGGCTCAATTTACCTCCGAGCTTCTGGAAGCGATTGAAAACCCGAAGAATGCCACGACCTATATCAAGTGGCCGATCATCACAGTGAAAAAGATCCGTTTCGAGCCCTATGACACCTTCCGTGAGCGTCTTGTGGATGAGCTATTACGTCCCCCAAATCTAGACTGTGAAAGTGCGTCAAATCTCAAAGATGGTACTGACCGTATTGTGACAAGTTCAGCGAAACGGCAGCATGAGGAAGGAGATGAGCCGCGAACAAGGCGACGCAAGGCTGGCATGAACTCTGGGAATCGAGATTAGCATTGTTTCGAAGCTCAACAAGGTAGTCCAATCCGAACAATTGTGACGGAGAATGTGTTTAAAAAGAATCCTCAAAGAGCCGCTACCTACTTATATACTATTACGCTGAATGACTCTAAATCAGGAAATGAGGATATTTATGGATCGTGTCACTGATATTCCTAGCCAGTGTATTCACTAACGCCGGGAATGGATATCATACATCATTCAATGCCTAAGAAAAGATGTAGACCATACCCGCACGGTCGACACTCACAACCATACCAAAAGGCACACGCAAGACCGCCACATCCTGGATGATATCCAAATGGCTCTTCAGCAACATCTGCTGCTGCAAACTAATGACGGTGCTACGGGGTGGTCTCGGAGTGGCTCCTTTCCTGGCATCTCGAGAACTACCAGTGCTAGACGAGCTGGGGAGGTGCTCAGTAGTTACCAAGAGATTCGGTCCCGGCTGAGACTGCTCGTAACGCGGCTTACCACTGGCACTGCCATCCGATACGACATCGAGCCCACTGACTATCGAGGATAGATCAGGGCGAGCGAGATCCCAGAAACGGATCTTCCGGTCACAACCGGCGGAAATGATGTACCCACACCTCGTGCTCGAGTCTTTGTCTTCGTCAGGGGCATTGAGACCGACCGCAAACGCCCAGATGCCGAGTCGATCGCCGGCTGGGTTATTGGAGGATGGGGTACTTGGGTCAACGCCCTTCGTGGCAAACCGGCTCAGCATCCCCTCTGGCCGGTCGCCATCGGCCTGCCACGCCTCGTAGTCACTCGGGGCGACAGGTGTTGGGTAAGCGTGAGGGGCCCGAGAAGGATGATGTGCGCCGTTGGGGGCATTATTGCCGACGCCCAGTGGAGTCGCTCGGTAGACCTCGCGACAGCGGAACTTTTCGATGTCCCATACTGTGATCTCATTACCGTGGCTGCCACTGCTTGATACGCAAACCCATCGCCCACGGGCTTTGACGGGATGTAGTTGGATGCGATTGATAGCGCCCCAGCCTGGAAGACCCCATGCCTTTAACCGCACCCGGAAACGAAGATCCCAGAGGTCGAGGATCCCGTGAGTAGTGCCGACCAGTAGCCAGTGGTGCCTGCGATCGCAACAGAACGTAGTTAGGGTCCCATGATGGACTGGATTTTCCAATATATAAACCGGCAGCATGGTCTTCATGTCCAGTGCAATGATGCGACAAGTGTTAGTCGCAACAATCAGGGTAGACTGGCCTTCGTCACGGAAGTGCTCCATCCAAACAGCGTACTCGGGTGACCCGTCTTTGGCGACGGGGAGCTGATATTCGCGAACCAGTTGGAGCTTGCCGTATCGAATAGCCGTTTGACCGACCTTCTGGTAGTCGACTCGAACGGCATGGATGCTACCATCAGTGGCCGCGCTGATAAAAGTATAAGTATTCTCGACAAATGTCAATGCTTTCACACGCGAGCCTGCTGCATGACGGTGGGTCTGGCGGGATCGAGGGGTCAAGTTTCTTTCGAGACGAGTGGTATCCCAAATCTTCACCGTGTTGTCATCAGAGGCGGTAGCAAAGAAGGAGTGATCTGGTGCTGTCACGACACGGTTGATTGGGCCACTGTGCTCACCAAATGTCGCGACCAAGTTCCCTTCGGGCTTCCAAATTTTACTTGGTTCTTGATCAGTGGCGCTGCGGATCGGTTGACGGGCGTCTACTTCTTTTACAAATGGTCCCAGGTCAAACAGATCTGTCGGGTAGTTCTCCTCGAAGACGTTGTCTAGGAGTCGTAGAACCGCAGGATCGGTGCCCCCATACGAATGGTGACCGCGATACTTTTGTGAGACTGTCTGGCTGGTTCTGTGGTCATCGGAAAGCAACGGGGTGGATGGTCTGGGTGTGCCTCCCCTTTGGACTGGTGCATCAACTTTGCCAAAAGCATTGGCGGAGCTTGTGCCAGTTTCGGCGTAGGCTTTAGCAGACTCTTTGCGGTTCAACAGATTGATCGCGGCAGATCTTTTGTGAACCCGGTCAGATAGACTCCTGGTGTCTGAGTTGGTTGGTGTCAATGACCCATCCTGTCCAGGGCTAGGTCGGCGACTGGAAAGCCTCCGATCATCATCAAGATTCGGAGGGGACAATGGACGAGATCCAGGTCCTGCGACAGGTGATGATGCCATTGGAGATGACGATAAAGGAGATGATTCATTTCCATCCCGTATAGGAAAACCAGATGACCATCTTGTTTCTTTTGAAAGTTGGCTTTTCGTCCGCAAGTGCTTGCGATGGGCACTGGGCGCTCGCTCAATGGTCGTAGAAGCGTCAAGCAAAGCATCTGCGATCGTTCTTGGTCTCAGATCATCGACGTTGCCATCGTGCGAATCCAAGGACGTGAGTCTCGACTGATCCTTGATCTCCTTATCGAAGAACACGGTCTGAGGCTTTACTCCGTGTTGTATCAGACTGACGATTTCGTTTGAGGGCGGCATGGCGCTAGCATCGGGTTCTCTAGATTGGCGCAATGAAACCCGCCAGATATAGTCCTTAAGAGCGAGAAGCTTGAACTCATCCTCGGAGCCCATCCCAAGGTTCATTAGTCGACCGAGCCATTGTTCATCCTCGTCATTTCTAGACTGGGCAGCCATATTGAAAGACGGATTCCGTTGACCGATGCGAGAGCTAAATGACCCAGGCTCAGATAGGCCGAACATGCCATCCCGGCTCGTCGATTTCCAAAATACGCCCTTCTCCGATTTAGAAGCCCAGAGGTGGGCCATTTCGTACACGCTCCGGGACATCGGGCGTTTGAGGGCATCAAGCAGATTGATCTCTGAAAACACAACGATCTTGATCCTAAGAAAAGGGCGGATGATGGGTGTTAGGACAGAATGAATATCCGCCACTGATAGAAACTTGGCGGAATTGACCACGAACTTCACTGCGGCCTGCCGAATCCAAATGTTTGGGTGCGCCAAGAATCCTACAGTCGTATTCAAGAGATCCCAAGTCGTTGATCGTTGGAACAAGCCCAAGTCAGCCATAGCTGCAAGAGATCGAATGACTCTTTCAACAACAAACTCCTCTGGCTCGGTCATAGACTGCACCATCAGCGGCAATATGTAGAGTTCCAGATTCAGACTGCCCACGTAGGCGGCGACACCGATTACGGCCTCGAAGAAGGCACATTTCAGTATCCAGTCCGGATCGTTCAAGTAGGTATTCAAGTGACTAAGAACAACTTCATTTGCTCTGAGATTACCGAAGAAGACACAGAGGCTGGACACGGAGCCCAGAAAAGCCCGCCGAACTGACGTATCCGTGTCTGTTAACAGAGCTTTCGTGTGAACTTCGAAGTACTCAAGAAGATCGACCCGAGCCACGTCATAGAGGTTGTGATAAGTCGCATCCTCAGTCCACCGGGACTCAAATCCAACCGGAATCAATGCTGCCAGACGCGTGTCGGACCGCAACGCTTGGATCATGTCCAAAAATCTCAAGGACGACTGAGCCAAGGACGCAATACACGAGGCATATGCGGCGCGCACCATGGGGCTCGATTTGCTGCTTGAAGAAGCAACAAATGGCTGAAGCCTGGGAAAAATGTACTCGGAAAAAAGATAAGCATTGACTGGAGAAACAACCTGAACCATCTTCAGTAATTGGGTTAAGGTGCGGATAGCGGCAACCTTGACGGCGTCTGTGCGATCGTTTAGAAGAATCATGATGTAGGGAAGAACGCGGTCTAGTTTGGCTTCATCTGACAGCCTCTCTGCAAATGCAAGGAGAATATCGCAGGCCTTAATGCGAGCGGATGCCTTGGCTGTATTTCGGAGGTTGGAAACCACCAGTGTTAGGAAAATCAGAGCACCCTCTTCTGGCTGCGGCTGCGGCTGCGGTGCTAGTATCTGGGTTTCTTCGTGGAGCATATCAAGTCTCACAGGAAGAGTGTTGCCTGTCGACTTGGAGACTGGGATCTTAGTTGGCGCCGCGACCCCGCGGATGCTGGAACCGAGGAAATAAGATACTTTGTCGAAGTCCAGGTAAATTCTCTCGATCCGTTCATCTGCTTCCACTCTATTGGCAGATTCGGCATCCACTCGGGTTCTTCCAGAAGATGGATCAGTCATGAGGGACATGTATTGGTGGAGGAAACTGTAAAAGTATTCCGGAAAGGCCTTGCCCTTCCAAAAGTTGAGATATTCATCCGCAGAGTATCGAGACTCTGGTTCAAGTTGGATCATATGCAGGATCAACTCCCGGATATCTGGATCATCGATTTGTGCTAGTTGGCTGTGTTCTGGACTGTACTCCCCTTTGCGGTATTTATACATTTGGCTTAGGTTGAAGATCGGCGATTCAAGAAAGAGTTCTGCGATCACACAGCCGGCGCTGAAGATGTCCATTGCCCAATTGACGCCGCTTCCGTTCGGTTCTTCCCCCGCAACAGAGAACCGTTCGGGCGCTATGTAACAGGTTCGCCTCCCGGATATGTCAAAGAAGAAGGAGAAATCAGCTGGATTATCCTCAGGCAGGAATGTAGGTTTGAACGACGATGAGAAATCGGAAAGATATAGCCAGTTCCAAGCCGTTACCAGGACGTTCTCGGTTTTAATATCACCATGGTAGATGTCCTGCGAATGGCAATCCCGAAGAGCGCACAACAGCTGGAAGGCAAGCCACTTTTTCTCAATATGCTCTAGAAAAGGTCGTGTACTATACAATTGTCAGGTTACCCTTCCTGGCATCAGTTGTAACAGACATACCTCATTCGATCGTAGAGAGAGCTGTGGATGTACTGGCGTACAAGGTATCCACTCGTGCCAGTCTCAAGAATCCTCTGGTAACTTAAAGCATTCGGTACATCCGCCAACAATTTGCGTTCTCCTTTTCCGAGATTTAGAACTTGTAAATGGGCAAAAATAAGGAATCAAACATACTCGTGATAGCTTTGATATACGGCGCAAGCTCCATAGTTGGGAATGGTTTCATGATGACCTTGGCGAATACCAAGCCAGTTGACTGCCTGGCACGAATGCTCTTCATGAACCTGCCACCTCCCATCGACTTCTCATACACCAGATCGGAGAGTTCGGGCACATCGATCCCCGCGGACCCCGCAGACAGGGTGGTGAGGGAGTAGCCTTGTCCCATGGTGTCGACTGCCCTTCATTTCCTGGAAATTAAATGGCCACTATTCCGCGATCAAGCAAGTTGAGCGGAAATCACCGAGCAGACTTGTGCGATAAAGAGAGTCGACGGCTGGAAGCCGATGAAGTCACTCGGTAGACGCGTCGACACGTGCACAAGGCGGTCAGCCAGATGTGTCGTAGCAAAAATACTGCCTGGCAGAAAACTAACAGGTGCACTTTGGAACACCTGTAATTAGTGCCTGACAACCTATATCTTTGAGCTATAATAAAGAGTTACCTTTACTATTGAAATGTTTAATGGAGAATGTTGGAATATTCGACTTACTGCAGCAGAAGTGAGAGGAAATATACACAGTAAAACATAAGATGATGGCAGTAAAAGGGCGGTGACTAAGGCGGTAGCCGTCATGTGTATGCTGCACAAACATCGCGGTACACAGAGACCTCCATTTCCACATCAGAGGAATAATATACACGTGTGTGGTGAGAACTGAGAAGCAATCAGATGACAACTTGACAAGAGGCTAAGAGCTGGTATTTCTGTCAAAAATTTGTTGGAAAGCCCAGCCAGAGTCACATTGGTCGTGACTTCACCATATCTTCTGGTTCTGGCGGGCCAATAGACCCGCTAACTGTTGGAGCAGAGCTTCTTCCCCACGCACATTGTTTACTTGCAACATCATGGGCTCAGATTCAGATATTGATCATGGCGAGATTCCGATCATTGAAACTAAAGAGCCACTATTCGATGTTCTTCCCAAATTGTTCAAGTAAGCCTATTCCTCTGAGGTGATTAGACAGTATAACTGATGAACTGTTATAGCTTCATTAGCATGGCCGTCGGAGACATGGCTTGCTACACTTTTGACCAGATGCTCAACGGCTCTCAGGGACATCATCTCAGGCAGTTAGTTCATGCCTTGGCAAAAGACAGCCATAACCCTTTCATCATTGTGGCCCTGATGTATGTTCAATATTGAACAGATTTGTCTATGGACTGGCGGGTTAACAAAACCAGGATCTTGAGATGGGAGTTTACGACTGCTACCGAGGACGATTGGGGACTGAATGAGAGCCGTGGTGCAGCCTGCGAATTCGTTGCCTGGCAATTCCTATGCCATCTGAACCAGCGCGAAACAATCGAGTTTCTGTTGGAGGAGCTGCCGGCACCACAGTCCAACTCTTCAGACACCTTTGGTGCAGAAGTAGTCAACTGTGATTTGACATGTTCACAAGATGTCATGGGCAGGGCCAGAGATGTTAATACTCCTCTTCTGCCAAATCCCTCTTCTCCTGTGTTTAGACTTTATGGGAGTACGAGAAACACAGATACTCAACTTTCTGGAATCTCACAGCGCACACACCAGTACGAGGACGCATACGACACCCAGAGATATTCCCAGTTCTTCGGATTGAATGCACTGGAAATTGCAACGATTGCCCACGCCAAAAGGTTTCTGAGCCAACGAGTTGTTCAGCGAGTGGTCGACGGGATCTGGAAAGGTGAAATTGTTTTCTGGGATTCCCTGACAGTTAATTCGACTAAGAAGCCCCATCTCTTCAACACCAGGTGGGTCCCGAGAAGCAATGGTCAAGCGTGGACACTGACAATGTTTCACACACAAGAACAGCAGATCCATATTCACGCCTACGAGTACCTCTCTACCGTAAGATTTTTGAAGCAGCATTCTTCGTGTCTTTCCTCTGTCTGTACTACGCGGTCCTGGTTGAAAGGAAGGGAGAGGCCATCGGAATATTTGAGGCTGTGATGTACGTGTGGATCGTTGCCTTCGCGTACGACGAATTGAGTGGCATCATCGATGCGGGAGTCGTGTTTTATCAAATGGACTTCTGGAGCCTCTGGAATCTCAGCATCATTGGGGTTGGAATGGCATTTGTCATTACAAGTGAGTCACCTAAATCACTCAATTCTGCCTTGCGTATCATCTCCTGGGGCATTTTTTGGTTGATAGGCGACTGACGGGGACGCCACAGGGGTTATTGGGCTCGTGAAGGGCGAGAAATCCATCACTGAGCTCTCATTCGACATTTTATCTCTGGAGGCTCTGTTCCTCGTGCCGAGGTATAATCTCTCATGAAGTGTTCCTTCGGGCGACAAGGCTGACATGGGATGAACAGAATCTTCTCCCTTGTGAGCTTGAATTCATACTTCGGCAGTCTAGTATGTGGATCCTGCATGGAACTCCATCAATTCCTGCAAGAACAAATTTACTAACTGTGGCTGTGAGTAGATACCAGTATTGAAAGAGATGGTATGCTCATTCCCTATGTTCCATGGACCCAGGCAGATTTGGAGGCCCAAGGCTGATTGACGATGTGTTTCAGACAAAAGCATTCTTCAGATTTTTGCCGGTAGTGGTAGTATTGTATATTGGTAAGTGTGGCTCAGCAATGCAAGCAATTCAGCCCTAGGGGAAGCAAGTCTGACCATGCATAGGTTTCTTGACCACTTTTACCATGCTTGCCCGTGACCGCTTGTCACTCAGTACAATGTCACACTTACTAGTGAAGGTTTTCTTTGGGTATGGCGGTGAAATAATCCCTGTTGTGACCGCTCTTCTTTGGTTTACTGACACACGGGCAGATCGAGTGTTCTCGGATTAGTGAGTGACTTCATGTCAAGGTATCAAGAAGAGAAATTGTGCACTGACTGTGGCGGAATTGATTGGATGACAGGACACCGCGTCTGAAGTAAGTCTGCGCACCAGCCCTGGAGGCGGCTGTTCTGCAGCTTCAATAAAAATGGTTGGCTGTCGCGTTTAGTTGACCGATACGCTAATTTTAGATCTCACCCATCTTCGGCTATGGCTTGATGTGAGTTTTCCTTTGTTTTATTGCGCCACATCGAACGTTGAACAGGTCGCATACCCTACCGATCACGTTCTAATATGCAATCGCATTGATCGCATGTTTGGTTTGGCGCCGTTAGCAGGGGCACTGCTCCAATTTCCACGCAGTCTCTTCGATGTATACCACGTAACCACAGATACTGACGATGACACGATGGATGACAGGCTTACCTTTGCCCTGATAACCAATACACTCATTCTGTCCTCTTTGATTAGTTTGATGAGTATGAGTCTCGAGGGGGTCAGTACCTATGGTGCCTATCATGGAGTGTATGGCCCATTGATCCCATTGTTCATGACAGGTGATGCGCCATGCTCGAGAAGAATACCTTTTCCAGTAAGTCTACACACAATCCCTGATAATTTGGAATTCCGCATCGCCCGTGGAAAGTTCTATTTCGCTGATAAGCCAATTAGATTGGCCATATATGTCCTCGAAAGCAGTAATTCTCGGCGACTGACATACTTCATGCCACCCCTGGTCAGTGGGCGTTTGATCCTTGAAAAAAAAATCTTTCTTTGTGTGTTCTGGAATGTTTCCAAGCTAACACCTAACAGAATCTTATTCCCCTCCTTTGTATCCGCCCCATGCGACTTTTTCTCTGTGCCGGAACAGTTCGCCGCGTACGAATTATCTTGCTTCGAGCTACTCACCTGCCATTTGTGGCATTGATATGGGCATATGAGTCTAAATGGCGGCAATCAAAACGACAGAACAGCCAACTACCCCCAATATCGGCACACGGACAATGGACTTCTGCGAACGAGCTGACGGAGACAAGGTGCCGGGACCCACACCACCCCTCCGTAGTTGAAACAAATCGTCTGGGCCTTGGAATCGAACGCACCAATGTTAGTGTGGATCACCAAGCCGCGCCTGAGCCAGACATGGGGCAAGCCGGGCAAGTGCTGCAGCTCGTGGACCTGATCGACACGGTCGAGCGACTACGAGCTCAAGTGGAGGCAATTGCCGCACGGCAAAAGTGATTATTCCAAGGCTTTTTTTAGGGGGGGGGGAGCACGATACCATATTGTCCACACTGTACTCCGTACTTTGGCACTGATCCTGTGATCCTCTGATCTGTGGAGCTCACAGAAAAAGCGCGGCAGAGGGGTCACTGCCCTGGCGCTTAGGGCCACGCACGCCCCTGCACAGCCGGACTGGCGCTAGTCGGCGTCGGTGCTAGATTTAGGGGTAGAGCCACCCTACTCGAAAACACACCGTTCGAGATACTTTGTGAACAACCATATCGATGATAGTCCAATCGAGACAGGCTTGGTTTTCTTCGGGTTCGCTTTTTTCCTTTTTTTTTTTTTTTTTCTTTTTCTTTTTTTCCTGGTTCTTTGCGCCCTCCCTCCCCTTATCCCTGTCGTTTCAACCTGAGTTCGCCTTTCCAATCATGTTCATGTCCTTTTCTCCCTTCACGAGTTAAGCTGAGTAGATAATTCATGACCGAGATGACTTCAGATATCTCATAGCTACAGATGATCCGGGGCACTCAATACCTGTGGAGTCAATGTGGAGTTGAATTTATGGTATACATGAAGCCGAAGGGGATCGAGCGGTTCGGAAGGGCTGGCCCGCATACCGCTGAGGTCACGATGATAATCCATTATGCCCTTTCGGGTATAACATGATGATCAACTTCATCAGCATCTATCTGCGTTCTAGGACTCGTCTGTCAAAGACCCCAGAACCTGTGGGCTGTGCTCAGTGAACAGGCCCTCGACACACCAATGCATCTCGCCAAGCTAAGATCCAGAGACTCGGGATCTGCTGATGTTTCTGTATGGCTACTCCCTGCATGGGACACGTCGCGGTTGGGAAGACCAGCCCAACGGTGATCAAGGGGATGGTTAGCCTCTTTTCAAACAAACCCGCCGTTATGCGTTTACATCATATGGATTCATACCTCATTGTATGTCCTTCGATTCTTTACGAAGTATTGTGATATCTCTAGAAGGATACCGGACTGGCTTGTAAAATACAGAATTCCCAGGAGATACATGTAGTGGTATCTATGACGGCCGTTTTTGAGGGCATCTTGCTCTTTTTCCTCCCCGGGGCTAACTCCCAGGATGTGCAGAGCTGGACTTTCATCGATCTTGTCCGAATTACCCCCGGCCCTTAATGCCCCCCACCCTGTTTTATCTTTCCACCGCATTCACACACACCCCCTCCTCTTCTCAAATCTGCCTTGTCTCTTACGGCGTCAGGTCTTCGAGTCTTCAGTTTGTCGGTGTCGATGCGGCGCAAGTTCTTCTCCAATGAATTCATACCCAATCCACGACCCTCCTCTCAGCCACCGTCCATGTATGCCCTGTCATTAACCAACGGCGAAGCTGTTGACCTAGAAAAGCCCTTACTATATATACTTCGATTGATCACATCACCGGTCTTTCTTCACTTCGATATAGACTAGCCTTTGGTTGGTTTCGCTTTGGTTATACTTCTTTATCACTCTCGTTATTGGGGGCTTTCCACATCAACGACATGGACCAGACCCAGGATCTAGCTCATCACATCTCAAACATACCCTCACGCTCAGAGGGTACACGGTCTCGCGAAACATCCGCCTACTCGTCTCCCGTCTCAATTTCGGGATCTCAGGGGGGATCTCTCCCATTGGTCTAGGGATTGCTCTTGACAATACCTTTGGCCAACTGAGAGCGTTCCCTCCCGCCACTACATTACCATCACAATTGATTCCCGAAACGCCGACTCCCGCTTTCGCATTACCCTATGGCGACTACTCCAGCGGACCGTGCTACCAACCGGTTTACAACGGACTGCACACCAGTCCCTCGGACACTCCACTGGGGTTCTACAGCCCAACACCTATGAGCACCTCGCCGAGTTACAACTCCACCATGGGGGTTGGGCCTGATCAACATGCTTTTCAGGGTCAGATGACTGACATTTGGATGCACACGCCTTGCTCGGGTCCGACCACGCCATCGGATGCCCTCTCAGTCACGAGAGCCGGCACAGTAGGGCAATGGGGTCACAGCGTCTTTCCAAACGACTGTATTCCCAGCTCAATGGCTACATTGTCTGTCAACGATCCCATCTACTTTGAGACTATGGAATCACAGATTGGGTACAACGGACCTTCCGGGCAGATCAGCAATACCGGGCAATTTGTGGCTCCACCCCAACAAGCTACCGGTGAAGGCATGGCTACCGGTGAAGGCATCCCTGAGGACATCACAATGATGATCAAGAGGGAAGTGTCTCCCGACAAGTGGGTATCTGCTAGTGGCTTGAAATGCCCCAAGTGCGGCGCCATGTTTACTAGACGCTCCAACTGCAAGGAGCATCAAAAGATGCACAACCCACAATGGAAGCACAACCATCCGTGCGATGACTGCCCCAAGACATTTGGGAGAAGCTCTGACCTCAAAAGGCATATGAAAACTGTGAGTAGTCCGTCGAATAATCGATGACTGCAGCGACTAACAAAGTCTGTAGGTCCATCTCGGCCATCGAAAGTACAGCTGTGACAGTTGCGATGCTCGTTTCAGTCGCCAGGATAGCCTCGCCAGGTAAGAACATACCTAACGGAGCAAAATTCTCTTCGAGTATGTGCTAATGTGATTGAGTAATGCAGACATATGTGTGCAGACAAGACACGAAACGGGAAATCCACTGGCCGCGACGGGCCTTCTTCACTTGGGCGAGAGCCGCGCCAACGATCGTCAAACCACAGCTTGAGTGCCGGACAATAAAATGAGGACTGGCTGGATTTCTACATTGATATATGCATTGGGGAAGACATTGGCCGTGATCTTAGATCACGGCCTGAGTTTCATGGCTTGGCCATAATTGGCCACGGATTTACTGGCCAATGCAGTCGGATCTCTGATATTTTGCTTTGCTTTTGGACTTCAGCATGAGAGACATTTTTTGGGGGGATCATCTCATAGCATGGAGCTTCGTTTTGGTGTTGTTGGATTGTTTTGCGATGCATTTTGGTTGGTATTTTGAGTCATTGCAGGTGGTCTCTATTGTTTCCATGTTTTATTACGCTATCGCATTGTTTCCCTTGTTTAACTGTACCTGGACATGTATTGTCTCATATCGAATGTGATATCATTTGCATACAATCTGGCGCGCGGGTACAGGAATATCCTCGACATGACCTGCTGGCTCATGAAGATCGACATTGCTTCCGCGGAGAACCCCGAGGATTCACTGAGAACCTATCTTGAATCTTCACATCATTGAACGTACAGGTATCCCTGACGGGTTTCTTGATATGCTCGGTCGAGACCTCGACAAGAGTGGAAATTGCAGTCCTTACAAGTCCACTTGGAACCTAAATCTCCAAACGAAATTCCAACTTCCGAGGCCCGTTGGATCTCGACTCTTGCCGCGCTCCACCCAGGAACGCCGAATCACACGCTAAAATCAAGCGAAGGATCTTCGACACTCGACGATCCTTGAAAGCGAACTGATTCGAAATAACTCTAACCCCTTAGTGCTCTCTCACGGAGATTGAGCCGGCTCTCTTTGCAGAGAAATCGTTAGCCGCTCGCGCATACCCGGCATGTCTCACTTCCCCAAGCCCTGACCTCTTGCAATTTATTAATCCTTGTTCTATCACACACACTATGTCCGCGATATCTAATCTGGGACAATCCGTCTGCATTTGATCAACCCCAAGTACTCAGTCAGCTATTATGGTCGAAAGCTCCTAAAGACCCCAAAGACCCCAAAGACCCCCCGCTATCCCCACTGCCCGAGCTTCAAGCTAGTCGGTTTAAGTGGAGAACAAGACCGAACAGCCATTTGGAATTGTGCCTTCGATGCAGCCGCGAGACATCGCGTCTGTTCGCCTATCACTCATCGGGTCCATGATCACCACCAACGACATCGCTGCCTGACATACATTACCGGAAGAGATTTCAGGAACCCCAAATGGCCTACTCCGTACTTTTTCCTTGCCTCTGATTGAGAATTCCGAAATTCCGACAAGTGGGCCCGAGAGGGAAAAGAAAAGAAATCCGGTGTCCATTTTCCGCTAACGCCATAGGCTCTCTATCCGAAATGCCGGAGTTAAGGCGGTTACCATTAGCTCCGTACACTATCTGCCACCATCTCCCTGCCTACACGGAGTACTCCGTAGCGAAGCTGCAAACTGACTGGAGTGAAGACAGGTCTCTCGCCACGGTCCCCTATAGCTTCCCAGTTGCAGATCACTGAGATAATTTACATGGAGCTATGGCCTCAATCTACCCAAAAAGAAGAAGAAAGTGAAACCTCTTAGCCAACTTGAGAGATGTTGCCTACATCATACGATGTATTACCAGACCATCAATGCCGATCTCCATAACGGTAACAGCAACAAAGGACTCGTTCCGCTCTCCACCACATTGTCTTGCGGACCTCAATTTCCACAGGGCTATCACAATCCCGCAAAATGTCGCTCTTACTTCATCAGGTCCAAGCGTGGCTAGCTCTGCATTACTATTACGAGCGCCACTAGGTTCTCCTAGTGTTAACGGCTTTATAATCGGCACACACGGGTGCTGCCTGGCTAACGTATCGGCTATGCGTACTCCGTATCCTGGTTTCTATATCTACCCCTGAATCTAGCTCTAGATCCTAGCCACCGTGCATCCGTGCTCTTGGCTCGACATTATAATTGAGGATCTATGCTAGCATCGGGGCGATCTGCAAGCTGGGACCGCCATGATGACCGACCAAACCGGTAAATGTCATCTTAGTCTACGGAGTAACTAGGGATCAAAAGTACGATGTGGTACCCTGCGTATATCCATGGAGCTGTGGGCCCCTAAGCATATGTACGATGAACGATGTAACAAAGATCCCGGGCGAATCTGATATCTGATTGGAGGATCTTACGTGGATTTTACATGGGTCTAGGTCTCGACCACCCGCAACACACAAACTGCTACTCTTGCCACTCATCACACTCGATGGTTTCTTCTTTATATGACTGCAGACTAGACAATTCACTAAAAAGTACAGTGTTTTCAGACGCATGCACACTTTGTTTGCTGCACAAGGCTGCCAACCTTAAGCGTTGCGATCAATGGACCCACCCTTTTAAGCTTATGTCTGCCCGGGAAGAGGACCATGGAATCCTGAAGTCTATTCGATATCCCAGGGCAAACGAATCAGAGACGTCCTCGACCTCAATATAGCAAGTTCTCGGCTATTTGGGGAATTAGGATCTTAGCTGGATATTGACCGAGGACCTTGTATGAATCAAATTTCATTCATTCCCGGGGATAACTATTCATTTTCATTGGGGGAAGACAGCTCATGACTACCTCGCTGCTGTTGCACACAGTGAGATTGTCTGCTTCGAGAGCTCGCTTTGAACGAATCAAAGATTGATCTCCTCACCTTGGGAGGGGTTTCTCCTGAGGACTATGAAGAAGCTGTGCGCAACTTTGAGGATTACAGGCTCACGCTGGAATCATTGCGAGGCCAACTAGAAAGGCCGTTCTGAGGCTCATTTGCGAGGTTATTCTTCAAGTGCAAATGGATTCTTGTTGGGTCTTCAAATACTAACATTAGGCTCTCAAGGCGCATTATTGGCGTTAGAAGCTTCGATTATACCTCCTCTCGATCTATGAAGCTCGAGCTTCAAACCTAACATAGCTTCCTATGCCACCAATTGAATTCTAACAAAAAAATCAGTGTATATCTCCCCATAATCACGCAGTGACTCCCACATCCATTGAGCTCTTGAGAGTATCAGGCGGTCCTGCGAAAAGCAGCCTAAGCCTCTCAGTCAGAGCCGCTTTCTCTCTGATCCAGGTCTCGGTGTGGGCCTCGACCAGAGACAAGCCCTGCTCAGACCTCCCGGAATTGACCCAATTCATCAAATCTGTGACATAAGCTCGTTCTGAATCTTGAAGTGAGTGGAAGGTCCGTCCGTGGCCCTTCTCTCTAACCCGATTCTCATATTCCGCCCGCATATCCTCGGGGGCAGGAAGTTGTGCAATCCCAGAGAGGAAAGCTGCCACTGCGATAGCTTGGAACTCAAAGAGTGAGAATGTCGCGACGTAAAATGGAATTCCGACAAAAGCGAGTGTGGGGTCCGGGATGTAGAAGATGTCTTTATGCAAGTTGTGGACTTGAGTGCCATCTGTCACAAGTACGCTGTCATTTGCCTCGGCGGCAGATAAATTGTAGTTGTTATACTCGTCAAGAAAAGGCAGTGCCATCTGGTATCCTGTGCAAAGAATGATGTAGTCAATGTCCTGCAAGATCTCCCCGGATTTGAGATGCGCAGTCAGGGGCAGGTGCTCGTCATTTGCAGAGATCGCTGGTGTGGAAAGTTCGAACGCGTTGACTTCGCCGATTCTCGTTGCGTTTGAGGGAAGCGCGGTCGCAGGGAGATCAAAAACACCATTTCGAGTGCTTTGGTAAACTTGCTTGGCAGTGCTACTGATTTCCTTTGCTATGTCGAGAGACGAGACGCCTCCTCCGAGCAACAGTACATTCTGGAATCCGTCAGTCGAACGCCCACCAATTCCAGAGAACGATGGTTCTTACCTTTCCTTCGAAGTCTTCTGACCTTCTGAAGGACTTTGAATGGAAAACCTTCTCAGGCCATCGGGACTTGGCTTCCGGGAGACCTCGGATATCGGGTACGAGAGGTGTATGGTAATGGCCCGAGGCAACAACAACCGAGTCAAACGTCTAAAAGCAGTAAGGAAACCCGATCCGCAGAGAGGGGCTTTTGGAAGTTGATGCCTACCGCAGACTCCTGGCTTTCAACGATTCCTTGATCATCGCTCAAAGTGGTCCAGTGAACTGTCCATTTTGATCCGCCCTTGTGAACTCGAGTGACTCTTGCGCTATACTTCGTAACATCTTCAACACCGGCCTTCTTCGATGTGTCTTGAATATATTCCTTGATCACATGGTGTTTCACATAAAGCGCAGTCCCCTCTGGCCACTCGTTGAGCCTTGTCTGTAGCAACGGAGTTGAGACATTATTGGTGAGACTCTCGTAGCAGGGCCTGAAAATACTGAGCATAGCCACTCCATATAAGAGCAGGAGATATAGCTTACCCTGGAGGCGCGTGAAGCAAGATCTTGCGTTCTCTCTCATCCCTCGCATCTTCCACATATTCCTGCGAAGCAGACGGTTTTGGTGAAGGGTATCGCGCCTCAATTGGAGTCCGCTTATCATAAAGCCTGCTAGGTTTTAGCTTACATCCCAGTATGGTATTTCCAATGCAGTTCACGTCCTTACCAGACTCCGCCAGCCGCTTTATTTCTCTCAAAGACCGTCACTTGGACTCCAGCAGCCAGAAGATGTCCTGCAGTAACCACCCCACTGACACCAGCTCCAATAACAGCGACTTGAACAGGTTCACTCATGATGTCGGTCTCTCGCGGAGGTAAGAAGAAATCGAGAAAATGGCTTGCCTCGGCCTTTTGAATGAACCAGAACTACAATTACCCCCGCACTTATGGCCCATCTGAGGCACTCCATGGCAAGATTTCGGAGTTGCCTATCCGCATTCGGCCCACCAGAAGTGGCTTGTTGGAGAAACACCAGAAGTGGCTTATCGGGGAAACGGCATTGGAGCGCATTTGACGCTGATAAATGCAATGCGATCGTGATTCCAGTGGTGAGTTGCGAGATCGGAGGTTGTCCCCTCGCAGTGACAAGGTTAGAACGATATGATCCTTGTAGATGAGGCGATTAACATCGAATCAACAATTCTCCGAACCAAAGGAGGGGCTAACACGAGGACAGTGACCGTGGACAGGGTCGAAAATGACTGGGAAGTTTGGCCTGTAGAAGGCGTGATGGGTCACGGCGATGAGGTGCTGAAACACGAACATACATCATTTGGGTCGAGGAGGGGGACTCGCATTTCAAAAGTACAAGATGTGGTTGTATAGACAAGGATAAATATCGACTCTAAGCCTGAGAGAAATAACAAAATTGAAAAAGCTCTCGTATTATCACTATGGCTCCCGCTCCAATTGACCCACGCATCGTCGACGTCGCTGTGCCCAAGAAGGACACTCTTGGTCTTCCCGATCCTGCACGAGAACGCTTGGAGAAAGCTGGGATCGATCTCAGCGACGGCTACCCGTACCGTCCGTCTCGTCCTCTCTATATCGACGACGTGTACAACGTGCGGGACTATGATCGCCCCCACATAGATCCCGGCAGCCGGGCCGACCCCGAGAAGAAAGCGCTTCTATCTGCAGCCAAGGAAGTGATTCCATTGACCAGGCACATTGGAACTGAGATCGTCGGTCTGCAGCTGAAAGATCTGACAGACCAACAGAAGGATGAGCTGGGTTTGCTAATAGCCGAACGAAGCGTTGTCTTTTTCCGAGATCAGGACATCACCCCTCAGCAACAGAAGAAACTAGGAGAGTGGTACGGAGAGATCGAGATCCATGTATGATTTGTCCAATCCAGCGGATGCATTTACTACCCGCTAACCGTGCTCTCCTCTGCTAGCCTCAAGTGCCCCATGTGCCTGGCGTCCCCGGTGTGAGCGTGATGTGGCCAGCGTTACAAGCAGCAGAGACACCAGCAAGCTTCCGTCGGCCGGGAGGGGCATCCCGCTGGCATAGCGATCTCGTGCACGAAAGACAGCCCGCCGGAGTAACCCATCTCCACAATGACACTGTGCCGACAGTCGGTGGTGATACGCTCTGGGCGAGTGGATATGCAGCATACGAGAAGCTGTCGCCATTGTTCCGCAAGCTGATCGATGGAAGAACCGCCATTTACCGCTCAGCTCACCCATATCTCGACCGTAAGAACCCAGAAGCAGGGCCTAAGTATGTGGAACGCGAGCACCCCATTGTCCGTGTGCACCCAGCTACAGGCTGGAAGGCACTGTGGGTAAACCGTGCGATGACGGACCGAATCGTTGGGCTGGACAGAGCTGAAAGCGACGTGATTCTGGGATACCTATACGACGTTTATGAGAAGAACCCTGATATTCAAGTTCGGTTTAAGTGGAGTCCCCGCACGAGTGCTTTGTGGGATAACCGGTGGGTCAAATGTTAATGCCTGAAAAACATTCTTACTGTTGATATTAACTGTGTCCTGACAGCATCACTATCCATAATGCAAGCTGGGATTATGAAGGATCCCAGCCTAGACACGGAACACGAGTAACATCGCTAGCTGAGAAGCCATTGTTTGATCCTAAGGCGCCAACTCGACGAGAAGGGTTGGGACTCTTGGGGCCGGAGGAAATCGCAGAACTGGGGAATTTGGCTAGTCTCCTTGAAGTGAAGTGATCAAGGCAGAGCAAGATCAAACTGTCCAGAGCCCGGCACGAATAGTTGTTAAATCGGGGTGGTTCAGCTTTCCATAGGTAGCAGCATATCGATACGTCCAGTTTTGAATGTGATTTTCATTTGTAATGCAATTGCGCATCACAACGCCCTTCTCTTCAATGGAATTGAGGCGCATGTTGTTGTAGTACTGTGTACTCCGTAATCCTCGACTCCTCGATAGGGGTAGGGGCGGGGCGGGTCTGAAAATCCGCCGGGGGGCAAAACTGCCGATCTTTGCCGCCTCGGTCACACCAACACACTCACTTTCGTCTTCTTTGTTGGGATTCCTTTCTTTCAACTTCACTCTTCTGCAAAAATGAGCGCTACCGTTACCATGACCAGTCCTCCTGAGATCACGGCTGACAATGTCGCCGTACTCTTTCCCGAGGTCGATACATCACTGGCCCGTGAAATCCTCCCCACCAGCACATCGAATGTTACCCGCGGGAGCGAGCTCGAGGGCTATGATGAGGAGCAGGTCCGTCTGATGGACGAGGTGTGCATTGTTCTCGATAACAATGATCGGCCTATTGGAAGTGCCAGCAAGAAAATCTGTACGTTCTGTTCTACACCCCTGAATTACCCCCCAGAAACACCAAATGGCGGGGCAGTGTACAATTTTGAGATAAGGGACTGACAGTCGCATTTGGACAGGCCATTTGATGACCAACATTGACAAGGGACTTCTTCATCGCGCCTTCTCGGTTTTCCTGTTCGACTCCAATAAACGCCTCCTGCTGCAACAGCGCGCCACCGAGAAAATCACATTCCCCGACATGTGGACCAATACCTGCTGCTCACACCCCCTTGGAATTCCAGGCGAGACAGGCTCCGAGCTGGATGCTGCCATCATGGGCGTGAAGCGTGCTGCGCAGCGCAAGCTGGACCATGAATTGGGCATTAAGGCAGAGCAGGTGCCCCTGGACAAGTTCGAGTTCTTCACCCGAATTCACTACAAGGCCCCCAGTGATGGAAAGTGGGGTGAACACGAGGGTAAGTTGATTACGTGCAATGCATAGGCAATCTGGATCATGGAATCACTGACATCTTTCTAGTGGACTACATTCTCTTTATTCAGGCCGATGTCGATCTCAAGCCCAGCCCGAACGAGGTCCGGGACACCGCCTACGTCTCCGCCGATGAGCTTAAGGCAATGTTCGAGAAACCTGGCTTGACATTCACTCCCTGGTTCAAACTCATCTGCAATTCGATGCTGTTCGAGTGGTGGAGCCACCTTGGTACACCCGCCCTGGACAAGTATAAGAACGAGCAGGAGATCCGTCGGATGTAAAGGGTCTCAGCATACATCATCGCATTCGGTCACATTTCGGTTATCTGCTATTTCTTTTGTCTTCTTTGCATCCCCTAGGGCAAGCGCCCTTCTTTACGCGACTCATGGAATTATACCTCTGCACCCTGAACGATTATTAGCATATCACCTGGTTTTAATCTTGCCTTTTCGGTGTACTTTCGGGATACAGGACATAGCATCTTCAATGCTTGATTCTGAAAATATTGGAACTTATTTTTGGTAGTACCTATTATCGTGGTATTTGCAGTGAGGCCTGATCAAGGCATAGGTGCGTGAATGCGATGGATGTAATAAGTAGCCGAAACGCCCCAGGGATGCCAACGCCAGCGCTAAAAACATTGAACCACAAACGCCAGGCTGATATGACGATTACTGCGTCGGATCCGTCGACAGAAACAATATGCAACTGCCCAAAATCACTATCCCAACAATCGTAAAGACAACCTGCGTCTTCCAACCACTCTGCACCAACGCCGCCTTGCGCGCATACTTCTTGACCGTGCGCGAGTAATTTGCAAACCCGTTGACCAGACAGGTCAGGCTTAGGACCCAGAAAATGATCCCTAGCGGCAGAGACATGCGTCTCTCTAGGTGGGTTGGTTGATCACGGAAGTGGAACGAAATAATGATAGCTAGCGACACCACCGCTAGGTACATGGACAGCCGGAGCCATGAGAGAAAAGTGCGCTCGTTAGCACAGTGATCGCGGGCGTCAGATGTGCTATTTTCGAATAGGAGAGCGCCGAAGTAAGGACGCGAGAAGAAGATGTGGCGTTGGGACTCGACGTGTCTTTTTGTTCCGAATGTGTTAACTAGACTCTCCTGTCGGACAAGGCATGCGGGCGGGGGGATATGATGAAATCATGGGGTACGCCAGCACTGAACATGAGGTTCGGCAGCATGCAAGGGATCAAGCCACTGGGCAGCGTGCTGCACTCCCTCCCAGCCATTTCGGTAGAGCCGAGCGATTTTTACTTACTCTTCCACGAGGACCGGCTTGGAATGTACCGGGTTGATCAAGGGGTTGTAGCGGGGTCGAACAACTCCGACTTCTGTCACCGTGTGGGACATGGTGGGAGGACTGACACTCGGAGATCATTCATCTCCAACATGGAACCTGGAGAAAACCTGGGGACGGCCCCGGCGGCTGGCTAAGACCGGTCGGCGATCGGTCATGTGATGCTCGATACTGTTTTGACTGTTTTCGGAGTGATGTCACTGTTGTTCTGCTCTTGTCTCATTTCAAATAATTTGTTAGTATCAAGTTTTACCTATTGTGTGTACGCTTGATGGTGGACAGTCTAAGTTTCACGGGCTGAACCTATTGAAGTATTGAAGTTCTGATATGAGCATTGATGCCATCGACGGGTGTTGTATATATTCGACACACTTGCCGACCTTGGTCGCATAGGTGCCGAGTATATCAGTTCCGTCGCACAACCATATTTGGGTATAGATTTTGGCAGGATCAACATAGAAAAAGAAAAACAAGATCAAAGCAAAACATCGGAACGGTTAATTTATAGTAATTTAGATGGTTGGAATTGGAAATCGGTAGACAGTACAAATAGAAAAAGCAAAAAAGAAATTGCTCACACTCGGAATCGAACCGAGGATCTCATCATTACTAGTGATGCGCTTTACCGCTAAGCCATGCGAGCTGTTGATGTAATGACTATGGAATTAAAGTTACATGAGCCTAAAACATTTAAAGATCCCAGTCCCCAATCCCCATCAGCTTCAGAGGGAACGGCGGAACGCTCAAGCTTCCTAGTGGGTCTTGAGGTCCGTGTGGTGAACTTACCACGGTGAGAGACTGTACTCTGTAATAGCAGACATTAGCAAGAAGAACACCATCAAGTGAACCGAACTTGAGTCATATCCCTTGCTGTTGCATGAGTGTTACCTGCGTCCATCCGTCCTGGGACTCGATTTCTGTAAGTTACGCAGTACACGAACTGACGGACATATGTCCGAGGGTGGATCTGCGGTATTATTGGTTAAACTAATACCTACATCTCCGCATCCAGCTTTTTCTTTCCAAGCTTCTCATTGAGTCATTCCCCTCAACTATCTCCAACTCTTTATTAGGCTCGGCTCAAGGTGTTTCTATCTTACCGTAGACGATGTGGTGGCTGTAAAGCTTGAAGCTTCCATACCTCCATCCCCACATCTTATCATGGGCCCCCGAAACATCCGCACGGTGGATTCCGCCGAGCATCAAAGCTCATTGAGCAGATCCTTTGCATCCAGCTCACCCATTGCTGCCTCAGCAATCGCACGGGATCTGGCAGAATACAGCGACGAGGAAGGAACCCCCACATCTGAAGCTTCCGATACCTCAACAGCCCGACCGGCAGCTAGTTATACCAGCACCAACCCTCGCTCTTTAGCCGGCTCGTATCGTCGGCCCGGGTATTTTACCTCTGTCAGTCATGCAACTGTAATTCCCTGGACCGGGGAACAGCAGGCTCTCTCACAAAGCGAGCGCGACCAAGCAATTGAGGAGGAACGGCATCTGTTGAGTGATAACCATGTTATCCCACCGGAACATGCGCATGGGAAATCACACGGGCTACAGCGCAAGATGAGTGGCTTGCTATCCGCTGCTATCCGTCAAGGACAGTCGTCTCGACGGCCAAGCGCCTCTTCCTGGCGACCCAGAAGCAGGGAATCCGACACGGATACGGCAAGCGAAACGACTGCTCTGCTTGTAGAGAGACGCGCCGATACTGAGGCCGCTGCAATGGACCACGAGGAAATTGACCGTAAATGGGACGAAGCCGTCGCAGCGGGCCTCATCCACACGACATGGCAGCGCGAAGCAAAGGTCATCGGAAGATACTCTTTGCCGCTCATGGTCACTTTCTTGCTGCAGTATTCCTTGACCGTGGCTAGTATCTTCACCATTGGCCACTTGGGCAAGGAAGAGCTTGGAGCTGTCAGTCTCGCGAGTATGACTGTGACCATTACTGGAAATGCCGTGTACTCGGGTCTGTCGACTAGTTTGGATACACTCTGTGCCCAGGCCTATGGTTCTGGAAAGAGGAAGTTGGTAGGCCTGCAGATGCTGCGCATGGTATATTTTCTTTGGGTGATTACCATCCCAATCATGGTGCTCTGGTACTTCTCGGAGTATATCCTTGCCAAGATCGTACCAGAGAAAGAGGTCGCTGAGATGGCGGGTTTGTATCTGAGAGTCGCTCTCTTGGGAACCCCAGCATTCGCCTGCTTCGAGAGTGGCAAGCGATATCTGCAGGCCCAAGGTGTATTTTCAGCCTCCCTGTACGTGTTGATTTTCTGCGCACCACTGAATGCCTTTTTGAACTGGTTCTTAGTCTGGGTAAGTACTTTCCGGCTTTTCGCAACCTTTCCGTCGAGAACAATATTGACTGTACATCAGAAACTTCAATGGGGGTTTATTGGAGCTCCGATTGCCGTCGTAATCACAGAAAACCTCCTCCCAGTCGGTCTTTTCATCTATGTTTATTTCTTCGTGGGATCCGAGTGTTGGTGCGGGTTCACCAGACGAGCATTCCAGAACTGGGGCCCCATGATCCGTCTCGCTCTCCCCGGGCTGATCATGGTCGAAGCAGAATGCCTAGCCTTCGAGGTTCTGACGCTGGCATCGAGCTACCTCGGCACATCCGAACTCGCAGCACAGTCCATTCTCGCTACCATCTCCAGTATCACATGGCAGATTCCCTTCCCCTTGTCTATTGCGGGTAGCACACGAGTAGCGAATTTGATCGGGGCTACCTTGGTGGATGCCGCCAAGACCTCTGCGAAAGTGAGCTTCTGTGGAGCAGTACTAGTCGGCGCGTTCAACATGATTCTTCTCTCGACCTTGCGGTCGTATATCCCCAGACTATTCAGTTCTGACCCCGAAGTCGTCGAAATCGTGGCACAAGTTCTCCCGCTCTGCGCGGCCTTCCAACTTTTCGATGCTCTCGCGGCAAACTGCAATGGTATTCTCCGTGGTCTGGGTCGCCAGGAGGTGGGCGGCTACATACAGCTCTTCTGTTACTATGTGATTGCCATGCCTCTTAGCATGGGAACAACATTTGCCCTAAACTGGGGTGTCATGGGCTTATGGACTGGCGTTGCCCTTGCGCTTGGCCTCGTATCCATCATTGAGGGCATCTTCATCAGCCGAGCCAATTGGAACCGGTCTGTCGAGGAAGCTCTGTCGAGGAACGAGTTGACCTGAATGACCCCCAGTACATGCACACGATGTTATGCCTCTCCATGACCTAATATGCAGCTCATGACACAGCATTGTTTCATTTCGCAAGCGAACGTGCTTTTCTATACTTCATATGCTTCAGCTATGGCTTTGTGATCAGTTTGCAATGTTTAGAATGATGTCTACATGTTCCTACACAGATATGGGGCAACCCAAAAACCACTTCTCCATGGAAGTCGATAGATCATAATATCATTGAAGTCCGAATGTGGCTATCATGGCTGTTACAGACATGAACCCTCTCTTCCTCTAGTACTCCAGCACAGCCCAGGTCTGGTCATCCAGGGTCGAGAAGACCAAACCAGCACCAAGCATTTCCTCACCAGCCCTAGCAATCTCAGTCACAGGGATGTTCAATCTCGAAGCAATAACCTGCATATGTAGACCCGAATGGTCCTGAGGCTCCGACTGGAGCAGCTGATAAATTTTCTTCGCAACAGGGGACATCGAAGCAAGCGCCTTATTTTGCTCATTGTATTCACCCGCACCACCCATAACAGCATCAGCACCGGCGACATTCCCACCCGCAGGAGCGGCACCGGGCGGGCCACGAGTGAAGAACAGATGCACGACAGTAGCTTCCAGCAGATGAGTATGCAACTCATTGATATTCGACAAGACCCGGACCGAATGAGCGCCGATGTATCGCTTGTTTCCGAAGGACTTGATAGAGCCGAAGACTCGGGCGTAGCCGTTGAGCTGGATCTCGCCCTTTCCATCGGCGGGTGCCCTGTTGTCATCGGTGTCCATGTTGTCTGCGGTGGCGGAGTCAACCCATTTCTTGACCTCGATCTCGCCTGTGCCGTCGTCGATCTTGTATGTCACGTTCGTACTCTGTGAGCTGATGTTGCGTACCTGTCCCATGAAAAGGACGTTGGCGACGTCGGCACCGTCGATCTGAAATGGGGCTTCGGGGAAGGGCTGCGAGGCGTCGAGAATTTGTTTCACTGTCACAGGGCGGAGGGTTTTATTGTCACGATCAAAGGTCTGAATTGGTTATTAGTTGATGTTACTCTATAGGGGTTTCATGGTTCTTGTGCGTACCTTGCCACCTGCCGGACTGTTCGTTTCGCCGGGCATGAATCCACCACCGCTGCCGCCGCCGAATGAGTTGTAACTATTGTAATTGCCGTCTGGTAAATGCATTAGTTGTGAGCAGATAAGATAGTGGGCCTATATGATAGTTCATACCCATGTTGTGCGGTGTTGAGTTGTGAAGGGGAAATCTCAAGGTTCAGCCTGTCTTTCCAACACCATTTTACTCGATTGGGAGCGTGTCGCACGCGTCGCGGGGATCGTGTTCTGCCGGTGCATACCGCCTACTGCTCAGCCTTCGATCTTTCACGTGCCTGGTTTTCAACAGCAACATGAATAGACTTACTTCTACTGATGCTCTTTAGTGGTGGGGTATGTACCTTATGTCCTACACAGTAGGATTATGTGAAGAGTATTTGATGGCCTCTGGCTTCCGCCGACATCCCACATATTCATCAACCTAGTAACTGCGCATCAAGTAGCAAGAAGCTCTTCGAAGCAAAACCGTTAACCAGTAGAGCGTATTGGGTCTGGCATTCGTCCAACCTTCTAATATCCAGCTTGCATTCCTGGTACTCCCTACCTGGTCTTCAATCACTTAGAACGCTATTCAGAGGCTCGGATACAATTGTTGTACTATATCGCGTTTGTTTCGTTTGCAGCCGGGTGATGGTTGATCCGATTCTCACCGCCTTTGATTCTTCCATCATTTTTTTTGCGACTCGAAAAGGCAGCGAGATAAGCGACTAGACTTTTCTTCAGGTGCCTGAAGTCTGAGCAGTCGAGAATTGTTTGCGGGATACACTCGTTTATTTATAGCAGTTTACGATTTCAACAATTCCCCGGCATTGACAAGCTGCAGGATTCCACGCTTATCACCGCATTCCCACGCATTTCCATATCAGTTGAGGCTTCATAGCATACCACAGCTATGCGTGGCCGTGCTGATTCCCCCGCAGAGTCGGAGAACGAGTTCGACATCACAACTGCCCTCTTTGAACATGACAGCGATTCCGATGATGGCGCAAAGCCGCCCTCCAAGAAAAAACCCCAAAAGCCCGATACCAACCAAGATCTGGACTTCCTGAATGACGACGATGGCGATGCGGCTTTCATCGCAAACTCGCAGGCGTCAGCCAACCGAAAGGGCGCAAACCTCAAGGGCCGCACGGTCAAGAAGGGTGGTGGTTTCCAGGCAATGGGTCTCAGCGGTACCTTGTTGAAAGCGATCACCCGCAAAGGATTTTCCGTGCCCACGCCGATTCAGCGAAAGACCATTCCCGTGATTATGGACGACAAGGATGTGGTCGGTATGGCTCGAACCGGTTCCGGAAAGACTGCCTCGTTCGTTATCCCTATGATCGAGAAGTTGAAGAGCCATAGCACCACGTTCGGTGCCCGTGCTCTTATCCTGTCCCCCTCGCGTGAATTGGCTCTGCAAACCATGAAGGTCGTCAAGGAGATGGGCAAGGGAACGAACTTGACATCAGTACTTTTGATTGGTGGTGATAGTCTGGAAGATCAGTTCGGTATGATGGCGAACAACCCCGATATCATTATCGCGACACCCGGTCGTTTCTTGCACTTGAAGGTCGAAATGGACATGGATCTTTCTAGCATCAAATATGTTGTCTTCGATGAGGCCGACAGATTGTTCGAGATGGGTTTCGCTGCCCAATTGACCGAGATTTTGCACGGCCTGCCCACGACCCGCCAGACCCTTCTCTTCTCCGCCACATTGCCCAAGTCGCTCGTGGAGTTCGCACGTGCTGGTCTGCAGGAGCCATGTTTGATTCGTCTGGATACGGAAAACAAGGTCTCCCCTGATCTTCAAAATGCCTTCTTTGCTGTCAAATCGTCAGACAAAGAAGGTGCTCTGTTACACATTTTGCACGAAATCATCAAGATGCCCACTGGCGAGACAGAAATCGGCAAGAAACTTCGCCAAGAAGCCGAAAACCCTTCAAGAAAGCGCAAGAGATCGGATGTCCGGCTTCCGAGCGGTTTCAAGGAGTCCCCTACGAAACACTCCACCATCGTTTTCGCAGCAACCAAGCACCACGTCGACTACCTCTACGCTCTACTCGTCGAGGCCGGCTTTGCCACGTCTTACGCTTACGGTTCCCTGGACCAGACTGCTCGTAATCAGCATGTTCAAAACTTCCGATCTGGTATTTCGAACATCCTAGTCGTCACCGACGTGGCTGCTAGAGGTATCGATATTCCCGTTCTTGCCAACGTCATCAACTACGATTTCCCCTCACAGCCGAAGATCTTTGTCCACCGTGTCGGTCGCACTGCTCGTGCTGGCCAAAAGGGTTGGAGTTACAGTCTTGTCCGCGATAAGGATACGCCATACCTTCTCGATCTTCAGCTGTTCTTGGGTCGCAGACTGGTTCTCGGTCGTCAGTATGGCACCGATCTCAACTTTGCAGAGGATGTGGTTGTCGGAACGATGCCGAGAGAAGCAATTTCCCGCGCATGCGAGTGGGTGCAGAAGGTGCTCGACGATGACCTAGATATTCTCGGACAGAAGCGGGTTTCTCAAAAGGGAGAGAAGCTGTACCTTCGCACGCGTAATGCGGCTTCCGCCGAAAGTGCGAAACGGTCAAAGGAAGTTGTTTCCTCCGATCACTGGTCTGAGATTCACCCGCTGTTCAACGATGCGGCCAGTGAGCTGGAAGTGGAGCGCGAGAATATGCTGGCTCGCATTGGTGGTTACCGGCCGCAAGAGACCATTTTCGAGGCGAACAACCGACGAGGCGGTAAAGTGGCGGACAATGAGGCTGTCGACACCATTCGACGACTCCGCACTAGCGTGGAGAACAAGAGAAAGCGGGCGGATCTCAAAGCGGAGGCCGAGTTGGCCGCACTTGGATTGCCTGCTCCGGGCGAGGAAGGCCACGAGGAGGCTGACGAGGATGTTCCCGCGCAAGCTGGAGAGAACATGTCGGAGGCTTCTGACGACGAGCTCGAAGTCACTTTCTCTGCCTACAACAGCAAATCCAAGCAAGGAGAGAAGAGAGATGCGGCGGCCGCATTCCAGAACCCGGATTACTTCATGGGCTACAAACCTCAGAACACCGACATGGCCGAAGACAAGGCTTACGGAGTGCACTCTGGCACGAACTCCAACTTTGCCAGCGAGTCCCGCAACGCGACCATGGACCTCAACGGCGACGAAGGCAAGCGCGGTTTCGGCGAAGCGCGTTCGATCATGCGCTGGGACAAGCGACACAAGAAGTACGTTGCGCGGCAGAACGACGAGGATGGTTCCAAGGGCAGCCGACTGGTGCGCGGCGAGAGTGGAGCGAAGATCGCGGCCAGTTTCCGCAGCGGTCGCTTCCAGGCTTGGAAGAAGGGTAAGCGCGTGGAGCGCATGCCTCGTGTTGGCGAGGCGGAAACACCCGCGATGAACAATGTCAACCACTCGCGCATGGCCACTGGACGATTCCGCCACAACCAAGACCGGGCGCCTAAGCGGGCGGATCCTCTTCGTGGCGACTACGACCGGATGAAGAAGAAGAACGAGAAGGCACGTGAACGACAGCACGAGAAATTGGGAGGTGCGGCGTACGGTGGCAAGAGCGAGCTTCGGTCTACGGAGGACATTCGCAAGGCGCGGAAGCAGCAACAACAGCGCCGGGATAAGAATGCTCGGCCGTCGAGGAAACGCTGAAAACTGTAGAATAGATGTCTATATTGCCGAGATACCAATACCAGTTTGTTCGGAGATTTTATTCTATTTTTCAATATTCTTTCTACTTGTCCGGTTTGGGGATTAGCTTCGTAGTGTCTCCGTTCAGTGTGAATCCGAGGTTTAGGAACCGACCAGCTCACCACGAGGAAGTTGTGTAGCCTGGACTCGAGCCCCATACGAAGACAGATTGGAAATTTAACTAACTCGAAATTGAACCTGCACGAGGTCATCACGTTTAAACCTTTAAAAGCCTAGATCAAGGCACTTGTGCTCGAGATGTGATAACGGGCCCAATCACGCCCTAGCTCGGATCCGTTCATTCCACGGTTGACAGGAGAGTTGCCGAACATGTGGAAGTGTACGAAGCATATTAACGTCCATGGAATAGGTCCATAGAATAGGGTTAAAAACGTTAGAGAGGAGATTTAGGCCGAATAATCTCCGTAGAATCCGGAACTATTCAAAGCTAATAAGTCGGCGATTTTTGATCTGATCCGTTCGATACAGACTATTATTGGCCTATTATTGGGGATTGAAAGGAATAAAAGAATCAAAGTGGTAGTTTATGATTGGCATTCACAAATCAACTCGATAATCGAACTATTTAGTCCTGCATGAACGGGGTGACAGACCCCTTGCTGCTCCGCGTGCCGCATGTTCCACACCCCTTTTCTCGGATGCTGCCGAATTATACTATACTCCGTAACTAGTAATAGATTTCAATAAGGATAGATACATAGGGACTATTAGTCTATGTAGTACTACTGTGTACACCGGAATGTTGTCCGATACCCTATTCCCAGATTTCCCAGTATATCACCAAGTACGGAGTATATGTCTACATGTATGCATATTCTCCCTCCCCTCATGACGTGAGATGAATCCTGCAGTTCGAGCCAGGGATGACGGGGATCGACAAGACGCACACGCAGAAAGGGCAATGTGATCGCCCCAGGGACAAGGCTGCAGCCCTCCGTTGGGGACCCCGGAAAATCAGGAATAAGAAGGGGAAGATTCCTTCTCAGAGGGATATTCAGTTATTCACCCTTCCTCTTTGTCTCCTTTACTTGTTCCAGTGGACCTCGATATGGAGAAAAGCACCGGAGGGTATCACGGCTGAATCTGATTATTGCGAGACTCGGTATCACAAGCAGACCATGCCAGTTCAAAAATAAGGGAAAAGAAGATGAATCAACATAGACAGTATAAATCATATGAATCAAAGAGAAAGAAGTCATGGTGCCTGCAGTTGTCCGACCCTGATAAACAATCCTGTGAGACCTTTCCATCTCTGATCTGCGGTTGATTGTAACAGTAACCCCTAGACGGAGGATAAAAGGGAGTTGTCAATGATTTGCCCGGAGAATATCTACAAGGGTTTTAAGGGTCTAAGGATTAAGGATTAAGGATTTAAGGAAGGGTTCAAGGGTATTGAGTAGATCATATAGTAGGAGAATAAGTCGGATATTTGGATCTAGGTAGAAGGCGAATTATTCAGATTCTCCTATAGATCGACTCGGGAATAGGAAATTTACAAAGTTTAGCAGTAGCCAGTATCGAATATCTTCATGCCGGTTTTAGCATTCACCACGACTGCAACCCAAGTAAAATTGAGTAATGAAGTTACTATTGTATCTACTCTACTTTCCCTGAGTCTAGACGTTATAACTTATGGTAAATCTGAAAGTACACGGAATGCACATCCACGGGCTCGACTATTGGCAATGGCTGCGGGCGCCGACGTCGATCAATCTTTTTTCGCCTTGCTTCTCCAGCCCTGATTGGCATACGCCCCTCTTTCTGGGAAAATGGAAAAAAGGAAAAAAAGAAGTCTCCTTTCACTAGTGGAATCCGATCCCTTTCTTTTCTACTCTGACGTTCTGTCTAATGCAAGTCACCCTTGAACTCCCTGGGGGAAAGGATAACCTAAATAAAATTATTTCTTTTTCTTAAGCATGACCAGACCATGGAACAGGCAAAATGACAAAATGACACAAAAAGACAAAAAGACAAAACAACAAAACGAAAAAGACCAAAAAGACCAAAAAAGAGGCTAATTTAGCCCAAAGAGCCCAAAGCCCAAATGATCTTCGTCATGGTAGATCCAAGTTCTATCAGCTACTAGCGTCTGCATTGACCACTACTTACTCCATCAGTCCATCTATGGAAACTGACCTTTATTGAAATCCCTAATATCCGGATTTTCCTAATGAGGTCTGCAAATAACCTGTGTACCAGTTCATACCCCCTTTGGGAGGGATGCAGCTTCGGTATAGTTCGCCCGTTTTCCCTTTTCCCCTTCAATTAGGGAACGTGGGACGTGTGATCGAGACACAGAGGTAAGGCGTGGGGTGGGGGGCTTTGACATTTTACTGCACCTTGATCCTAGCTCCATGATCGACCGCCATGCAATAACTCGCCCTGGGGTGGGAAGACGCGGCTATGAGTAACCCTGTGCCCTGCTGTCATGATCTGAAAATCTCCCGCTGATCGATGCAGTCTATTTTCTGACTCCTCCAATAGCGGATCTCTCCTTCAACCGATTATAAGCTCCGTTGACTCCTCGGACTGGCTGAGACTCGATGACGACCGGCTATTGACCTTCTTTCTTTTCCTCGACTCTCTTCTACACCGCTGGTGATTTGCTTCCCCTTTTCCCAAGGCTTTCTATTCGTCAGATATGCTGCCGCAAAGGACAGAAACGAAAGTCTGCGGTCACTGCCTGTGAATTCATCACCTGTTTGGGGAAACAGAAACCAAAAAGGAAAAAGGAAAAAGAAAAAAAAGGAAAGGAAGCATCTGCCCCGTGGGCCCTTTCCCTTTTCTACCCAACGCCCGATGCAATCACTCGTGCTTCACCCCCCAAGCCTCACTACCTCCCAGTTTGGACAGCCCCGGTTCAACTCGGGCCCAGAGCGGCTGCCGTTGAATCGATCTTGGTCTCCCAATGCTCGAGGGTGCAGCCCTCGGGCTCCAATGCCCCGTCAATATATGTCTGGATCCCCTCCAGCAGAGCCCTTGGAGCCATCTGCAGAGCCCAAGTCTCGAGAACGTCCATCCTCACCCGTAGTCACGGCTGAGCGGTCCGCTGTACCTGTACCTGAATCTGCCCTAGAGATATCACAGGTACCGGTCAGCGAGTCACTCCCTCGGCCGGGGTATAACGAACAAGGACCGCCATACACTGCCTCGCCACGACAGCTACCAGGAGTCCCGCCATATCCTCTTCCGGGACCGGACCCAGCTCATCCGACAGCAGGTCGCTCACTGGCACAAAAGTCAACTCGACGTACAAAGGCTCATGTAGCGTCGGCCTGCGTCAATTGCAAGAAGAAGCACCTGGGATGTGATCCAGCTCGCCCATGTCGAAGATGTGTTCTGGCTGGCAAAGCCGTAAGTTTAGAAATTCCCATGGAGTGGCACTACCACTAACGAGCAGAGGGAGATCAAAGTCAACCTGTGTGGACGTTACACACAAGAAGCGAGGACGACCCCCGTTGAAAGCAGAAGACTCGTCTCTTAGGTCCTACACCACGCATTTGGATAACCCGACCATCCCAGCGGAGGCCCAACCGACCATGCCCCCGCGGCGGACAATTATGCATCGGGCCACCTCTTCACGAGAACTACGGCCCATGACAGATCTCCATGGACTGGGCGATGGAAGCTCAGCAGGAGCACGGACGCCACATCGATGGTCCGCTTCGGTTTTTCCCCTGACACGGCCGATGGATCCCTCTCCGACGATGCCCGGGGTGAGTCGACGGCCGTTCTCTTCATCTGGGCCGCCATCGCACTCAGTTTCCACACATCCATACGCCTCTTCAGCCTACATGCCCATGCCCGGCGGCTTCAATCCAGCGCTCAAAATTAACACCATCCCTGGTGGCATGGAACGACGGTTCCCGCCATACGGCGTACCCGCATTACCACCACCAACATCACCGCCGCAACACCAACCGCCGCCGGTCGGCACACCCTATCTACCGTATTCGGAGACTCCCGGCAGTCACAATCGTCCTCCCATGCCAAATCCACGAGTACCGCTATCACCCCGGGACCCATACGCCATCGAATCACCAGTCCGCCTTCCCCCAATCCACCAAGCTACAGCCGGGCCACCACCGCCGCATCATGTCCATCGCCTGAGCGACCCCTATCCGACGAGCTGGACTCTCCCAGGCCGAGACGAACCCTTCTACGATCCCCGCCCCCAGCCCCTCCATAGATCCGCAGGTCCGGCCTTCAACTACTCTCTCCCGCATAACCGCTCTTCCTCCATCACAAGCGTTACGGTGGACCCTATCCCCCGCCATCTCGGCCCAGTGGAATTGCCATCCCCGATCCAGATTGCATCAGGCAGCTCACCATCCATCACGAGAGCTGACCCACTCAGCGCCGAAACTGAAGATCACGACAACAGACCAGTCAAACGGCGCAAGATGGCTTTGGACGATATGGTGAACGGTTGATTCCGATACCAGGGCCATCCATTTCTCATCAGTAAACTCATACTGATACCAACCGGAGGCTGGAGCTCCTCCTTGTACTGTATAAACCTCTGAATCTCTTGTAGCGGGGTCTACGGGGTACTAATCATGCCATTGCAGCGCCTCGCGAGCATTGAGCAAGTGATCTGATCATCTAATCTATGTTTCTCTTTTGATTTGGTTACCAAAATGCAGGACATCAAAAGTCGCTGTTCTCATTTCCGGGGTTTGTCATTGTTTTCATTTCCATTTGATTTCGTTTCCATTTCTTTTCCAATTTCCGTCCCTCTCATATGTTTGCGTTAGGATATCCCATCCGCATTGTTTTCAGCTTGCTTGCATTATCATATTCACTCGACGGGTCACATCGCGCTTATATCTCTGCCCAGTGGCTCCTCGATGGATCTGTTTTGTCGATTTCCTTTGTCACCGCGTCTCCTATGTCATGCGTTCGTCGTTTATCTCTTTCCGATCTAGTTATTCTTTCTTTTTCAGATTCCCCTTCTCGCAAGTACCCTACATTGATGCGCGATTTTTGTACCTAGAGGCGGGACGGCGTTTCGCGGCGAACATGGTGGTCTCGCGTTGGTACTCTTATTTCCTGCTCTTTACCTGGGGCTTTTGCAATCTCACTGTCCACCTGATTTGACTGCTAGGCAGTGACTTACCCTGTATATTTATGCGTATGTACATATGAAGTATATGAGACCGAAACGCATAACTATCTATTGCGCAACCTTGGAAGTTCAGGAATAGAGCATTTCAGGTGCCGAAAAAGATACATAGATGGAGCTTAGCATAATCACCCCTTAAACCAGAATAGTTAGCAATTGTGTGTAAGGAGTTCCTACCAAGTGCTCCGTAGATGTAGGTAACAAAAAAAGCGAAAAACAAAAAGAGATGCACTAAGAGGGAATCGAACCCCCGGCACAACATTTCAAACGGTTACCCGGTATGGAAGTGTTATATGTTACCACTACACCATTAGTGCTGTGGATGTATGGAGTTTGTTTTTTAGTGTAAATAACGGAAGAAATTTCCCACCCACGATAGTTGTCGAGGTCACTAACATACTTCGTGAATCGTGACCTCACATGGAACAATCAACCTCGAACAACCTTGACTGGGGCATACTTGCCTAGATACTTCCCTTGGGTTACCTAGGCGAGTTTTTTGAGGTAGTAATCACTTAGTACAGGTACGAATACGTAAGGAATACAATATAGACATAGCGAAAACAGTACTGTGTAACTTCCATATTTCATAAGGTGGTATTCTACACCACCGCCGACCTTCCTACCTGCGAGACTTGCGTCACATGATAGGACCCATGGTAATGATGTCGTCTGTTCTTCTGCCTCATCTCCTTTTCCTCACACGCCCTCATTCAGCCAACATGCTGTCCCTGTCCCCATCATCATCATAATCATCATCGTCGTCGAGGACTGTCGGTAGCCCCGAGTTACTTATCGATCGAGGCAGCGAGGGATTGTGGTTCGCACCTGCCGTTCTAAATCCCCGGTGCTGTGATGTTGTCTGCCCCCTCCATTTCCGTCCTTCGATAAGCTGCGAACGATGTCTATCATCAAATCAACTCCGACTCGCCTTACTCGACCCAGTTTATTGTCGTGTTGAACATATCTCAGCCTTTGCAGGAGCTCATAGGTGGAGATCGAAATCCTCTTGATGTTCCCTACAGATTGACACTCGACGAACAGTACCAGCAAGGGGTTATTCGGATAATACCCTCGAAAGCTCGTGAGCGCGTGACGCTGTCCTTGCCACTGGCAGAAGACGTCCAAGCACGGCCAGAAATTCCTGAAGTGTAAGTTTACTTAATCATCATATTATCACAAGTTCACAACATTCATATTCTAATGAGCTGCTTTTGACAGATATCTGGGCAAATCTGGCCACCCAGATCAAGCTGAACTGGGATCTCGGCCGGACCAAGGACACAGCCAAGCAAGAGGCAGTCATTTTCAAACGAACTCGTCGAGGAGTTACTTGATAGGGGAACTCGTTCAAGAGACTATACTATGAACGCGGCCTCCCGGTACCACGGAAAATCATGCGACAAAGAAGCTGATCAGTCTCTTACTCTGTCGGGAGGCCGCGTTCAACAATAGGCGTTACACCGTTCTTCGTAGAACGAGGATACGAGCCACGAGTATCATTTGATTGGCAGCCACCGGAGTGCATTGATTGGCGCAGCCAGATACTCCTGCGCCAGATCGAGTCACCGGACCCTGATTCATCTGATCCTCAGACGCAGGAAGCGCGCGCGTACATGAGCCGCATGCAGGAGATTTGGGAGGAGACCCAGCAACGTGCAACCAGGGCGCAGGAACGGCAACGCCAACAGGCAAATCGGCACCGGCGTGAAGAAGACTTTGGCGTCGGAGACTGGGTCTACGTGACAACGAAGAATTGGCGAACCGATCAGCCGGGACGCAAGCTAGCCAACCAGGCCAGCGGACCATACGAGATCATCGAGCGGATTGGCCAAAACGCATACAAGTTAAGATTACCAGATTCAATTCGCGTACATCCGGTCTTTGCCGCTGAAAAATTGCGTAGCGCTGCGCGAAGAGAGCCACTGCGAGGGCAGCATTTGGACCCTCCCCCACCTATTCCGGTAGGGGAAACCGAAGAATGGGAGGTCGAGAAGATTGTCGATGCTAAGCTTCGTTACCGGAAATTGGTTTACCGAGTCCAATGGCTCGGGCATGATGTTGATCTCAACCATCAGGCATCAACGGATCGTAGCTCCGTAAGGTACAGCGCTTCCATACAACGGAGTCAAGTGTGAAAATTAATTAACTAGGTTAGTTATAGTTAGTTAACCAATAATATCGATTAGCTTACTGACTACGGATTTCGCCTTCAAGCCGCCCGAGCCAAGCGAGGGTAAACAGCTTGTAGTTAACTAAGTTGGGGTGTCCTTAGTGAACTACGTAGCAATTGCGGAGCGCTACTTCTTCCCCCCCCCCCCAGTAATATTCCTCTTGCGTCTCTTCTTCTGCCTCATCTCCATCTCCCTTTCCTCACACGCCCTCATTCAGCCAACATGCTGTCTCTGTCCCCATTAACAGTATCCTCCTCCTCCCTTGGTACAAATGACGCCGAATCGTCGAAGAAGTCTGTCGGTAACCCCGAGTCACTCTCATCGGTAGAGGCAGCAACGGACTGTGATTCGCACCTGCCGTTTGAAATCCCCGGTGCCGTGGTGTTATCTGCCCCCTCCCTCCCTGTCCTTCAAGAAGCTGCGAACGAGCTCTATCGCCAAATCAACTCCGACCCGTCTTGCACGAACCAGTACATCATCGTGTTGAACATATCCCAGCCTTTGCAGGAGGTCATAGGTGGAGATCGGAATCCTCTTGAGGTTCCGTACAGATTGACACTTGACGAAAAGCACCAGAGAGGGGTTATTCGGATAATTCCCTCGAAAGCGCATGAGCGCGTTACGCAGTCATTTTCAGCCCAACTCATCCGGAAGTTATTCGAAGTGGGAATTCTTGAGAGCGATTATACTATGCGATTATACTATGAACGGGGCCTCCCGGTACCACGGAGCATTATGTGACAAAGAAGCGGACCAGTCTCTAACTCCGTCAAGCAATCCTTCTGACGATGACGACTGGCCTTCGCTCGTGATAGAAACTGGTCTTTCAGAATCCGAAGCGCAACTCCGGAACGATGCACACTGGTGGTTTTCCAATTCCGGCTACCAAGTCAAACTGGTTCTACTCATTCATATCCAGAGATCTCCCCAGCGTAGAGTTGTCTTGAAACTCTACAGCCTCAGGCCTACCACCGCCAGAATCACTCGTGGACTACAGGTAGAAGTGGGGCGCACCCTGCTCGATGACCCTGCGTCATCTCAAGCAGTCCCGCCAACCCAGTTACGACCTCACCTAGCGGCGAGAGAGATCGTCGTTACGTCAAGCAATGTTGAGAATGCCCCGCTTGAGCTAGAGTTCGAATCCGTCATGCGCCGCCCACCCGCCCCTAACACGAAGGAGAGAAATATTATTTTCACGGCTGAGGATCTTACATCGTGCTGCCGCCATCCAATGTCTTTCCGGTAGCGTGAGCATTGTCACTATATGTATTGATAGGAAATTAAAATCAAAGTTTGCTTTTTGATGAATATCTACCTAGTACTTAATTTATCTTTTTGGATCAGGATTCCGTGGCAAAACACTGGCAAATCGGCCGCCAAGAACGGCCTCACATACGGCAGTTTCTAGGTTACAGTCTACAATGGAGGAAATACTGTCCGCACGTGGACCGTGGTGGCCACGCCTGATAGCCCATACACTTGAGCTTTTACCATATTGAGCAATTATTACTTCACTGATATATCGTTCATTGCATGTTCAGTACATCCACAGCACTAATGGTGTAGTGGTAACATATAACACTTCCATACCGGGTAACCGTTTGAAATGTTGTGCCGGGGGTTCGATTCCCTCTTAGTGCATTTCTTTTTATTTTTTGTCCTTGACCATATTGACACTCTCCTGGAGTTTACAGTAATGCAAGGAAGAAAATAAAAATAAGACTGACGCTTTTTTACTATAATGTCAAGCCTTTGAAGTCGTTTGCTACATACATCGTCAACTAAGTATACAGGATAAATTATAACGTTAACATCATTTTTCCCTCAATCATGGAAAACCCTTAGCTCGATGTTTGTCGAATTGTCGGCTGATCTCAAGCATACTCTCCGGCCACCAATCTTCATCGGTCTCCCAGAGAGGCATCCGCCATCGCACGTCTTTCCTGAGCGAGACAATCTGCTTCAGCTCCCAGGCTCCAATGCCACCGATCCACCACACCTTATCCAACAAGAGAACCAGGACCAGGAAGTGGGCGAATATGTCCACGGCTAGCTGCTGCACTAGACTCGGCTCCGTAGTCATCGGATTGATGCAGTTCAGGGCTACCCCGTGGTCAGACCCTGAACTTTGAATCAAACCCATCATATCCCCGACCATGTTCAGATATTTCGTCGGAGCCTTGTGAATAAACGCCATGATGAATCTCCGTGGGAGCTTTGATGGGACCATGGACGTGATGTTGGCCGCGTATCTCTGCATCCACGGCGAGACTTTTGGGACCTGTCCCAGCGGGTCGATATCGGGCTGGTTGGCAAGATTTGAATATTCACTCGGTATCATGTTTTCCAGCGAGAAAGTCTCCGCCACAACCTCACTGAACAGCTCCAAGGCTGTAAAGCAAGCCTGCAGACCCGAGTCAGCGGTTGGTACATCCAAGTAACCACCGCCCTGAATCTCATTCCCAGCAACGATCCCGGCCCTCAGCCTCAGCTTTTCCAGCGCAGGGACAACCGTTGCCGCCAAAATGGGATACAGAGCATGGCCCTGAGGTCCAGCCTGCAGCTCCCCCTTCGACGCTATCTTGCACCGACACTGCATGGGAAAATCCCAACTAGCAAGCGGCTCGATGGGCGGCGTATCGGGTGCTGTCTGCACCATATCCTCCGTCCTGAGACTATCATTCAGCAGACCGGTGTACGCAACGCGCACGGCCCGAAACAGACTCATCCACTGACAGCTTTTGGGCACGAAGCGGGCCAATTCCGGATCGTCGAAGGAAGTCGTTTCGGTCAGCCAGATGCGGATACGATGGCTGCTGGATCCGTACATGGCCATCATCGCGGCATTGGCAAGGATGTGGTCGTACTGCTTAGTTCCGGGGAGAGTCGCCTGGATTCCACGCAAGGATTCCATGTGGTATCGATCTGCGATGGAGAGGAGAACGAGGATCTGGTTTCGGTCTGCGCGGGAGGGTGAGGATTGATTGATTATATCGCAGCATTTACAGACGGCGGAAAAAGCGAGGACTGATTTCATGAGGAGTTTATGTTTTATTGCGAGGTTCGGAATACCGGTTTGGAGGATGTATTGTTCCTCGTCGTCGACCGTTGTGTCTTTGCTTGTGTGTTCGAGGTAGTGATTTAATAATGCGGACTCAGTGGGTGTGAGGATATGTGCTTGCGACGGCATGAATGCGTCGGAGAGCCCATCGTATCCATGCGGACTATACGTATGCGACAGAATGGACGATGGCGATGACCTTGGGCTTCCGGCGACCGCAGAAGAACAGGGGGAACTTTCCGAACTGTCCTTTTCGAGATTGCCGTGGATTTCAGATTGTAGGACGGGGTCTATTTGTGGCTCCGATATTTCCACATGGTCGGAGCCGGGGCTTCTTGCGGGATATGAACAAAGCAGGCCCATTTTATTGCACCTTGAGCATTTTGGCTTCAATTCGTCGCACTGCATCCGTTAGATTCTGTACGACTCATTTTCTGCTGTATGCCATACCTTGATTCTGCGCAACTTGCACTTTTCGCATCCATATCGTGACTTCCTATGAGACCTGCGGGTCTTATAGTTGGAGGTACCGTCTTCTGATTTATTCATGATTGAGAGTAGAGGGGGAAGTTGAGAAAATAATGTTCTAAGTTTCTGCCTTCCCGGAGGCTATAAGAAAGAATGAAGATGATCATCACTCCAAGGCCAGAACCGATCGGTCCAATGCTGATTCCAAATAATCCCCTTGAATGTCCAATCATTCAGCCCTATATGACCGATAGAAGTGGCTTATTCACTCCAGACAGCTCTCGACCATGGAACTGTAACTTCCAAGTCTATGAATCATCAACCTTAATTTCTCTAATTGCTCATCTGGGCAGGAGTCTGATTGGTCAAACGGGATTTACAGCCTCAACTCTGTCTATCTAATTCAAATAGGTCTTGGGAGGACCATCCCATTACAAAGATCGTGCAAGATTCCCTTATAGGCGGAACCGGGAACACTCAGAGCTGCGCCCCTCAAGGGGCCAAAAGGCCCGTTGGCTTGGCATGCGAACCGACCCCACGACCTCGGGAACTGTCATGCCTTCTTTATCGCGGGGCAATCTATGCGGCTGCAATCTGCATATTGTCTGGTGGGTACGGGGTACTCCGGTCATCTCACATTCCAAATCCCTCGTTGACTCTTCATTCATTCTAAATATAACGCTCAGCAATAAAGGCATTATGAATGTATCCTTTGTCCAGAGGCTCCGCGAGTGACAGCGGGCCAACTTCCACCTAATGCCAAGACAATCAGTTTGTCAGCAGTTTCATGCCAGTGCGTATTCGCTTAGTCCCGAGTGGGTTGAACTAAATGAGCTTCACCAATTGTGGACATGCCAAGAGACATTCCCTGTCGCAACTCGCAAAGAATGAGCCTCAGACAGCTTGAACGAGGTCCCTATTGGCTGGCCGGCGTTAATATCTAGACTCATGCGAAAACTCCGAAGATACGGAAATTGGCTCCAAACTCCGTACACCTACTTTCATCATTGCTCTACGCCGCTTAAACGCTTGGTTCGTCGGCTTAACAATTAGGCCGATGGAATCTGGGTGTCTGGAGAATTCCATTGAGCAGCGCAGCCCTTTGGGATTGAGATTTTGGGGATGAGTAAGGGTTATTGTCTGGCCATGCAAGAGGCCGAGCATAGTGGATACATTTCTACATGACACCGCTGCTCATTCCACGTGGATAGCCTCTCTCATGCGGCTCTACCTAGAGATGCGGTCATTCACTATTTATAGTGATAGACAGGCAGGAGAGTGACACTTTCATAAGAAACCTCCCGCACAGCCATACGATGCCAGCGTGATATCTGCTACTGGGCAGGCTGCTTCGTGAGCATGTCCAGACCTAGCAGTATGTAAGTTAGACTGCATGACCGTCACAACAAGCGGGTCCTTCTAGATCTTTTCCGTTGCTTCGAAACCAACGAGCTTCATGAGCTGGAACAGCGGCGCAGGCAAACTCCCGCCCGGGATAGTAGTCTAAAATTCCACGAACATACCCCTGGCCCTGACTGCAACTTAAACAATGCGCTAACTACTAGAGAGGCTGAATACGACATGAAGATTTGTATTTTCTGTATTCCAAATCTACGTACCTGTATCCGCGTATCTTATCTATACGCTTTGGGGCTTGGACCTTGACGATGGATACGCTTGTTGACATGATTCAGTCAACAACACCACGACAATGAACTAAATGAACTATATAAGGGCCCATGAATGTCTTCATTCCAAGAGCATCATCACACACAGTTCCCACACACTGAATCAACGAACTACAATAACATACAATACGACTATCAACTCGAAGCATCATGAAGCTGAACTTGTTCAATGCAGCTCTCATGAGCCTTGCAACTGGCTCTTATGCCTGGGAGCCCAGAGGCCATGAGTACCGCGCACCACTTCCAGGAGCCAGTGAGTGATCCGACACCGAAACCTCAAACATCCAACGAAACAACTAACCAGACAACAGGCCGATCTCCATGCCCAGGCCTGAACGCCCTAGCCAACCACGGCTACCTCCCTCGCTCTGGGGAGAACATCGATTTAAAAACATTCCAGAACGCCATCTCCGGCGGATACAACTTCGAGCCCAACTCAATGGACTTCGTTTTCGAACTGGCAGTGAACTTCAACTTGACGACGACAGGCAATCCAAATACCTGGAATCTCTTCGACCTCGCCCGCCACGACGAAATCGAAATCGACGGCTCGTTGTCACGAAACGACATCTACTTCGGCGACGATGTGCACTTCGATCACAATGTCTGGGCGCAGACAGCCAAGCACCTCGGTCTCAACGACAACCGTGGTCCTGCGAAAAACCGATACATCACTATCGAGGTAGCGGCCAAGGCTCGCGCGGCACGCGTGGCGGAGGCTATGAGAGTCAACCCCAGCTTCAACAATTCGGCGAATGCAATGAGCGGCAGCCCTGGTACCACGGCGCTTTACTTGTTGACAATGTGGGATTACAAGGTTGGTGCTGCGCCGAAGGCTTGGGTGAAGCCTTTCTTTGGTATGTTGCATTCTCTTTCTCGGTTTGATGAGTCATTTGGGGCTGTATGCTGACTGTCTTATAGAAGAGGAACGTATTCCCTACCGTGAGGGATACAGAAAGCCCGAAGTTCCGCTTCTCTTTAAGGATGTCGAAGACATGACACAGAAGGTAGTCGCTGTTAAGGTCTAGATGTAGGAGGGGAGACTAGTGGTTAGCTGTGCTTATGAGGGTGTGACTGGTTTCGAGTCAGTTGGTCCCAGGAGTCTGAGCTATGGTTGAGCCACTAGATACCCCAATAGGACTGTTTATCTGCTATGGGTAGTCATTGGTCAGTAATAACTACCTACCAAACCTGCCCAGGTTTTCATCCCGAGAACCGCCTACGCCTACTAGGAGTCTACAAGGAGGGAATGAAAGAGCCCCAAAGTCTATCAATTTTCTCAGCTATCCTACAGCAGGATATGTGCTCAAGGAGTATCACTAAAAGGCTGACCTCCTCGAAGAGCTAGAGCTGCTGCCGTACAACACGATCCCCACTCATTGATTCGGGCCCATTCACACCAGTGTTCAAGAAAATTCCGGCCTGTCCATCTTCTCCAATGTGCCGAGAAGCACTCCGACCTTGGTCGAAAAATGCCTATTCTCTTCGACTGGATCAGATGTGGCCATTTCAAGCAGTAGCTCCAATAGATATACCCTTTCCATCCGGGAGTTGTTGGATGCCACGGTGCCTGAGGCATCACATTTAAATAGAGCCCAGCTAGTTTGCCTGCTGTCTCTCTCTTTCTTTCTCCTCATTCGCCCACTCGAATCCATGCAGATCTTTCTCCAGCGATTTGCATCTGGGAGGGGTGTCTTCTCCTGATCTATCCAGACCAGAGTCAACATCATCCGCAATAGATGCGAATGACTGTAACGTGCCTGACTTGCTACCAAGCCCTTGGCATATGTTGATGCCACAGATTTGTTGGGTCTAGACACTCCACCACCAGCCGAGCACGAGACTATCCCCAAATTGCCTAAGCAGTCGACGGTAAGGCAGCAGACTCACACCCGTCGTCTCACCAGTATGGTAGCCCATCACTTCCACCGATGAGACAGGATTAAATGGCAGCACGGGATCGCCGTGAGAATCATCACGGGCCTGCTCCCAAATGAACCCTGTCGAAGCATGGACTCGGTAATGACAATGACACATTCTGAGTGTGACTTCGTAGAAGGCTGAATTGATGCAGCCCCCGACTCGGGCGAGGGTTGTCAGGGAGGGAAGTGGAGGCGGCTAGATTGGCCCAGATATTCCGAAGGTAGTTGCGTCCTACCTCCGGAGAGTTCTTGAGATCGATGATCTCATATGTCCATCTGAAACAAGTGTAGAAAGCCTCTTCGTTAAATGTCCGATAGAAGTAATGCGTCAGAGTCTCTGCATCGGTCAGGTTAACTAGGGACTCGGGATTTTCACAGTTGGATGAAAGCATTTGAGATCCAATCTGGGCCTATATCAAGAACCGTTAGTATCAACTCTCCTTGGTTAGGTACTCTACTTAACTTACTTTCATAGCCTTAAGGCTGGCTACTTTCCAGCTTCTCATGGTGTGGCTTGCTTTGCGGAGTACCTCTTTCCATGGGTCCGAGTCAACGACCATATCAGGATGACATTCGTGGATGACTGACTGGACGCCCTCAACGTTAAAATTCAACACGAAGTGCCACTTAAGCATGATGGTAAAGTTGTCGTGTGCTGGGCGTTCATTCTCCTCGGAGCCACTTGCATTACCCGTAGCCACAGTATGCTGGCCAGCTGGATTCGAGTCTGGGGTAGGACGATCCGCAAGACTTGGCATGCTAGGCATGGATTCGACTTTTCGGACCATGAAAGATCTCGATGCTTTGCCAGGACATGACCAACCCCAATGTGCCATGAACTACCGAGCCCGAGGCACTATGCGAAGACGACAGAGCAGTCAACGGTAGGAGCCGTGACGACTCCCATCACCGACGTGGGTTGAGGCCTAGTGTGCAGCCTCGCAGCATTATCCGAGCTATCGCTCAGCCATCAACCAGGACAATGTCGTCCGTCTGTGGCACATGGTAAGTACGAACCATTGCACACCGATGAGACAGACGGACATAGGATGGCAACGTGAAGGAGGGACTGCATTTAGTGAGGAAAGATGTTCACAGCTTTGTCCAATCAACCATCTCCGCAACACTGTGTGGGCTGTTCGCGCAGCCATCAACCAGGACAGCGGACAGTGTAACCCCCTATGTCCACTTGGTAAATTCGAACCATTTCCAGCGACGAGACGAACGGACCGATGATATGCGCACCAGGGAAGGAATCGTAACAAATCAGGAAGACCTCGTCAGAATACCTTTCTGTGCCATTTGGAGGCCTTTCGGTCTCACGATGCGCGAAGGATCCATCCGTTGCGTTAATGGGGTGAAGCTGGCGGAATGAGTGGCGTCCGCGTTTGTCGGGCCTGGCGTGATGAGAGCGGAGCTCGGGCCTTTGGGGCGAGTGAGGATCGGACTCGGCACTGTTCTCATCCAACGCAATGAGCATGCCCCGGGTTTCGTGCGAGATCGGGAGGAGAAGTTGGAGAAAGCCACTTGATTCTTCGTTGGAAGGCGATGGACCGTCACTGCTCTGCTCCAGCGATGACGACGAAGGACCTTGAAATTGTGCGTTGAATCGCGACCGATTATGCTCGCGACTACTACCGGGGGAAGAACGGGGATAAACAGGAGCGGAGTGGGTGCGTTTCAATGATGTGGTGCTTTGGTGACTCCGAAAAATGTGCGAACCGAAGCTAGGGGGTCCTTGTGAAGTTTGCTGGATGCTCGGCGGAGTTTCAATGGGAACCCAGTTCCTACCGAGGCCCAATAGCACCACCTTGGTGTCTCATAACAGCATTCTCGAACTATGACCGAGTCTCGCGAGATTATGGCTACGCCATCGATGCGACCGGGAACCAACGGTGCTCATGGGCAAGACGTTGGACCTCGAAGGGGAGAATCCGTTCCTCGTGGCTCGTCGGAAAGGTAAAGATGGCTCCTCAGTGTCCGCATCGTCTGCAGTCGTCAGTATCAGCTTTCGTCATCTGAAAAGAGGTGGAATGAGATGAAAGGGGTCAATTGGGATGGGATGGAAAAAGGATGGCGGGATCCTTACCAGAGAGACGAGGGGTTGAGGCCCCCTCGAGGCAGCCGAGGGAAGTACTCGCTTGAAGCCCTTGATTTGGTACTCGGACTTCATGAGGCGCCTCATCAATCGATTCCGCTCCTCAGATCAATTAGGAACCTCGTTGTGGCGGGTATATTGATTGGGCGGGGGATGAAGGTTGATGGGGGATGGAGGGATTGAGAATGGGGAATATATAGTGAGAGGGATGGAGGGCACGACTAAGCACGTGAAAAATACGAGACCAGCAAACCGCAAGAGCAACCATGTGGAGCACTGAATATGACAGCCTTGGAACAACATACGCGCTTCCTATCTTGGATATGAACGGACCGCTTAAGGCGAGCGCATTGCAGGGTTGTGGCACATTGTTCTGTGAGGCTCGGCTGCACGTCACACTTGACGACGACATCATATCCATGGTGAACGCATCAAACAACATTCTAGGTACATGCTGCAGGGGCCAATGGCTCGTATAATTACTCGTTGGTACCTGGACAACTGATTTATATACACAGTTCGGGCATATTAGCTGCCTGGTGGAGGCTTTACCGGAAGTAAATTATATTCTGCTTTGCCGCCGTATTGGTTATAGGTACTCAAAACGAAGTCATCGGGTTATGACAGTAATTGAAGCGAAATGCAAACGACAAACGAAGCCAAAACCTATCATATCAACCTATTTCCCATCCATCTGGCGTAAGTTGCGGTCAATCACTGGTTCCAACAAAGTATTCGCATTACGCCTTGGCAGCGTACTTGAGTGTCTTTCCGATCACCTTGGCCGGCTCTTCGTTATCAACAGGAAAAACCGTTCACTAGGCTTCCTTGTAAGTCTTCGGCTTGTAATTCGTCAGGTGTTGCGATTCATTCTTCAACACTATTGCGAGCATATCCCAAACCTCCTCGTCCGACTACCATCCATCAAGACGGGATAATTACCCTGTAGGTGGGTAGCTGATAAGCTTTGCCTTGCACATTATGGTGGTTTCGGGCAGGTGCATGATTTACTGGATGGTCTTTGGTGTTGTCAATGATCCATTGAAGCAGTAGTAGATCTAGGTAGTAGGTATACTGGAAAAGGCACAACTAGTTCGTCCAGGTCCTCAATGTTTGGGAGGTAGATAGTAGGTAGTCGGGTGGTGCGAGTCGCAATTCGACTTCGTAGGGCGTCAAACCCTCGTTTCGCGTCGACGCGTCTGGGAGTTTGACTCTTGACCGCCTGGCAGAAATGGGGTGCTGGCGCTAATCCCCTAGCATTTGACGCTAGCCCTAATTGGATAGAGAGTCATATGGTCAAGGTTTTGGTCAAGCTCGAAGGTCACATGACAAGCTGCGACCTCGCACGAAAGGGCTCATGGGACATGCAGTGGTGCGACTGCCTTAGCTTGCCGTCGGATGGCACATATGCGCTATTCAGGTAAGAAGAGGCAGAACATCAATCCAGGCACTGAGCACTCAGGTATCAATATTCCTATCTATCACTAACGTTGATCTGAGCTCCACGTCCTCGGCCCTCGTACGATGAACACCGTGAAAATACTCTATATTTCAGTTATAATTCAAGTCTGAAAGGCATATACATATGAATCAACGAAACAAATACGCAGGTGACAGTGCGAATATCCACAGTCTATGAACCCTTTATTTCTCAGCCTTACAGCCTCTTGAAGCAAAGCGATCATATCACATCCATTTAGCCCGAGGTAACGTGGAGAGGACCGTTACCATCATCAACAGGGCAACCATCACCATCAGACTCAAACTCAACGACACAGCTGGCATCCGTTCCAATCGAGATACCAATAAAAGTAGTATCCTCCTGTCCCTCGCCGGAGCCAAGGCTATTTCCATCGCCATCCTTGACCTCACAGCTCTCGGGGTGACCTCCGAAGTCAGACTTGCAGTGGAACTTGCGCGGGCTGTTCCAGCAGTCGCCCTCGATCGTGAACTCGCGGCCATCGCCGGTGTTGTAGCAGGGCGAGTGGTCGTCGGGGTAGGCCTGATCGTAGATGGCTTCGCCCTTGTCATTGATGATGGCAAAGCCGCTGTAGTGGCCGTTGGTGTTGCCGCCGGCGGGACCGGAGATGGTGGAGAAGTCGCCGCTGGACCAGACGACTCGGAGGTGCTCGGCTTGGGTAGCCGCTGCTGCCATTAGGCAGAGGAGAGTGGTGCGCAGGGAAGGCATGGTTGGGTTGTGTTTGTGATTTGATTTGGTGAGACTTAATAGAGGGAGTGGGAGGTCCTTGGATGGTTCTATTCGAGGTTGATATTCGGAGTCTCTTTTATATCTGCTTGATTGCATTGCGCCCCCAAATCAGACCCCGATACCTGCCAACATTTTCTTGACGATCTTCGGTAAGATTACGACACCGGATTGTGTATCTTGGCGTAGGAGTCATATCGTGGCTTGGTATCTTGTTGATCTTCGGTTCTGGATTGTACTAGTTTTATGCATGTTGTAGATCTTAGTTATGCTTCATAAGTCGGTACTACGTGGACCACTGGATCAATGAATCAGTGATGCGGTGAATTATTATTTGTTGGTTTTACACAGCAATTGCTTGTATGCGAAACGTCGAAGACTACGGCGATTACTGGGCAGAGGGCCTACTCTCGTGGAGGCTCCTGCTCGGTGTAATCTTGTGTAGTTATCGTTGTTGTTATTCCTAGGGGTTCAGGAGGAAGGCTGGGTAGTAGCCTTCCGCCTGACTGCTGACTAAGATATATCACGTGGTTATAGTACAAACAAGTCACCAGTTCCAACATTATTAGAAAAAATAGTTTACAACATGTCATGTGTATAAATTCTCCCTCTAATCCCAATAACCTACGATTTAGTACAGTACCTTCGAAGATATTGACACAGCTTACGTCGGTTCTACTGGATATACCAATGGAAATAGTCTTCCTGTTCCTCGCCGGAGCCGAGGCTTTTTTTCATCATCACCCTTGACCTCACAGTTCGCTGGTCCTTGAAGTGAGACTTGCACTTAAACTTGCGAGGGCTCGCTCAGCAGTCACCGTCGAGTCTTTATCAGGTTTAGCCTAATCGTAGACGGCCTCGCCGTTGTGATTAAAGATGCGAAGCCTCTGTAGTCGCCATTGACGGCACCGAGAAGGAGACGATAGAGCAATTCTTCGGCGTGAATCATCGCAGTCATGCTACTTGCTGGCTCAAGAAAGTTGAATACTATTCATTCATCGCTAGATCCACTGATCAACGTTGCCTTTACCAGATGAGGAAATGTAATAGCCACTCGCGATCGACGTCGAGGTAGCCTGCAATGGTCATAGGATCACCAGACAAGAAACGCCCTGAGGGAAAATGTCTCGATGGGCTTAAGCCATCCCCGCTAATAGATTCAGCCAGGACGGTCAATTTTCGATGATCTTCACCTGAAGATCAGTGTAAGCCTCAACAAGCACGGGGTACGGAACGGATCGCTGGTTCCTGGCGGTTAGTCTCCGCAGCACATGTGCATATGAACATGTGGAGCCTCGGCCGCTGGAACCTCCGTCCTCCAAAACAACGCTGCAATCCGATTAGACATATCGTTTGAAAGCAGGCAAAGCAGCACCATATTCACATTGCTCATTGTATCGTCGTCAGTAGCGGATCGACCCGTCACCCAACAGCCGCCTTCTGGCCCCCACTCCAGCGCCCCTGGTCCTCGGACTTGGCGACCGTGACGCAGTGACGCCCTCCAGCACGCCACCCGTTGGGGGCTGAAAGGCTGCATCAGGAAGCCCAGTCTTGGCTTGTGTCAAGTATATGGCTCCAATGTAAGTCAGGGTACGTTGTGTCATGTTTCTTGGCAGGCGAGATCTTGCTCAAATCCCTCCAGCTGATAGAGAAGAGGAAATTTCCAGAACATGGAAGGTTCGAGGCACGTGAAGGATTCTCCCTACAATTCATACATGAGCTCGGAGGGCGTGTAGGATGGAGAGTCTGGGGAATATGGCTAGTATCATCTTTTTTTTTCTCGGTATGCTCTACCTAGGGAGCGTGTCCCCAGTCTTAATCTTCCCGCGACTTAAGGAGATCAGCTCTTTGCCGCTTTGCGGATACGCCAGGACAGGATTTTTTACGGCTCGGTGGGACATGAATCACCCAAGTAACACGTAAAGCATGTACCTGTAACTGTTGTCTATATATAAAAGTGAACAAGTCTGGTGTAGAGTACCTTCGTAAATAAATATCAACCAAAATATTCTGTCCAGTTGACAGGATCCACTCTTGCCAAGTTCCACGCATGTGTAGCCGTAGGTTTCAGGTTCCGTCAACTGGCGAGCCTCCAGCCAACAGACGAGAATTGAGCCAACTGGCAAGGCTATTCCTAATCCTAGGTACGAATTGACCCCATAATCCCAGAGCGACA